GCTCCGCTCTTCGGTATTGAAGGTTGCTTGGCTATCTCGAAGACTCGCCGCGCACTCCTCAGGCACCGAGGCCCATGCAGGATCCTGAGGCTGCCCTGCAAGGTTGACGACAAGGCAGCGATTCCGGTCAATGATAGGGATAGCGGTTCTGTGGACGAGTGTCAGTCAGGGCAAGGGAGGTTTGAAGCAAGGAACGCACCGGCCATCCCACCGCACGTACCGGTAACCCTGGGTGCCTGAAAACGCGTCCACTGCCTCCTGACTATGGCGAACGCCCTCTATGCCTGGCATGTCGTCGTTCAGGTCAGGGAAATCGATATCTGGCTCCCGAAACTCAGCGCGTCGATCGCCGACCCAGCCAGGAGCGGAGTGTGGGAGAGCGTTGGTCAGCACTGTGCTGCCCAACACCGCGGCCTCTGCCTCCCTCCGTTGCTTCCGCTGCACACCCTTGAGGTCGGAGCCCACTGTTTCCTGCTCTGCAAGGCGCTTCCTGGCGCGGCGTTGTTTGGAAAGAAGCCGCTGCTTCTCTTTCACAGAGCGTGTCTGTGACGCGGCAGTGGACCCAGAGGCGGTTGATGGCGCGGCAGTCGGAGACAAGGGCGGGCCAGGCGTCTGCAACGCGGCGGTGGAGGCGGAAGCGGGGGCTGTTGGCGACGTGGCGATCAGGAACAAGGGCGGGCCGGGCGTGGTGGTTGGTGGAAGTTGCTCGGGTGGGCAAGGAATGGGCGGGGTTGCAGGCGGTGAGGTGGCGGCCGAAGTGTGTGGTGGCAACTGAGGAAAAGGTGCGGCAATGGGCTCTGGCGACGCCAGGTCAGATATGTCCGTGTCTTCATCCACCTGGCCAAAGGCACCTTGTTCAGCAAGGCGTTGACTTAACAGATCCTCCACAGTGACGTGGAAGGGCGCGGTAATAATTGGGGGGCAGACTGCCAGGTCAAACACGCCGAATTCCCGCCCGGTTCGCGTTGTGCGAGGTAGAAACCATTCTAAACAACGTTAGCAAGGTACAGGTTTTAAGAAATCGAAAGGTCGGGGAAAATGGGCGGGTAGGCTTGCGCAGCAGTCCCAGGGTCGAGTCTTATTGCTCACCCACCCGCAAATGAAGAAACAAGGGACAGTAGAGGCGTACCTGCGCCACTTCGAGCCATTGCTCCGCCTCCCTCCCTCTTTTTCCGCCCCTTTGGTGCGCACTGTTTGGCTGGGGGGCGCTGGACTAGCGGCTTGTTGGTGGGCTGAGACGGGTGACAATAACAGGTGTGACGGCACGCGCTCATGATGAGATTGCGATAGATCGTCATAACTCTGACTACGCTTCTCAAAATCACCTCTTCGCTCCCTGCCAGATGATTCGAGGGAAAGGGCGCTCCAAGCGCATTGGAATCATTCAATCGACATCACAGTCTTCCTCTGCTTCAAGCTCACGGAGCTCCTCCGTGCTCAACACACTTGATCAACAGGCTTTTCGCGTTGACGGCGCTAATCGCTTGAAGCGCAAGCTGGGTGACATGTCAGCAACGGAGCTAGCATCCTTTGAGGCGTTACGCGAGATGGCCTTTGATCGTGGAGCAAGCGACGCAGATGACGAGGGCGAATGGACCTCTGGAGTACTCAAAGGAAGAACAGAGATTGTGATCAGTCATGAGGGAGGTGAACTGGCTGAGGCGATCCGTGCTGAACTCTTACAAGGGCGTCAGAGTAAATCGTGTGTCTTTCTCTCAATTTCCAATTGCTTTTGCTCATGGTTACAGGCGTATTGACTACCGCACCCGTGATGATCGTACCCAGCGTTGCACCGATGCTTGGCACAGCCTTCTCAATGAACTAGTCGATACCTATATGGTTTGGTGTGCGGAACATGAGTTGAATGTTGTGGCAGAGCCAGCAGAGGCCGACGGGATGATGGAACCAAACATTTCAATTGTCGATGCATTTGGTGCGTTTTTGTGGTCTCCAGGCAATTTATTGCTCAAGCAGTGATAGAAACCACCCCCCAAAGACTAGACGTGACCGCAAGAGGTTTGGTGGAGCGGGGCTTCATACCCTGTGCACCGTGGAAGCCAACAGTTGCTTTCACAATTCGCGTCTTGGATCTCTTTCGAATTACACATGCCCGTTGCCCCCAGCTTTCGATACAAGCCTTTATTAAGTCCATCTGTGACCTCCATAGTGTATGTACTCTTTAATTCATGATGACAAGGCATTGACATGTTGTTAGGCAACATATAAACCATATTTATGTCAACAATTTTCGATTGCATACGACTTATATCTCGACCTGAGGCGTGGCACGGACAAGAAGGTTGCCGAGGCTCTAGGACGGGATTCTCCAGACTGGAGATTGAAGCACACCTGCCCTGCATGCATGTACAGACTGGAGGGGGAGGCGAAAATGATTTATGACCTGCTGGCAACGATGGACGGCAATGACTCATTGAAGCGGGTTCTAAAAAGACAAGAAAGTGACGGTGAAGTGTTAGGCGAGTCAAGCGAGCGATTGGACAACCGAGATGCAGGCGGAGATTATTATCTGACGCCGAGGGAGGTTGATCAGTGGGCTAAAGACAGGTGCGGGGAAATGTTACCTGAGGAGGTATATAAATGCTGTCCATTTGTATCAGCATTAATTGACTTATAAATAGGCTGCTGATCCAGACAATCCATGCGCGAGTCGATGGAAAAATATGAAAGACAAAATTACCACAAGGATGTGGTCAATCTTTTCAGAGACGGGAATATTTTTAGCACTTTGCCGACATGGTTTTGTTTTGGTGGTAGCTGACATGGTTCGCAGTGGTGAACTGTACGTCTTTCTTGTCTGTTATAACGAGCCTGCTAATCAAGTTGCAGTCGGAAATACCCATTAGCAGTCACAAAGAAGCTTTTGGACACCTTTGGCTTAATTCGTCTTGGCATGGGCTACGACATTGGTTGTGAATTTGGAACAACGATCAATCAGAGCTCTCTTGGCGCCCAGGCACGTCAGCAAAAATTCAAGTCGCTAGTTGGATCGTTTCATGGCCATGCACATAATCGGCGTTGCCAACTGGCTTTCCTGGCAACATATGTGGAAGGGATGGGCCTGGAAGACCTCGAAGGCTGTGAACGTTTTTTCTCCCGCTCAAACGCACTTGCGAAATCGGTTCGATACGCCAGCAAGTTCCATCGGCAGCAGGAGATCACGGGTTTTATGAATCACATGGATAACTTCGAAACATACGCAAATCTGAGTATGTAATCAATTTTGATCTCAAAGCTGTGACTGAACCAGTTGAAAGGCCGAACAATCTGCACAAAATACGCGACGGCTATTAAGGTTCTGAACACAGAGCCTGCCTTGGTTCGTTGGATGAAGGACAAAGGCTATATGGATTTCGACATTTTTCGAGAGTGGTTGGATGAAGAGAAACAATACCTAGCTGGAGTGGAGGCAGGAATAGTCGAGAAGCGACAGGAGACCACGGAGATGGAGTACGTCAAACGACTGTCAGAGTTGACCAATGCCAAGTGTGTTGAGCTGCCATTGATATCATTGTGCCTGACCAGTTGTTTACAGGGATCGCTTACAAACAATCAAGACACATGACAGATTGGCTGCCAATCCAGCGGGAACTTATAGTGCGAAGAAAACGCCTGCAGCAACTCGTCGTCATGCAGAAGAACGAGTGGAAGAGCTGCTTGGATTTATTGAGCCGCTTGAAGTGGAATTAAAGGTGGGTGAACACAGATGGACGGCAAGCCATGCGGAATACCAGGCAGCTACCAAACAAATCAAGCTGCTAGCTTATCACCGGGCGCTTGATAATCTTGAACGGTTGATCGTTGCACGGATTTTTGAGATGACCAAAGTCAACCGTTCGGGGACAGGTATTTCTATTGGTAAATATATTGTTTGATTTACTGAGAAGTTTTATCAGGCTATAAAATGAGAAAGCATATTGCTAAGGCTCTTCAGGCTCGATCGAAAGCCATACGGACCGCAATCGAGAAATATAACCTTGCCGCCGAAAATTTGTCACCTCCGAAACCAACTCTGGACTGGGAGCAGGTTGTAAACTATGGGTTTTTAGGGGACTTTGACATTTTGCGGGACACTGGATCACAGATCAACAATCACCCTTGGGCTCAGCCAGCAAATCGAATGTGGATGGACAATTATTTCAAGATTGTCCAGGCACGTGATGAGATCACTCGTTTGAATATCGAAATCAGGCGAGTGATCACGTGGATGGAGGACGAAGATGCATTCCTGGCCGCAAAGGAGAAAAGCAGCGGCGAGACCGGCGATGACATCATGGCAATACACATTCACAGTTACCGCATGGAACGCGGTCGATCTGATCTCACACATATGGAGCGCTTTCGACGGCTGGCCAGAAAACAAGGATTTACGGGTTCTCTGGCACCGGGAAGAGCCATCAATCCCGTAGGAAATGGGCACACAGCCAGCCGATTTGCTGCGGAGGTTGAGAGTGACAATTATGACGCCGACAACGACAGCAATGATGATGATTCTGAGCAAGATGAGGGCGAAGACGCTGAGGATGCACGGGTTGGAGCATTGGCATATGGTGTCACGTTGCTAGCTGAGGACGGGGTTGCAACAACAGATTTTTAATCAAATAAATTAGCTACTGCACAGAAGGAATAAATAAAACAAGAAGTCGAGGATTGATTTGAGGATCACAAGTTGTGACCAAATGTGATGAAGATCACACATGTGACACCGTCGGGGCGGGGCAGTGGGCGGGCGGTGATGGAGTTTCATGAAGTGTGATGGGAATCACGGCTGTGATGAGTGTCGAGCATGGTGTTGGGCGGGACTTCCATTTTGGGTCGGCGGCAGTGCCTGGTGATGGCGCTGGGATATCCCGAGAGGCCTACAGGCCTATCAGTGCTAATATAAGTGCAAGGCAGCTCTTTCTGGCAGCCTTTGTGCCAGCATTTGGCTCAGCAAGCGCTGCATCCACTAAAAAGTCAATACTTATACATGGTGCATAGGGGGATCTGCCATCTATAACTATAGAGTTCTAACGGGATTTATAGGTGATGCGAACGGAAACGTGTTCTCGTTTGATCGGGGGAAGGTGCTCGGTGGCTCGACGGCGATCAACTTCATGGCGTGGGGACGGCCGGGGGAGAACGAGATCGACGGTGAGTTGAGTGCCTGGTGGCGGCGCATCGTGTGGTTCCTCAACGTTTACTCGTAGCTATTGAGGCGCTGGGAAATACAGGATGGAACGGAACAGAGTTGTTTGCGTACATGAGAAAGGCAGAAACGTGCGTTACTTCCAAACGAACTTCCGGGTGCTCTCTGACGATCTCTAGCTTTACCACGCCTGACCCGGCGTACGCAGCGGCCAACAACCTCACCTTCATTCCCAGCGCGCATGGGCTCACCGGACCGGTGCACAACAGCTTCTCGCGATTCATCTCGGACGCCCAGAAGCCGTGGCTCTCTGCATGTCAAGAAATGGGTTTGGCACACGTCCAGGACGCGGTGCGATTCGATCTTTCTGTCTTCTATCAAGTACTTACCCGACTCTTGTCTCAAGCTCTCCGGGAACGACGTCGGTGCTTGGATGGCCCCAGCTGCGATCGACGGGACGACCATCACCCGCTCATACGCTGCTTCCGCATACTACGTCCCCGCGTCAAACCGCTCAAATCTTGCGCTGTTGACAGGAGCTGAGGCCACTCGCATCCTGCTCAAAAAGAAGGTGAACAAAAACGGGCTGGTCGTGGCAAAGGGCGTCAAGTTTGTTTCGGGTGGTCAGACGTATCGTGCAAAGCTGAAGTCCGGCGGAGAAGTCATTTCGTCCGCTGGGTGCGTGTTCACAGTGATTCATCCACAATTCACTCAACTGTCTGCAGCACAGTCAAGACTCCTCAGCTTTTGGAGCTCAGTGGCATCGGCGATCCCCAGATCTTGAACAAATTCGGTGTCGAATCGAGAGTGGATCTAGCCGGCGTTGGCGACGGCATCATTGACCAGGTTTTTGTCGGGCTCAGCTTCGGTTTGTGTCAGTTACGATGGTGAATAAGGAAACTGATGAGCGCAGAATTGAAAAACGACTCGATCGTCACCCTCGATGATCTCAGGAATTCCACATTCCAGGCCGCAGCCTTGGCCGAATAGTAACAATTTCCATGGTTCAGGGCGACGGGCACTAACAATCGCAGCGAATCGAATCGAACGGGCATCATGACAGTTGGCGTCACCGGGTTTGCTCTGGCGCCGCTGCAGACTATCGTCGGGTCATCCAACGCCACTGCGATGATCAATGCCCAAGCGGACAAGATTCGGACCGGCAACTACACTGCGGCGCAAAAGGAGAAGTTGAATTCAATTGTCGACGGACTGAGAGAGCCAACGCAGCGGGGCTTGATCGAGTTTGTTGCTTTCCCTGGGTTCTTTACCTCTGCCAGTATGTGGGCGTCTACCATTTGTTATTTTGAGCACTGATGGTGCATCAGGCGCTCCGCAGCCCGGGAAGAAGTATCTGACGCTCACCGTGAACTTGCATTTTCCTTTCTCGACCGGCAGCATCCACATCGCTTCCTCGAACGCCAGCGTGCAGCCAGCCATCGATCCAGGGTACTTCAAAGATGACTTCGGTTTGTACTCAGATCCTTCCTCGCCTAGCAGCCCTAAAACACGATGCAGATCTCCAAGTCCTAGTTGAGGCATTCAAATATGTCAGAAAGTTGGCTGCAACTGCTGGATTTAGCGGTAGGCATCTTGCGAGTCACTGACAGTCCCGTGCCTCAGTTTGCTGCAGACTTGTTTGCACGGGAGGTGGATCCCGGAGTTGCGGTGCAGACGGATGATCAGATCCGCAGTGAGTTCCCTATCGGCTTTTGGAGCAGTCGATACCAATATTGCAGATTACATCAAGAACCATGGTGGTCCGGAATACCACACTGTTGGCAGTTCCGCCATGATGCCTCGCAACAAAGGCGGAGTGGTTTCCCCTGATTTGAAGGTGCGGAAAAGCAACTGGAAAACTGACTTGCGACTCAAAATTGCAGGTCTACGGCACGAAAAACATCCGAGTCGTCGACGTCAGTTCTTGATCTCCTGTTTTGTACGTTTTTCCTGATTGGTTCAGTTTTCGGTCTTGCCGCTGCAAATCAGCGCACATCCGATGTCGACTCTGTATGGAGTGTGAGTGCTACATCAATATGCTTATACTCTTGCTCAGCAGATCCTTTTTAGGGCTGAGAAAGCAGCAGACATCATTAGGAATGTGCGAACAGTCTGAACACGCGATCACGTGATACGCACGGGATGGAAGAATATGAATTTTGTGTTTCTTAAGAATCCAGACGTAGTGGGCCCCTCATCACTAATATATATGTTGCCGTGGCGTAGATTGAAGTTGAGATAGAAAATGCACCTTTTCCCTTCGAGTTCCAGTTCAAGTCGAGCACAGGCCAAGAGATTTGTGACGGAGGGATACACAATGAAGTAGGCTGAATGGCAGGTTCCATCATCGAAAACACACACAGGATGCTCCCTCGATCATAGTGGGAGGGCGCTTGAACAGACCAATGGAAAACCAAACCACTCTCAGCCGAGAGGGGCCAGTACAACTCGAAGTTTCTCCATCGAGATTAACAATGCGCATGCTCAGACTTGAGGCTACGCAAAGTGACGAGAGGTAAATCGAAGAGGTCACTCAGCATGATAAGATGAATTATGGACGAAAAATTGTATTTGTACAACAAATGTGGAATACTTAAAACGACTGTAATAGTAAAACGAATGTTTCTCTTCTGCTCCCGCAAATAACCCCAGAATCCACTAAATACGGGGCTACATGAATTAACCGCGGGACCCGCTGGGCCTCCGCTGGGCCTCCGCTGGGGTCCGCTGGGCCAGGTCACCGCCTCCGCATATGAAACTGGGCCCACCGCGGATCGAACTGGGCCCACCGCATGTCCAGCTGGGACCTCCGCCTACGTCCGCATGTTGGTTTGGACCTCCGCAGGACATGTCCCACAGTGCCGCCGGGTCTATGGGACCTCCGCCGTCCTCCACAGCGTCCACTGTTGCATTATATTAAGTATGCTACTACCTTTCTCGCAGATTCGACCATATGTGTATTCATGTCAATATTACACATCCTAACGGTCGTTCAAGTCGACAACAATCCAATGACCTACTTACGCAGTTGACTTAGAATGAAAATATCTCATGACACAATCATTGGATTTCAGAACGGTCAGTTACAAGTGACATGTATGTATAAGACCTACCGCCTCATAGAATAAAATAGTGTGCTTAAATTTTACGCCTTGTCCTCATCGTCGTTGACGATGACGGCGAGTGATGGATGTGGCTGTGCCCAGCATCAACACGCACGAGACCCGACGAGAGTAAGTATTGTTGAGACCGACGTTTTGGGCATGTCAAACGGGCATGGCCCCGCGCAAACGGGCTTTTGATGGGCATTTGACAGATTTGGCTTGAAATTGATGCGATCAGGCATGCATGCCCGTTTGTCGGCATGCCAAGCCAACAATTTGGCTTGTCCTCAGCCAAATGTATATTCGATTCATTAATTGCGGGCACCGTCTCTCGGCCCAAATTACTTACCCAGGCCTTTGAGAACATTTTCCAATACTCACCTATGAATATGATGGCTCACTGTGTCACTGATGCAACTTGGACGCGACCAATGAGCAGATCCAACGCGGAAGAGTCTGAAAACTCAGCCCACAGTCGAAAGCCTCAGGGCTTGGTAAATGATAATGAATTTTGTACATTTTCGTGTGCTGGGAATGATTCCCGATGCTCTGTACGAGCTCATTTCATCAATCCCAGGACACAATATTGTCCAATACCACACCATGACCAGTTTGAAAGGCACTGGGCACCACGGTCCTCAAAAAGTATTTAAACTAGTAGTAGACAATAATCCAAACGCTCCGGACAAGCCCAGCGAGCCCGGCAACTCCGAATGTGGTAGTATGCAGGGTGAGGCGTGTTGTCAGATTAGCGATGACTTAAAAATTGCGAAAGCTCAAATTTCCGAGTGCATCCGTTCTATTATCGGGTTGCATGTCTTGCAAATACCGACGCGGTCTATCCGGTCTATCCGACTCAGTCTCGGATTCAGCACAGCGGCGACTCGATGGACGAGGACCCAAGGGAGAGGCAAAAGCCGAGGCCAAAACCAAAGCCCAGGGAAAGAACAGCTGCGGAGCGGGATCAGGTTAGGGAGGTTGGCGATCAGGGTGCGGAACACGAGCCACCACTAAAACAGATGAAGGCAACGCGCTCTAAGCCTGCGGCAACGAAGCCGAGACCCAAAGGAAGATCGGCGCGCTCAGCCGCAAAGAAGAACTAGATGGTTACATCAACAGTCTCATAGGTCATATATTAAGTAGAAGGCGAGACTTTCTAAAGCGCATTGCGCGATTCCGACGTCGATAATGGTGTTGAACTGCGTGGGAACGATCATCGTGTTGCCGACATCGGCATTGACTACTACGACCAGCTCTGACTCAAGTAATACTAGGGCGAAGGCAGAGCGACGTCCCTATCGCCGCCGCGACGACACAGAATAGTATGTGGTGTCTAGACTATGGCGCAAGCCATGCCCATGCCCATGCCCGCCATCAAAAGCCCGCCGGGCGAAATTCAAACTCCGCTTGGCGGGGCATGCCCGTTTGCCGCGCCCATGTAATAAGTCTGAGTATTGTTTTGGTGAAACGATACTATCACTATGACTACAAGCGCTCCGGCGCCGCGTGGTGATGGCAGTCACAAGTGGGGCTGGTCGACCGCGGCGCGATATCCGCAAGACATCCGCTGGGCCACTGCTGGGCCTCCGCACACCACCGCCAGACCACCGCACACCACCGCTGGGCCACCGCCAGATATCCGCCAGACATCCGCTGGACCTCCGCAGACCTCCGCCAGACCTCCGCTGGGTGCGGCGCCGCTTCAAGTGGGCCTCCGCCGGATTCGAACCTGACACATCGTTGATGTCGGGAACGACGACATCCGCTACCTGTCCCCTACGACGCACGGGCACAACTTACATGTAACTACCTACTGACATACATCCAGTAGCCGTACTCGTTGTCGTCGTCGAGAGCGGCGGTCTGTCAAAAAGTGGGGTCCGCTGGGCCTCCGCTGGGTTGGCCCAGCGGACGTCCCGCGGTTAATTCCGGATGCCCCTAAATACGCACTGAATGCCAAAAAAGTATGATAAAAATACAGTGCGGGGCGCTCATAGGCCCCCGGAGTCTTTGGTCGTGGTCCGCTCTAGCTCGTCTTTAGTGCTCGAGCGCGACAACTCGACAGCCACGGGCAGCCCCTTGTGCGCGTCGTGCGGCAGCGGACTCGTGCTCACCGCCGTATCCCGCGTCACGTGGATCTGGAACTCCTGCGTGGTCGGGGACAGCATCGAGCCGTTGTCGCCGCCCGACCGGCGTCCGATTTTGAACATGCTTTTGTCCGCCAGCCGGAAGCCGCCGCGCGCTGGGCTGTTCGGCGCGGAGAAGTTGCTTCGGGCCGGCGTGGGGGGCAGCGAGACCGACATCGTGAAGCTCTCGGAGCCGGTGTTGTTGCGCGCGCCGGACGTCGTGGCGGTGCCCGTGCTGCCGTCTGTGACCCAGAAGATGGCGCCGGCGTTGAAAATCACGTCTGACGAGCAGCAGGCGAGACAGAGCCATCCAAATTGGCGGCCGTGCATGAGAGTGAGCACGGTCATGTTCACCGTGGAGGTGGTCAGTGCAACGGCGGAGGCGCTGGGAGACGTTCAGAGGACAGAAAGGAAGAATAAATGCGCGCTTACATGAGCGTTCTCGTTGCCACACGCCGGAGCCGTGCGCTGGAGTGCTTGGAACGTAACAACGGCCACATGAAAAGTCCAGTCAGCAGGACGTTGATGTAACTGGTCAAATCAGTGTCAATACATGATCCAGGGGTGGCAGAACACATACAGGTCGTAGGAAAGGAGTGGGATGGATGCAGTAGGCTTGAGACCAATGATACAAGCGCCATCTTCAGGGCGGAACTCTTCGATTCGACCTGAAATCCCCAGATGTGAGCAGGTGTGAATGGATACCGAGGCCCGCCACATCACGTACCGAAGAACATGATGAGAACGATGGCCAGATAAAGAGCGACAGTGACGAAGCACACAAGGAACACCGGCGACCTGAATCGCGAACGCCCGGTGTCCCAAACGACATAGACCTTCTCAGCTGTTCAAATGACACGTGAGATGGAGAACGTCCGGGATCGAGGAGCACACGCACTCAAAAAGAGGTATATCAGGATTTTAGATGTCGCATAGAAGAGCACGCAGAGGTATATCCCGGCCGCACACGACGTAGCATTGAGCTGAAGACCAAAGCCAAATATCACGAGCGTTGCTGTGGGGTGGACCCATGCCTCAGTGCATGTCTGACAGAAAAAGGAAAGCAACGCACACGCGAAGAGAAAGAGGTACGAGTCGATGAAGATCAACAGCGTGCACAGCCGCGCCCACGGAAGCTGCAGAACCGCCCGCACGGAGAACCCATCGGCGAGAATGAGCCGCCGGGAGATGAAGCACGACACAATCGTGACTCCTGAAAAGTGGAGTGTGCGCACGTCAGTCTGTCGGCCCCCTTCCCCACAAAGCGGAGATATCACGCACCGAGGACATGGAGGCAGGTGATCAGCGCCTGGATGCCGAGCGAGGGGAACATCGTGTAGGCCATGGCTGACGCTGCGGGGTGCGGAGGCAGTCGGTCTGGGCTGGCCTGGAATCGCCCCCCTGCCGGGTTTTATTGGACCTTTAAGCTGTGTTGTCCGATCGCGCTTGTATCTTTAATTTGGCTTGTAGAGTCAGACTCGCTGACATGAGGCACATGGTCCATGGCGATCGGTGGTCCCTGGACACGCCAGTCGAGCGATCAAAGGGGCCGCAGGATTCATGACGTTCAAGGGTCGAAACAGCGTAAGGACAAGAGTGCCGGCAACGGCACTTCATTGTTGCGTAAATGGCAAGCAGGAATCGAGCGCAGCGACTCGCCGCCACATCTGTGAAATGTTTGGTTTGGTGGAACGTCGTTTGACCTTCTCTGTGGCTGTGCTTCTGTCCCTGTACCGCCACACCAAAGCCAATTCCGCATGTTCGATCCTGACCGCAGGGTACCGATCGGCACTCGGAGATTCGCATAGCGGTGAACGGAAATAAACATAAGAGCGTCCGGCACCGAACACAAAAACCACTCGGTAGCAATCCGATAAAACAAGTGCTAATACCTGCAGACTAAGCTGAGGAAAAAGATATCCTGCCCGCCCGTATCGGGGAATCCGGAAGCGCATGCGCGAGTCTTCCCAACGGCCAGCTAAGAATCGCGGAAGGCTAGAAAGACTCCGCATCGAACTAGATTTAACCCTGGATGCATGTGACTTTATCACTCCGCTAAATAAACCCTACCAGTGGTCCGCCAGCGGGGAGTCGCGCTTTGACGCCCGTGGAGGGCTACGATGATTGTCCGTGGTCACGGAATCAGCTCATTCGGCCCGCGCACCCATGTTTCAGCCACTCATCCAACAATTCTCTGCGTTACGGTTCCCGGCGGCGCTAGAAGACAGCAGGATTTGATGCTTCTCAACGTCCAACAAGGAGCTCCTTCTTCGAATTTTCATCCGCGAAGAAGCAAAAGCAAGGCTGCTCCTCCCTTGAGGCGACCTGACGACGATCAAGGATTGCCTACTTACCGTAAGTGGCTGAGTACACCGGCGCTATGAGGGCAATCGACATATTCACTTTCGAAAAGGAAGAAAGTTTCTCCTAGTGTGAAATGAATATGGAACTTGCGTACTACATGGATGGCGCCCTTTACACTATTTTTCTTCTCGAGCCCCTTATGCGCGAGTTTGGATTTCTTCCCACTCTCTCCGCGGTCGCCTCCAAGGTTGCAAGAATCCGAGGGATCAGATTCCTGGTGACATTCCATTCCAGGATACATTTCGATGCGCGAGCCGTCCAATATCGGTGCAGCCAGCTGGATGTGGCAGGTTCTCTTGAAGTTCATTGGAGAGTCTCAATCTATGAAGAACTCGGTTTTGTCACTACTGATGAGTAGATTTTTTTCGATAACAAGATTTCTGCATGTGGCATTGCACTATTTGGGATAGTTCCAACGTACTTACCTGGACATCTAATTGTGGACATCGGCGAATATTGATCGGGACTCTTCGTCGCGTGGAACTTTGGTAGCCTCTCAGCTCTGGACTGCTGTTCTTCCATATAGAAAGGGATAGTCCAGCACAAGGGAAATAGATGTTCGTATAGAGAACAGAAACGAAGATAAGCTAGTTATCGATACAAAAGTCATATGTACTTATCATGCGACACAAATTGATGCGTCGTCCGCAACACTCAGCTCGCTTGTATTGATCGCCCGCGGTCTTTAACTTCAACGTCACATTTCGAAGACTGGGAATTGAGGCACCGGATGGGGTCTATAGCGAATACACACAGAGAGAATTCATCATACAGCGCCAAAGCCCATGACTTCGCAAAGCCATTACCAGTCAAAGTAGCAGGTCGATTCTCAGGCTAAAACGGAATGCTCTGAAAATGATCGCGGTATCTCAGGCATTTGGTGCGTGCGATTCCAAACACGATAATGGATGAGCCGATGCGCTGGTCTCAGGGCGCATCTTCCATGTCAATTTACGATAGGTAAACTCATCAGAATACATAGTAGAACTCATCTGGTGGACGGTGACATTTCGTGCGTCCCTTGCAGCTTTAAGCGGCAAATTTTAAGATTTCGGAGATGTTTCTAATAAAGTCCATAGCTCCTGGTGCTCGTCAGCAGGACAGCGCGTTGTATGCTGGCAGCACATGCTGGACCTCGTTTGCAACATGCGGCTTGCCCACGCATGATGTCAGCGTGACAGTAGCTGTGACGATCATTCAAGCCTCGCCATCGTCGTTGACAACCACTAAGCTCGTCTCCCTCCCTCGTGTCCTTCTTCTCTTGAAGCGCCACATCTGTCCAGACGGATCTAACGTCGCGAGGACTAGACTCTCAGCGCACACGACCACTCTCCACGTGTACTCCGCCCGCGTCACCTCCACCACCGCACGTACTCCGCTAGCACCATAGAAGCCTCGAGATGTCTGCTCCTCCACCGTGGCAATACGTACTCAAGTTCATCATCACCGGCGACGCCGCCGTCGGGAAGTCCTCGCTCCTCGTCCGGCTCACCGACCAGCGGTTTCTCACGAATCCTGACCCCACTGTACGCTCGCACCGTCTCCCACTCACGCGCGCGATCGCTCACGCAGACCTCTCCCCCATAGCTCGGCGTCGAATTCGGGTCGAAGATGCTCACTCTGCCGCCCACACCGGACACGCCCACGCCGACCGTCGTGAAGCTGCAAGTGTGGGACACCGCTGGGACGGAGTCCTTCCGCGCGATCACGCGGTCGTACTACCGCGGCGCGGCCGGGTGCCTGCTCGTCTACGACGTCACGTCGCGCAAGTCGTTCGAGCACACGCGGCTGTGGCTCAAGGACGTGCGCGAGTTTGCCGACCGCGAGGTCAGCGTGATCCTCGTCGGGAACAAGTCGGATCTGGTCGCAGAGGGCACACGGGAGCGCCAGGTCACGCTGGAGGAGGCACAGCTGTTTGCGCAGGAGGAGGGGCTTATGTTCACCGAGGCCAGTGCAAGGAGTGGCGACGGTGTGGACGATGCATTCATGACGGCGGCGCAGCAGATCTTGAAGAAGGTGAAAGACGGGAGGTTTGACGATGAAAGGGTCAGTTGTTTCTTCATATACTTGCTGCATGTTCCTCACTCTGATGGACAGTCTCCCGGTGTCAAACTGTCAACGCCTGGTGCGGGCATAGTCGACGCAGCCGCTTCCAAGCCAGCATGCTGTGCTACGTAGTGTTCCCTTTCCGATTGGTCGTTCGTGTTGTGCCCCATGTTATTAATCCTTAGTGTGTACCCGCATCATTCCCTCTGTAATCTATCAGGTCTGCTTGCGCTGCAATAAAGACCCCTTCCCTCCACTACTCTCAACCTCGCTGACATGATTCTTTCTTCAGTTGTTGCAGCCCGTTGGCAGGATTCTTTCGTACTAGGAAATCTTGGTTCTGCGATCATCTGCGATATGACCCCTTGGTGGCCCAAAACGAATCTGGTTGGAAAGCGAGTCGAACATGTTGCCATGTGCCCCGAAACTTTTGAGTACCGGTCTGCCGATGGGACCTACTCAGCTGTCCCGTGCAGATGAGCTCGATTACATGCGCGCCGTTCCCTCAATGTGATGGGATTGTGGTGATAGGATCCGGTGCGCGGGTTGCTTTCCCGGGGCCCAGAAGCAGAATGAGGCAGCGAAACGCACGCCAAACATCATGAAGGAAGAGACAAGAAAGAAGTGATTGTCCAACGACGAGCTCATACTACTGTGGACTGGATTCTACGCCTACAAAGGTATCGTGCAGCCATGGAAGAACAGCGCTTCGTGTCTGCAGCGCTTAGTCGTTCCACGCGGGAGAATCACTTGAACTTGAATTCGGGCAGCCCGTTCTCCTTCCACTTGATCTTGTAATCCTCTACAGCATACTCTGATTCTGTATGTCGCCCAATCAGCGCAAACGAGCGAAATGGGGACAAATGAGGCCCACCAGCAACAGTGCCGTCCTTCTTAGCCTTTAGCAACGAATCTGCAATAGCCCAGAATCCCCTCTTCTCGTCCATCCACGTGGTCACCAGTCCCCTGCGCGCGATCACCACCACCCGAGGGTCCACAGCGAGCATCTTGCCAAGAGAGCGGTCGCCGTCGAACGAATCTGGCTCGGAAGCAACGACGAGGCACTGGATGTGCGGGCCCCAGCGCGGTTTCTTCGGCGCCTGGGGGAAGAAGACAGCCGGGTTGAGCAGCTGAGCGAGGGTGCTGATCATGGTAGAGCCCTGGAACGCCAGGTGCGTCAGGCTCGAGAGCGTCGCTAGCTTGTTGAGGAGAATCAGCGCGTGCTCCTGAGTGCGTGGGTAGTCAAGCAGCTCGAGGTGCGTCAGAGTCGCGAAGAGTCGTATAGAGACATCGGGGGCCGGCAGCTCGCCGGATGGGCAGGGGAAGAGGTGCAGGACAGGTATGCAGAGCCGACGGAGTGCAGTGAGCTTGTTAAGAGCGGGGAGGTGCTGCTCCCATGTCTCGTTCATTGGCGCCTCGACGACGAGGGTATGGATCTTCGTGCAAACGGGAATGATCTTCTCCATGTAGTGCGCATCCTTCTGTGCCAGCAGTACGACCTGGACAGCGCTCTTCAGAAACGATTCGGCCTTATCTTTCATCAGAACGGTGACGAAGGTAGATGGGAATCGCGCGTCGAGTGAAGACGTCTTGCGGATCCAGGTGTCGCGACTGGCGACGATGCGGTAAAGCAGAGGTTCTAGCCTGTAGCTTCAGCTTCAGCGGCTCTGCGACCAACCGCTGCACATTAGAGATCATAGGACACGCACCATTCTCGCACCCGGGACGCGACGAGCATGAGCTCAGCGACTCTACGTGGCTCGACCGCCGCCGCCTCCTCGAAGACGATGCGCTCCAATTCGGCGGGGAGGCGCGGCTCCAGTGTCGACGGGGAGGCCATGATGGTCGGGAGAAGAAAACCGTGCTGCTAGAGCGCGTAATGAGGTGATGAACAGGATCCATCTCTCCACAAAATTCCTGGGTGTGCCTGGGTTGATGACATAAGTTCCTTGGAACACATCAAAGTGTGATGATCGGCTCTGCTCAACTCACCGGGAGATAACATGTTTGATGGGGAACCGCAGCCACCGTGCAGGGTGCAGTGTTAGAAATTTAAATCGAAGTTCAAATTTTCTGGCCCTTTGTCTGATAAGCTCTGACTTGTCGTTGCGCATCAGGTATTCAATTCCTCACGTCTAAAGGTTTACACTGGTAGAAGTCGCGATCACATGACCGAGCTCAGGTGCCATAATCATACTTGCCATCCCGCTTCGAGGTCTGGTTAAGCCCTGCTTAGACACAGCAGTTCGCCGTTGCTGAAGAAGGCAAGCTAGGAAAGAGCACGTCAATGCGAGTGATTGGATCGATAGCCGATCCTGTCTTAGTGCTCTATTTGTCCAACCGACACCCGTGCTGCCTGTTCGGGCCGATGTCACTCACCCCACACAGAGGCGGAGGCGTGCTTTTCGAACTTCGAGGCGGGTTCCTCTCGAGTAAAGATCAATCACCACAAGCCGGAACACCATCCGACTCGATCTCGCTCGAGATGTCAGCCCCTCAGCGCAAATCACCCGGAATGTTCGGACAGTCATGGGGATACGTGATTCTTGTAAACAAGCGCCCACAACGCGGCGCAGGCCTTACTTCCTGCGTCTCAAGGGCCCGTGTCAACTCATTGTCGAGTAGAACCTTGCCTTTGTTCCTCTTTGGCGGGGGAGTCGGTGAAGTACGCGTATGCAGTGTTGTTCACTGGCATATGCACCGCGGCTCTCGTACACCGGGTACGCAATTTGGGAATATTGTCCTCCGATCGGACCTCTCTCACGAACTCTTCGCTGGCAACACCCAATACGCGCCGCTTTCGAGTATAAGAACCAGCCGCGAAGTTCTTACATCTCTCGAACGCTCCCCGGCCACTGGCATGGCGTCCTCATCAGCTCAGCCCGCTCCCGTCTCTCAGGCCCAGCGTGTTGCGCTGGCATGCACCCGCTGCCGCAAGCGGAAAATTCGGGTTCGTCTTCCAGCACGCGCAAGAACTAGGCTCATTTGGACATCGGGCAGTGCATCACCCCGAACGCAAACACGCCTTGCCAGAGATGCGAGAGGAGCAGCCTGACCTGCGAATACGTCCCAATCGAGTCTAACCCGCGGCCGATCCGTTGGCAGCCGCCAACCACTCCGGAAGATTATCCTGCCAGCGACGCACAACGCCACAGCATGGCTGGGTTGGCGCCAATCCCACGACAGACAGCGCAGGCGGCCGGATCTGGACGTCCGCAGATCTCTGCACGTGATGGTGACATGCAGCAGCTCCTTGCGGCACAAGGATCGTCTCAGGCTGTACCCGACCCGGCACACCAGACCGACACATACCATCCATATCCGAACTACACTGGATACACAATGCCCACAAGCTACATGGCGGAGAATTTCAATGGCAATGCGCAATATAGCGTGCCCGGGTATTACGGGATGCCGATACCCCAGGAGGTTTTCTTCCAAGACCCACGACGCGATTTCCAAGGAGGAGCTGGTGCAACTGAGGACCAGAGTGCGCAATATCCGTATGCTGCACAGGATTATTACGACTTGACTAGAGGAGGATACTACAATCACATGCCTTAAGGGACGAGTATCGGTCGGTCATCCGATGACGAGTATTTATGTCTGCAGAGACGTAATTTTGTATTTTTATTAGACATGTATCCTACCGAGAGATGTAATCACTTATATATTTTGCCCCTTGGACTTGAAGAGACATACTCGGGATTCGACACAAGCCCGGTCTCAGCATCAGTGCGACCACAGGCTAGAGGTAGCTGCCAAATCGACCATGGTCCATCAGTCAGATCATCGAAATGCATGTGATATCCTGTCATGACTGCAATTGGGCTACTCATTCCAATCTTTGCCTCCTTGGCTGATCCGCGAGAGCTAAAAACACCCTCGTTTACTTGCCTGATGTCATAGATCCCTTTCCATCCAGCTGGAACTCGAGGATACGTGTTAAGACTGCGGAACCTATCGACTGCTGCGCAAGGACACGAATTAATCACTCACTCACGGAATCACACAGCCTAGCACGGCCCATGCCAAGTTGTAACAGCGCCGACTGCGAAGATGCGCAGCGACGCACAGTATTGGGCGATCCAAACCATGCCGCAGCCATCGAACGATTTCGCCCATGAACTACATTTTGCAGCAGAAAGTGAGGGAAGCGCAATTTAGGGCTTTTGCGACTCTCGGAGTTGTCTTGTATTTTTAAATATATGAGCAGCAGACCGAATCCTCTGCTGTGCAAGCGGTCGTCGGAATGTTTCGGCTCCGACATTCCGTCATCAGCCGAATTTGGGCGTGCCATTGCTGACGCGGCCATCCGGCTCCTCACTCGTCGGTCCCAATGCGACGATTGAGTCATTCGGAGTTGCATTCTCATTGGCTCACGAGTTGTAAGATTCTTACGCGCGCTGATGGTTTCGGTTTAACAAGGTCTATATAACGGCGTGATGTTGCCTCCCTGCAGCCAGAGAACATCATCAAATTATGAGCGGGTTCAATTTCGAATACTCGTTTCAAGATGAACGCAACCAGGAACAGAATGGAGAAGTTTGGGGTACGTCAATGATTGGCGGAGAGCTGTCAGCGACTAAATCTCTACCTCTAGAATATAATCTCGCGATAGACCCTCGGCAAACCCTTCTCACACCCTCACCATTTTCCTCTCCTCAGATACCTCATAACTATTCGCCACCACCCCTATATCCACTCGAGCCTTCCCCTTTCTGCGTGCAAGGATCTTCGCATCCTGATATCCCGCCTCTGATGCCCGAACTCTCCCCTCAAATTCCGCCCCCACAGATACCTCCAGCGCGGCAATGCTCGCACTGCGGGACGACAACTACCCCAGTCTGGCGTCGAGATCCCACAACGTCTCTTCCTCTGTGCAACGCATGCGGTGTGTATCTGTCCCAGCGCTCGAAACACCGGCCGCAGCGCCTCGTCGAGCTCGGGCAGGCCGAGCAGCAGCAGAGCGGGTCGCCGGAAGATGCCGCGCTGCCTGAGGACGCGCGGCAGTGCTCCCATTGTGGTACGAGGCGGACGAGCACGTGGCGGAAGAATTCGGAGGGAATGAGACTGTGCAACGCATGCGGGGTGTATGAGCGCCTGCATGGGCGAGAACGGCCGCTCGAGTTGAGGAATGATCGGGTCAGGCCCAGAGGAAGTAGATGACGAGAAGTACAGCGTATATACCCAGCCACGTAATAGTGTTCGATGATATCCTCCTCTCAATGTACAGACACGTCCACACCTTCTTGCACACGTCAGCACGTGATCGCGATCGACGTGACCATTGGCGTGACAACACGTTTCCTCTCCGACCACGTACAGTCCTCGTTGTACGCTGGACGAGCACCGCAGTCTTGGTCTCGAACACCATCAGTGGAGCTTGCAAGTCGCCGCGAAACCGACTGCTCTGCGTAGATCCTCATGTCGGCAACACGATATCAACGCAGAAGGGCGCCTCGTGGTGTACGCGTTGTTGTTTCAGCAGATAATCGATAGTATCGCTCCTACAATGACGCTGCGTGGGAGATGGCTGAGACTTCCTCGATGCAACCGCTAGGCTTCGGTGCGTGTGCGGAGTGGATTCGTCGCTTAGCTTTGCTTACGCGTGCTTATAAGCCACGCCGTGTCTGGCCTCGTCTCCCTCATCTTCATTGTCTCCCTTCACCACCACACATCTGTTTTTTCTGCCCACTTTATCCGGTCTTATCCACTTCTTCATCTTCTCTTAACCGACCATGAGCAAACTCATCGGCAAGTCGCCCAAGGTGGCCGCCGCCGCCCCGTCCCCACCACCCTCGCCGTCCCCGACACCGTCCAAGTCGGGCTTCAAGAACCGCATGGGAGGTGTCATGCGCCGCACGTCGACGATCCTCTCTCTACGTCGGTCGTCCTCGTCCATCTCCAAGAACTCAGAGGGCCGCCGATCCAGCGCTTCCCTGGCCAGTGCCGCGCCGCCAGTGAGCACCCCCGCCGCTGATGCGACTCCCGTCCCGGCTCTGTCGTCGCCCCTCGTCGCGCCCGCCGCCGCCAAGCCCATCACTGATGGTCTAATCACCGCCGAGCCTGAATCCGCCGAGCCGGAGCCGCTTTCCTTGGAAGCGATCGTGCCTGAGCCTGCATCGGAGGTCGTGGAACCCACCGTCGAGGCCGTTGCACCTGTTCCCGCCGCTGAGCCGGCTCCGGTCCTTGCCGAGCCCGAGCCCGAACCCATCGCCGTTGCCGAGCCTGAGCCCACCGCCGTCGCTGGGCCTGAACCCATCGTGGATGCCGAGTCCGAAGTTGTTGCAGTTGCGGATTCGGCACCGAGCACGGTGCAGCCGACAGTCGAAGTGGAGCTCGCTCCGTCCTCGGAGCCCGAGGCTGTTCCAGCGATCATCCCAGCTGTCCACGAGTCGCCGAAGAACCCCAAGCGCCTGCACCCGCTGGCTGCGGCGGCGCAGTACTGGATGCACCCGAGTCCCATCGCCGAGTCGCCAGCACGGGAGGAGGCTGCGAACAGAGAAGATTTGGCGACTATTGAGCAGGTTCTGCCTGTTGCGGAGATAGCCAAGGTGGAGGAGCCGCAGGTGGTCGAGCAGATGAGCGCACCCCAGATTTCCAACGAGGATTCGTGGATTGCCGTTTCTCCGGAAGCAGCGCCTGTTGTTTCAGAGGACGCGTCTGTGCAGCCAGAGCAACCAGTTGACGCTGTACCTGCTGCATCGGAACCCACTGTCGAAGCCATCCCCACCGAAGAGTCTCCTGCCGCCCTCGTCGATACGACCGCCAAACTCCCTGATTCTGTTCCAAAGCCCGCACCAGCCATCGATGATCTCCCTTCTCAGCCGATTAAAGCCGAAGTGGATACCACCGCAGTCGCGCCAGAGCCCCGACCGGTGATCGCTGCTGCAGCGTGAGTGACCGTTGTTCTTGATCGGGCTGTTCTGACCTAGCTGCTCTTTGTCATAGTCCTCCTTCCACTGTGATCTTCGTGCCGACTTATCCAGCTGAGCGGCCTGCTCCTGGAGGGGTCGCTGCAGGAAACACGACCCGAGCTGTCGCCAACTCCGGGACACCGAGGTCCTCTCACGGGACTCCGAGGCCCGAGCCGTTTGCGATGTGCGTTGTTTCTGTCGGTCTTGGGAGACGACATATCATTCATTCCAGATTCAGTGCGTTTGCCGGGGTGATCAGCAACCTGTCCGGGATGCTGCTCGGGTTCCTGCGCAAGTTGATTGGGTGAATTCACTTGATGTCCGACACGACACGACACGATACGTTTCGACGACCACACGATTATGCCGCATCACCGATTCCTTCTTCTTGTTCTCTATATGTAACTTCACATTGTCACTCTGGCACCCTCATCACACATGCACGCATTCTTTCACGCACACGCTTTCCGTGTAACCTTTCTTGTGTACCCCATTCATTCATTCATCATTGTACCTGCCCCAGTACCTCCTTATGTATGTTGTTGTTTTTTTATGCAGTAGCCACGTGTTAGATTAGATGTTACTTATCGAAACCTGTTGCATCGATACGATCTGGTTCTATGCGAGCGGCACTCCCAGGTCCTCCGCGATAATCAGCGCCGCCTTCTCGCCGATGATCAGCGCGGTGTTGTACGTGTTCGCGAGGACGTTGTGCGGCGCGATGCTCATGTCGGCGACCTTCAGCCTCGCGGTGCCGTACACGTTCAAGCGCGCGTCGACCACGCCCCCAGCGGCCTTGGGCTTCATCGCGCACGTGCCGAGCTGTTGGTTGCGATGCGTTTGATTTTTTTAAACAAATAAAAAAACTCAGTCGAAGGGAAGCGGTAGTAGACGCACCCCGTGCCACGTCGCCGCCCCGACCGCGCGGTGGTACGCGTCGATCGCGCGGTCGTCCTCGGCCGAGTACCTGCCGCCGCAAGTCCAAGCTTGCATCAGCACCTCCTGGATCGACCCGGTGGGGGGATAAATAACCACACTGACTGGATCTCCGGGGCCTGCGCGCCGACGTGCTGCTCGCCTAGTAGTATCGCCTTGGCCGCGCTGGTGTCTGCGAAGTGCGGGTGGCTGGCGGGGACCTCGCCGTGGAAACTGGCCATGCGGCGCACGAGCTCGCGGGTCCACTTGTAGCCCCAGCGGAGCGCCAGGACGTCTTCCTCTCTGCGGTGCGACATAAGAACTGGGATACATCACGGGAAGGGGGGGTCACTTGGTCAGCAGCTGGGTCGCGATGTCGAGTGCGGCGTAGGGGTCTGTTGAGGTGGCGTGGACGGAGCCGGCCGAGCCCGGGTAGCACTGTATCGTGTATTGTAGGTTCTCTCGGACTTTCACATGTTTGACATCGGCCGGGAACTCACCAGGTAGTACGTGAGGGAGAACACCGCCGTGGAGCCGCTCTCGTGGTCGCATTTCTGCAGGACGGCCTGGAGCGACCTGAGTGTAGAGAAAAATGAGGAGGCTTTACTTGAGACACCCGAGCAACCAATCACATTGCGGCGAGGATAGCCACCAGCACGGATTTGTCGGGGGCGTCCATGAAGAACGACTCCCAGCGGGGTTGGAAGCCAGGCCCAAGGACCTCCAGATCACTGTCGTTGGGGCGGAGCTTGATCCCAGCGTCGAAGCCGCTTTCGGGTTGACCACGTCAGATGATGTCTGCAGGAACAGAGCGGTGTGGCTCACTTTGACGCGACGACTCCCCGCTCTGCATCGCCCGTCGCTGATAGGTTTTCAAGCACCCCGTCCAGTGTGAGCTGACTTTCGTCGGCGAAATACGAGGGTGCAGCTCCGATATGGTCTCGGAGGAATTGAGCATCAGCCGTGATCTGAGAGAAGAAACGGCAACTACCGTTATAGTTCTCGCCGACACCGGGGATCTCAGCGACAACGGGCACCCCCAGAAGCTCTAATCTCGCCTGCTGGCCCACCCCAGAACTGCAGAATTCGTCGGCGACTCGGGATGTTCCACGCACTGAAATTATCTGCATGCTTACCGTTCCAGGATGGCAGGCGAACAGAACGCCCCAGCCGAGATGACGACCATCTTGCTCGCCCCGACGCGGTGCACCGTCCCGGGGTCACGGGAGTGGTATTCGACGCCCACGGCGGTGGAGCCGTCGAACAGCACCGCAGACACCCGGGCGCGCGAAATGATGCGGATGTTCGAGGCGGTCGTGCCGAGCCGGGGGTAGAGGCACGTGTTCGCAGCGTCGGACCGGCGTCCGCTCGGGCCGTCGATGTATCTGCCCACCCCCACCACAATTCATCAGTACTGGTGGCTGACGGACAGACGATATGACTGGAGATATAGCGCACTTGGGCCACCGCTATCTCCCAGCCGAGCAATGAGCGTGCGAAGATTCAACATGGCAGAGTGCAGGGATGCCAGATGTGACGTACGCCGTAAACATCCACCGGCCCAAACCCGTTCAGATCGTCGGTGAAGGATCGGCCGCGAGGGTACGCAGCCGCGGCGTCCAGAAAGTCCGCCCCAAGTCCGAGCGCGCGGGCCGGGGACACCTGGATCGGCCCCGAAGAACCGTGCGTGTCGTTGACAATCTTGCCCTGGTACGTTTCCAGCTGTTCGTGTGTGTCTGCGCGTCAGTTTTTGGAAGTGCCGAATAGCAACTGCCCGACCTTCTTCGCGAGCGGGATGAGATCCTCGGCACCCCAGCCCGGATTCCCAGCTCGCGCCCAGTCGTCGTAGTCGCTTGCGGCTGCGCGGTTGTAGATCATCGCTGGGAGGCACATTGAATTTTGACGGCTCAGGAATGCGAGAACGAACCGTTGATGACACTGCTTCCGCCGACGCACCGGCCGTGGTTCACGCTGCTTAGCTTGCCAGACGCGTCGCGCGTCCCGTGGAACTGCATCGTCGGCGATGCAGGGTTGCGCATGTTCTCGATGAACAACGCTGGCTGTAGGTGCATCGGCGAGTCGAGCGTATCCGGTCCGTCCTCAACGATCTGTGTGAGATAGACTCGTTGGAGATCGTCCAGCAGAGAACGCGTCACAGACCAGGATGCTGAGTGACGGCGCTGCAGCGCTCAGCCTTGCCGCAATGATGCACGCCGTAGTGCCTCCACCGGCGAATATGATGTCAAAGCTTTGCTCGAATTCCATGCTCAGAAGGGCAGTACTGCAAGACCAGGGATGCAGCAGCGCTATTTATAGGCATATGTTGAGAATATCCACCGCAAGACCTCGTCCGAGTTTAGTTAAACTGCCCGGTTTCGGGAGCGCAGCGAAGTCAACCAGAGATAGAGATGACTAGCGCGCCCGAGAAATTGACAGTAGTTGTACGATCCGAACAAAAAGGGCTCACGTGCAATGACGATGGCTTTGATCACCGCTGCTTCTTTCTGACCTCCACTCTCTGCCTTGGTTGTCTTAGTCTGCCATTCGGATCTTGAGGACAGATTTCTCAACCAAGACAAAAACGGCTCATGACATCATGGACTCTGCTTTCAGATGATGCAGATCCCGGCTCCGGATCCGCTCGAATGCAGAAAGATGCGCTGGGAAGGTGCCAGAAACAACTCCCTCACCTCGTATTCATTCCGGCAGACCCGACAGCGAACCGGTCTTCGAAGACGGTGGAGCCAAGCACGACGGTCCATGTTCTATTCCTGTCCTGTCTCACCTGAGAGCCTTCCGCGAGCTCCACACGGCTCTTCCCAACTCGCGGGTCCCGCGACGAGGAAATACGTACTGCTCCTCCGATCCGTGAAGCTCCAACGTGCACCGCTCGTCGGGCCCGGCTGCGCCTTGGTACCCCGTTGGCATCTCGGATCCTTCGTGCCCCCGGACGCATACCGTACCGCACCGTGCGTGGGGGGTATCGATCTGCGATCCGGTGGTGTCCATCTCGGGGTTGCCCTTGGGCCAGTGCGCGCGCGGATGGTGGCGTTTAATAAAACCAGAAGCACATCCTGCGCTGGGCCTTGGCGACTTCGGACGGCCGGGGGCGCGTGACGCCGAGGCACGTGGAGTGGGGGCGCAGACGCAGACGCAGACGCACGCCACTCGCACGCCACCGGCGTCTGCTGCGTGATTTTGTTGACTGAAACAAAGCGTATTCTGCGCTGTGTTCTCGCCGGATCTTGCGGTCGCCCCAGATCAATCAGAGATGAGACGGAGTTCTAGAAGTTGGGCTAGGTCCAGAAGTTTTTTTTTGCTGCATGTGCGTGACGGTGTGAATGGATTGCCAGTTTTTCGTGCTTACAGACCAACTGGCGGCTATTTCGACTGTGGGAAGAGGGACTGCGGTGGTTGCATGCATAAATTCACTCTGTCTCTCCGGGAAAATGCCACACGCCAAGCGTTCGCAAATTCCCGCCCGAGCTGGAAAACTGCTGTTTGCCACCTCACATGAAACATGTGTGCGCGCACATGTGTCTTGTGCCTCTGCAAAAAAAAGCTTGACAGTGCCAGCCACACGCGCCGATGCCGGGCGCGGCGCAGGACTCAATGGCCCCCATGCACCAGATGACTGTGCGCCGGATGCTTACGCTCAGAACGTGGGCCCCGTCAGTTCCCGTGCTCGTAATACCCCCAGGCTTTTGCTGAGTCGCTGGGGCAGAAAAGCCTAGAGCGGGTCAGCTGATCGGCGCTGGGGATCAGCTGACCGCGAGGCTCGGTGTGAACGTCTTGGGTATGTGTCCGAGTACTCGACAGCTGGGTCGCCGGTGGTTCTGGTCCAACGGACTCGCCGTTCCTGGAGCTAGATCTGCGACGTCATCGAGTGCCGCCCCGCGTGACGCGGGGGGCCTGCCAGCCAGAGCCTGAGCCACCGCCGGGTCCCAGTCGACTCCGCCTACCGGAGGCACACGCTTTGGCCGGCTAGTGTCTCTCGCCTGGCCCGTGTCCGTTCGAGGGTCCGCGTCTCACACGGCGTTTCCGCATGCACTCTGCTCTTATTTTTGCGCATGCCGCACGAGCTGCATGACACAGCAGAATTTCTGGTGGAAAAAAGGAACCACGGAAGTAAATACGATCAGACGGGATGGGAGATGTACACGGATCCCGCCCCTTGACTGGCTACGCGAGATAAGCGGCGGGGTTCTCCGCTGTAAGTTCATATGTATGTATGTATGTCTGGTCTGGTCTTGCCCGAAAGCGTAGATTGCCCAGGTCGCCCAGCAGTGTGTCCATCAGTTCCTGTGGATGTATAACGTTGATGGATCGGCATCGGGAAAACTGATGCTCAGTGCTTTTGTATGTTTTGCTGGAATATGACTCGATCTCGAGTGCTTATTTTCAGACCGAGTCAGGTTCGAGATAAGGACTGGACTGCGCCTCGGAGAACATTTGTTTGATTTGGCGACAACTCCCGGACCGGGACCAGGAATCGAGAAGCACAGGCGGGCGTGTTCCCAAGTTATTAATACACCGAATCTCTTGAGTCGTCCAAGCCTGGATCTGGATTCCTTCGGCCATCTGGCAGGACGACCTCATAAGAATCAGGCCAGGTGCCGTAAGGTCCTCATCGGCATCCGGGCCTGTCACATGTCATCATCGTTTCGTTCTTCGCTTACAGCTTTGCACTGACGGGATGGATCAGCACGTCTTCCGCTTCCATATCACAACAATGGGCTGGGCTAACCTGCCTCCGATGACGGCTCGCAAGGGAGCAAAACTATAAAGAGAACCCGATGGGTCACAAACGAGCTTACGGCCCTCCGCCACCACATCCCCTTCGCGTTTTAACCAGCTGACCTCCCCGTTGCTGCCCTCTCCTCCTCCGACCCTTCTCTTCTCCGTATTCATAGGACGAACCCCTCGGATTCCCTCCCCTCAACGACCCACACCACACAGCCCGCAAACAACACACCCCATGGTCCAAGTACCTCTTCACTATACGCTCGAGGACCGCACCGGCTCGCCGACGTCGACGGACTTCGACGACATCTACGACCGCGCGTTCTTCCACATCCTCTCGGCACCCACGCCCGGCTCGTCCTCCTCAAGCGTGATGATCTACTCCATGCCGCGCCGTGCCTCACGCGCGCGCGACGCGCACTGGCAGGCGCACCAGCACGCCCCCGCGGCCGTGCTCGAGTTCCCGCTGCACGGCGGGCTCGACGGGACGGTGTCGTTCTTCCCCGGCGGGCATCAGCGGATCTCTGTCGCCATGAGCGCGTATCTGCGCAAGACGTCGATCTTCGGGAGGTGAGCAGGGCCAACTTTCTGCCCCCCCATCGAGGGCGAGGCAGACAGGGGACTGATGGGATGTGTGATTCGTGACTCAGATCGCTCTCGCGCAAGTTCGTGTGCTCGGATGGACGGGAGCTGAAATGGGCGCATCGGAGTGTCGCGGGGCAAGAGTGGACGGTGCGTCTCGGGCGTGTCCTACGCGCGTCTATGTGTGTGTACTGACGAGACGTGTTCTGTTGCAGTGCACCACTGCTGATGGGAGCACGCTCATCGCGCACTACAACCTCAAGCCCCCGGACGTGGTGGAATACCATGTGTCGGGGAACACGCTCACGTTCCCGGAGCACCACGCGCATCTGGCTGTCGGTGCGTACCACCCACCCCACTCGCAGCTTACCCACGGGCTGATATGGAAATGCGTTCCCCAGAGCTTCTCGCGTCCTTCGTTATCATGCGGCACATCCAGCAATACAATCTGTGAAGCACAAGGACGCGTCAGGGCTTGTTTGGCGGCCGTTTCATAACGCGAGTGCCGCCGCGGCCGAGAACGCGCTTCGCGAGATACAGATTGAGCCGGGGCGTCACACGCAGCATGCTGTATGTACACCCGGTGTGCTTCCTGCGTCAGGTGGTCCCGGAGAGTGTCAAGAAGACAGAGACTGTGCATATCCATATCCGTAACGGCATGCCACGTCGGGAGTCGCGTGGAAGCGGTTCTCCTGTGTTACCATACCCGGCCTCTTCATTCGTAGATGAGATGTGCCACATGTACCCATCGCTTTATTTTGGTAGAAGAAAACAAGGTTCCGTTCTGATTTCGTTTCCGACATGGCGTCCTATTGAGTCGTGTCTTTCATCGTTGCGGGAAGCTCGAATGGAAGCAGTATCTCTGGTCCGTGACTCATCCGATGAGATGAAGGACCAGCCACCGCGGCGGGCTCGATCATTGATGATTCCTCTGCTTATCACACACAGCCTGTGCTTCTCTGCATATCCAATCACGGCCCAATCTGATTCAGATTCCGGCATCCGAGCATCTGAGTTCTGAGACTCTCGTCCGAGGCGACTTGATAAGCTGGTGCGGTTGTCACGCAAGCTCCAACACATCTCATTTCGGACGGAGAGCGTACGTTGCGCCACAAACGCGGTGACCGACGCGCGATGTTGACACCGAAGGGGCAGTAGAGGGCCAAGCCAAGCCTTCGTAGCTCAGATTCAGCTCGCGAACGCTTCGGAATCCCAGTGCGGCCTTGCGAGGGTATCACTGATGCCGCTCCTGCTGCCGGGTATCGGAATCCCGGCGCGTCTGTGGAACGCGATGGGTCTTCTGTGTCCGGGTTATTTTTGAATCTTTTCCAGTCATCGAAGAACCTGGCTACGACCTCTGGGCAGCTATCATCCGGATCACATCACGATCAAACCAGATGAAGGGGATTCAGGTAAGTAACGGAAGAAATCAAACATTTTCATTTGAAGTGCTAGAGAAACCCAGAGGATAGATGAGTCAATCCCATAATTTGTGCGACCTCGTCCGAAATGCAGGAAGTGAAAGCCACAGAGCTTCGTTTGATTCCAGGGTTCGGTCGAGAGTTCCAACACGCGAGTAGGGATATAGTGGACCCGTGCTGCTTTGAGAGTGGATCTAAAACACTGGTAGAGACGCCTACGCGCGCCGCGGCTACTCGCCGTATTCCTCTGCATTTCTCTTTGCAGCCTCGTGCATCATGAGAAGACTGGCAGGGGTGATTCTCGGTTTGAGCTTCATTGCTCGTTCTGTGGATTGAATGCATCAGAGAAGTCACAAGCCACTTGCCAGTGACGAGAAGGAGCGGGCTCAATCGAGGGTTCGATTTCTCTCGGAGAAGTCAAGTACGGGTGTTTCTACCATGGAATTCCGGTCTTGAGGATGTAGATGCATAGTGTTTGCCGTGCCATAGAAAGTGCTGAGATATCTGGAGAGAAATTCACCTCGTCAATGTGCAGATCGTGCATGAAATTTACTAGTACAACGGAGATTAGACCGGAGGAATCATGCCGGGTGGGAAATTATGCTGTGGGAGGGCTCGTAGGCGACGGTATTTCTTCTGACCCTGATGAGACACCACGCGTGGAATTCGTTGATGGTAGAGAATACAATTGGTGATAGCTTGGAACATGGTTGGAATCCACACGGGTTGCGCGGGCAGGGCTCCTCAATCAAGACCATTATCCTCGAAATTGGTACATCATTGTTCACCCCGCGTGAGTGTGCGCGACACACCATACTGTAAACGATCGAGACCAATGATCGCATCGAGAACTCGGGGATCTGTCCGCGCAACCGAGCCAGTGGCTCAAGCTGTTCGCAAGGAACGAAGCAGCGGCCAGGTTTGAACCCTTCTCAGAAGTGATACAGAAGGCAGAGCATGTGCAAGCCCGTGATCTCAGATCAGGTGACTAAAGTATTCCACGTGACCTCAGGTCAAACCCTGGGAACGACATGGACACGACCGCAGTGGGTGCAAGTGCCCACTGGCCCCCAATTTACCCGGAGACAACCCAGCGGAAGTTTCAGGATGAGCTCAATCAAGATATCCGATGGATTATATATTTTGAATACGATGTGCAGCACGCCAGCGAAAAAAACAAGACGGAAGTGAGCCGGTCCCTACAACTTCAGTTTAGCCAAGGAGCTAAGCAGGTCAGCTGTCTGAAGGAATTCAGCGTCAGATCGACTAACTTGAATAGGAAGTTGACGACAAGAACCCATGCAGAGGGATTTAGAATGGCGGTAGTCATCCCTCTCACGTAAGCCCCAGCTCGTTTTCCCTCGTCACGCTGCCCAACGACCAAGGACTCCCACCAGAACAAAGGATCTTCCCACTCCCTATCCGTGCCCTCTCGCCATGCGCTACCGCACGCTTGAAATCCGGTGGCACGACTCGAAGCCCATCTCGTCCTGCGACTTCCAGCCTGTGGGATTCAAGAAGGCGCGTCCCCACCTCGGCACAAGCGCGTCGCAGGCCACGCCCACGCTCGCCGCCGGGCCCATGCAGGAGAGGGAGAAAGACCGGGACAGGGACGCCGAGCTGCGCACGGCGTACGCGAGCCAGGCGTACCGTCTCGCGACCGCGGGCGAGGACAACCACGTCCGCATATGGATGGTGCACCCGAACCTCTGTGCCACAGCCGCATCCACCTCCCCCACCAGCGATGGGAGAAATACGATGGGGGATGGTGAAGGGGAGAAGGAGCGCGCGCCGAGGATCGAGTACCTCGCGACGCTGAGCCGACACTCAGCCGCTGTGAACGTGGTGCGGTTTTCCCCCAATGGTGTGTGGTGTGGCTCCGCGTGTCCTCTGCTACGCTTGCTGACGCGTTCTCGCTTCCAGGTGACCTGCTCGCGTCTGCTGGGGACGACGGGATGATCATCGTCTGGGCGCCCTCTGCGTCGCCACCCGCATCTGCATTCTCGTCCTCCGCATCTTCATCCTCATCCACGGCATTCTCGAACCCTGACTTCTCCACAGAAGACCTCCAGCATGAGAAGGAGTGGTGGAAGCCGCGCACGACGTTCCGGTGCTCGACCATGCAAGTATACGACCTGGCATGGAGTCCTACCGGAGACTACCTGCTCGCGGGCAGTACAGACAATGTAGCACGCGTGTTCGCTGCGGCAGATGGTCGGTTCTCTTGCTATTACGGCAGCGTATCTGACAAGATGCAGGCAAATGTGTATGTGAAATCGCCGAACACTCACACTACGTACAGGGCGTTGCTTGGGACCCGATGAACGAATATATCGCGACTCAGTCGTCGGACAGGTCGATGCATGTGTACAAGATCTCGACAGCCAAGGTCGGCAGCTTTTTCTTTCCCGAGTCACCCAGCTCACCTCCCGCGCAGGGCACATTCGAAGCACATTCGATTGGGCGAAACACACGCTTCCCAGTCGCTCCCGTGAGAGGCCGGACCCACAGTCGCACACCGTCAATGCAGGAGAGTGTCCCGTTGCCCAGAAGTCAGTCCATCGACAGCGAGCGGGAGAGCGTGGTTTTGCCGCCAACTCCAGCATCGTTGCATGCTAGTAACAGTACGCCCATGGCTACTCCCTTCGTTATCGTCATGACCCATGTCCCCAGGTTTCCCCGACAAGGCAAGCTCAAGCATGTTCCCACCGTCGACAAGCCGGCGGTCCTCGTTCAGCGGAAGCAATGCCCCCAGCTCACCCAGCATCTCGGTCTCTCGATACGGCCGCAGTCCCTCACCAATGCCTGCACTTCCAGCCATCCGCACGCCTCCGAGTGTTGGTCGGGGCCGTTACGACGAAGCCAGTCGAGAACGGAGTGCTGTCCGAGGCGACGGCTGGGCCGCCGATGACTGGGCGGCTGAAAAGGACACCCGATACGACGCCCGGCGAATGACAGATGGCGCCCGGATGTACGGAGACGAAGGCTACAGCAACTTCTTCCGACGCCTGGCGTTCAGTCCGGATGGCGGACTTCTGCTGACGCCGGCGGGAACGTTTGAGGATCCGGGCTTCCTGGCTGATGAGAGAGGCAGGAAAGAGACCCACGCTGCTCCAGAAGCGGGTGCGAATTCGACTGTTTATATATACACGCGCGCCAACTTTGCGCGACCCCCTGTTGCTCAGCTACCGGGACACCGAAAGGCCAGCGTCGCCGTCCGATTCAACCCTATTCTTTTTGACCTGCGGACGGATGTGGGGTCGACGAGAGAGGCGAAGCTTGGCACAGGAACTGCGACTGGGGAGGCCCACGATCGACAAAGCGAGTGCAAGATGGATGTGGACATTCTTCCATCCAGTGCTCCCGAGGCGACGCCAACTGATCTTCGACCACCGACACCTGCTGCCTCGAGGGCATCTACACCGGGACCATCTGCTGGCAGTATCAAGCCCGGAGCTGTGTTTGCGCTTCCATATCGGATGTTGTATGCTGTTGTGACGATGGACACGGTCGCGATCTACGATACTCAGCAGACTGGTCCCGTCTGCTTGCTGTCGAAGCTGCACTATGACGAGTTGACGGATCTGACGTGGTTTGTGCCACTCGTTTGCTGTCTTTCTGGAGATCTGATTGTGCGCAGGTCGCCCGATGGCCAATGCTTGATGCTCTCTTCCCGAGACGGATACTGCACAATGATCACCTTCGACGAGATTCTGCCAGCCCATCACACGCAGCAGTCGTCCCTGCAGCTGCAGCAGATCGCTGCGCAGCATAGTGTGCCGATCCTGTCCAGTATCGGGACGCCCTCGACCAGGAAGCGACCGCTAGAGTTGCCAATACTGGCGGAGGAGTCCTCCAGCGTGGCTGCGATGACTCCGTCCACGAGTATGGCGTCGCTGGTGTCAGACCGGGAGACGGATACGGAGGATGCGCCACAGGGTGATGCTCCCCCGAAGAAGAAACGGCGCGTCGCATTGACTCGGGTGGGCGATCTGTGAGTGCCAGTATTCGAACGATGGCTGTCTTGTATTGCTCTCTTATCTTTTGTACAACGTACCGTGGTTTCATACTCTTATATCGTCCTATTTCGGTTATGCCAATTGTTGTGTGTCCTATTCGAGAGTGCTTCTGGCCGCAATCATTGGCCGCGTGACTGACCCTTTCACCATGTCAGTTGCAATAACAGTGCAGAATCAATCATGCCTGACGAGTCGACTGAGGAGCATCCCCACGCACTCGACGAGTAGCTGGGACTTTCACGAAACGTGATATAGGGGTCCATTCGAAAACATTCATGGTCAAGAACGATCGATTCAAGCTCTAACGGCAGGACAACACGAACGGAGGAGGGAAATTTCTGGTCGATACAAGGAAGAAGAGAAAAGATTGAGAAGGAAAAGATAGCTCACGGTTGTTACAGTTCCGTTTCGCTTTCACATGCGTTTATTTTTGAACTTTCAACATGGATTCTTTATGAGGTGTGTCTGCAAAACAAAAATTCAGTATACTCACTCGTGGGACTCGTTCAATATCTCCAGTCTATGGAGGCCCGCAACAGCATGCTGATAAGCGATGACTTGTCACTCATAAGCGACGAGTTGAATCATTGATCGGCGATCTATTGAGTTTCGTCACATGTTCGTGAATCAGGACCCCATGCACCAGGCCTTATGAAGTTTGTTTTCCAGAACCTAGCTTAGAGACTACGTAGGTAGATACAGTTAATCCCGTGTATCTCAATAAAGCGCCGCCCGGGATGGAGGATGGGATGTGACTGATTGTGACTGCACGTGCCAAAAGTCGAACTTTGAACGCTGTGTGTCCATTTGAGATACAGCTTTTCATGGAGGGATTGGCTTGCACGTCACTATTGTAGAGCACAGAAAAACTAAACTAAGCAAGGGACGACAGCCGGAAGAATTGGCAGTATTGTGAGCATTGATGTTGGCTCGGGAACTTCTTGAACAAAGAACCGACGTTTCCACCTCCAAATAGGCCCTGCTTGAGTTCCCTACCAGTCCGATAAGATAATGTTAGATCATCTGCGGGAGATAATAGATCTTACGGAGATGTCATGATCTGAGGGTCGCTCAAACGCGTCGGCGAACCTGTGAATAAATCAATGAGAGTCAATTATATTAGAGGAAACAAACCTTGGAGGTCAGAGAGGAATACCAAGCCCTTGGATTTCTCGTATTGAACGTGCTGCATGAAGCACAAAAATATTGCAATGGGATAATGTACGGAGTCGGGACCGATGGAGCAGACTGGAACTGCGCTCGCATTGTTGATAAATTTGACAAACGACTCGTTGTTGTCTCCTGTAGATTTCTTGAGCAAAAATACACTCAAATAAATGAATGCAAACCAGAAGATTCGATCAACTCTTCAATAAGAAAGGTGCGGCGGATGGAGTTTGTGTCCTTGACAGTTTTCCCTGTCGCCACGGGGTTGTGAATGATGGCAACCCCTGCCTCCACAAAGCGGATATCGAAGATGGGTAGATGCGCCGGAGGTGACCCGTTCTTCTCGATAAAATCCCAAATAAATGCGTAGGAGAAGTTGTGAATGGAGATTGCCCAGAATAGAATATTGCCCTCCCGCACAGTCTGACGAAGTTCTTCGGTTGGAGAGAAACGCTTCAGTTGCTTCTCTCGATCCACAAAATCAAACATTCGCTTAGCAGCGACTCGTTGATTGGGAAAGCTGCCCAAAGTCTCCTTTGACAACGGATTGAGGGTCAACCGAGCTTCGTGGGCAGATTTGAAAGTTCCTACACCAAGGAGTACATCAGAGGCAACCAGGGACAAAGTGCCGTTTACTGTTAGCGCCATATCACAGGAAAACGACGCTTTAGTGTTGAGAAGCTCCATGAAGCTTGGAGGATTGATTCTAAAGAACTCAATGTGTTCGGTTGTGTGAACAGCTGCATCCCAGGTCAGACTTGAATAGTAAATTCTGTGCTGAAGCTCACAAGCATTGTTAATCCTTTTTAAGGAACCCCCTTCGCTGAGCGCTCGCTTTATCAGTTGTTCATCTGGAGAGCGATATTCGGGCGCAGAACGTTTTCTAGAGATCAAGTTTGGCGGTGTTGTCGGACGATCCTGAAGTGTGTAAATTAAAGTTGGTAAAAGACACAAGTCTTACCACGTTTGTCCAGCTCACCCCGTGTAGAGGAGCCATGACGGAGGACGAGGCCAATTTCTCAGTACTCTTTGTAGACGGGTCTAAGATCGCTCCAAGGGATCCAGAAATTGTGGAGCGAGTCTTCTTCAAAACTGAGGCTGAGGGAGATATGGGAACAGTTGAATGCGACAAGACGGAAGCCGAAGAACTCCGAGTAGAACTCCGAGTATGAGTTTGGGAGACAAAAAGTTGCCTGGTTGACTGCCTCGTTATTGCCTCTGATACGTCCTGGGTTTGGAACAAGTCAGTCACATAAAACCAGAGTGGAAGTAGAGTGCGTACTTCATTGTAGGGATCACAATCCTCGGTGGATTGCTGCACAGTTGTGCCTTGGTTCTTCACACAAAAGCGTGCATGAACTGAGACATATTATCTGAGACAGAAAACATACCTTGTTCCCCTGATAATCCTCAAAGCGCTGCCATTCTTCGAGATCAATGACAAGGGCAAGCTGAATCGGAGTTTTCGGCTTTTGGAAAACCCGAAGCTGACGCTCCTTCTCCAACTTCGAGCGCCCAACTTTCAGATTTTCCTCGTAGTAGTAGCCTGGAGTATCAAGGGGCTGTGCATTGAGAGAGACCCATCGTTTTATATCACGGACAACAAAGTTATCCGGCTGAAACACAAAGCCTCCCTTTGTCTCCTTCTTGACTATGGCTTCGAGTTTAGGATAAACAAGATCATATACTGCCTGGATGATCATTCGAGGAGTCGCCTTGGCATCCAAATCCCCGCCTTCGTTGAGTGGCTGAGAGGTTGAGTTGAGTGACCGTTTGAATAAAGTGAGGACTCGCACCCCAAAAGCATCGCCCTTGATCTTTCCGACAACTTCATACCGAACACCGGCAATGAAAGAAATTGTTTCAGGTGGAGCACCGACGTATGACGCCTGCGCCCAACTTGCCCGGGCAGCCGACCACTTGGCGTGATTCGCCGAGTAGCCTTTGCTTGAATACTGAGCTGCAGGAGTTGCAAGAATTGAGCCCAAAGAACCAGAATTGCCAGACACATTTGGAACTGAAACTCGAGGCCCTTCATATAGTGAGATCTATGGGTTGAATTTCACGAAAAAATGAACAGACGTACCAGGAATGAAAGACGGAGGGCCCATAGACTGTTTGGGGATAGCCACAAGCTGACTTCTTGAATTAGAGACACCTAGATCGGGTGAATAGCTACATAATGTGAAGTCGTGGTTGGCAGAACTTACTTCCTGTTCGTGCACTAATGTTCTGGCGCTGGATGAGTGCTGCATCCTGGAGTGCTTGGATTGAAATTCCAGATCCACCAGTGCTATCTGCCGGGCGCTGGTCTCAAGGACGAGAATATGAGTGAAGAATATGAAGACTACAAACCAACTCACTGTGTTTGAGCTTGATGGTTGTAGACTTTCCATTGTAGTGATCCCGGCAACCTTGGCAGACGTTACGATCTGGCTTGTTCGCATTTTGGTTGCGAACAGGGTGAGCGCGTTCCCCAGGCAAGATCCATTTATTACCGTAGCACTGGTTTCCATTACCGCATGGGATAGGACCATGATCAGCGCCCTCGCCTGTGAAAGAAGCAGCAATAGACGGGATATTGTCAGACATAATGTGCAGGAGTGGAGACGAGGAGGATTGAGAGTGGGGAGTCCAGTACTTATTTCCTCGCTCCCCTTTGCCTTTAAATCGATGAAGGTTCCTATTTTCGCCGACTTTTCCTGATTAAATTATGTACTTGTCCGCAGTTTCACCGTTCTTCTAGGGCAGGAGCAGACAGAACGGATCTTTTCGCTGATCCACGTGTTGGCAAAAAGCTTAATTTCTCTGAATTCACCCGATATTGGCCGCTGTGTGCATAGTTTTATCGGATGAAGTCGGTGTAATGGCTTTTTCTGTGTTCCGACACATTCATTTCTTTGTGAAGTCACTCCGATTCTCGGCGAAATCCAACCTTTATAAGCATAGTGAAAGCGACGGTCTTTATCTAATTCCTCCCTGCCTTATATTCATTCATACTCACTGTCCTCAATGTCGAAGAATCAACACAAGCCTCCCCGTAAGTGACATTGAAACAGCAGCTAGTATATCTGGGTAATCTGTTGCAGCACCCGCTGAATCATTGCGGCCCTTTATTGAGACCTATTGGTTTCAAAAGAAGACGGATGTCGAGATCCTGGCGCTTTTGAAGAAACATCACATTGATCTTGAGCTTTATGGCCTTGAGTAGGATCCATCTCCCACCTAACACATCTCTTTTACTCAATGCTTTAAGAATTGTCACATTTCGGAAAATCCGCGAGAAGCTGGGCTTCATACGGACACGAAAGCAGGGTCATACTGTAGACTCAATTCATTTAGTGATCAGCAAACTTCGGGTCATTTATCCGAAAGCCGGTGGTCGTGAGATGGTGGATTTGCTGTTGCACGAGGAAAATATGAAGGTTTCACGGTGCGCTGGTACTCCTCAATTCTGAATTCACCCAATTGATGTATTTGTCTTGCAGGAACGTTATAATGCAGTACTTTCATACCTATGAACCGGCCCAGGTTCGTGAGCGCCGCCGTGGCCATTTTCGTCGAAAGCGCTTCTGGGCTGCTGGAGCAAATGATCTCTGGGCTATGGATCAACATGATAAATGGAAGTATAAATTTGGTCTGGCGCTTCACTCAGGGATTGATCCCTTTCTTGGTCTCATCCACTGGATGAAAATTTGGTGGAATAATAGCAACCCCAGGCTTATCTTGAAATATTACCTCGACGTTATCGAAGCTCTCGGATGTATGTTCTCTTTTCTAATCTCTGTGTTCAATTCTCTGATACTGCTGCTCCTTAGTCATGCCATTAGTGACACAGAGTGACCCGGGCACCGAGAATACCGCTGTGGCAAACGGTCACACTCTGATTCGACAACAGCAAGATCCCGATCTTCACGGGAAGCTGCAACATCGGTGGATGCGAGAAAAGAAGAATGTTATGTCGGAAATTACCTGGAGCCAGATGCGACGCCGATTCACACCCGGATTCGAGGATCTCCTGGATGTTGGGATCAACCAGGGATGGTATGATCCCAAGATTCTGTTGGAAGCGTTTGTCTTCTCCCTTAACTGACCGTTTCCTGTCCTCATTTCTAATACAGATTGATTTTTCGATGGGTATTTATTCCCTGGCTTCAAGCTGAACTCGACGCCTATCGCTATCGAGTAAATAACACTCGTAAAAGGCACGATCGAAATAAGGTACTGCCTCATGGTGTCCCCATGCATATGTTCCAATTTCCAGAGGACTATGCAATCCTGGATTTCAAGGCAAGCGTTCATATCCATTCTATCTCCCTCAATTTTTGACTGAACACATCAGCAGGTCCGTGTAGATCCTACAGCAATTGACATGGTGCGGGAGATGTATGCACCAGCCGATCTCCAGATCTTTGAGCTGGTCCCGTCCGACTTCAATAATGTGATCTCCGAGATATACGCCAAGATTGGATCCCCTGCAGTTACACGGCAGAGCTGTTGGGACGTTTATTTGCAACTTGTATACCAGTGCAAGCGGCTTGATGATATTTCTGGGGTGAATCAGAGTGTAGACAAGAGATGGGGTTATACACTTCGCCAGGGAGACGATGATATGCAGGAAATAATTCCACTCCTACCCGGATACGAAGAACTTCGAGGCGGAGAGGGAATACTCGGAAAGAACTGTTACATGGGTGGTGTCAATGGTGGCAATGGCATTGGTATGTGTCATTATGTTTCATTTTCACTTATCAATCAAATCTGACATAATTTACCCACCAGACGATGCACATAACGCTCGCCTCAGTACTCTTATCAACAACATCGAGCCCGAAGTCGATGAGCAGATGCTTGATGACGAAGATGAGCTATTTGCATGGTTTTCGGATGAGGAAGGCCCCGATGAGCTTGCCAATGCCGATGAATGGTAGTTTTTAGTTTATTTCAGACCCTTCTTGTGTTCTCTAGAATCACTACTGATGCTAAAAGGTACAATAGTGACGTGCTAAGATAGTTCCCTAATTATCCTAAAACTATTTGTTGAATTGAAGGACCAGCAGGCTACCTATGAGCAAGCTGAATACGAGATTGAGTGGCTGTGCTGGAGACGCCGAGAAATGCATTTTTCGGCGTCTCTAGCACAGCCTTCTGATCACATAACTCCCAGACAGGGGACCGGACCCTGCCGCTTGTTGGCCTTACTGCCTTATTAAGTGAATAAACTGTATCTACCTACGTAGTCTCTAAGCTAGGTTCTGGAAAACAAACTTCATAAGGCCTGGTGCATGGGGTCCTGATTCACGAACATGTGACGAAACTCAATAGATCGCCGATCAATGATTCAACTCGTCGCTTATGAGTGACAAGTCATCGCTTATCAGCATGCTGTTGCGGGCCTCCATACCAGTCCGGCAAGAAGCACTCTTGTTCAGATTTCTTCATACTTTCCAAGACGATCCGGCCGTTTTGTTACACCCTGTTGTCATTCTTATCTTTAGAGTTCCAGATATGTGAATCTCGAGCCACCCCGTGTCTATTCCCCCAAAATCGCTTTCGCTGTCTTCCTTGCCCATCGGACCCATCCTTCTCTAGGTGGAGGACGAGAGAGACGCGACTGCTTCTCTCCGTTTCTGGTCCGATCCGCGACGTCGTCGACCGTGACGGGGTGTGGTGGGCTTTCGTTCTCCATTTCTACCGAAGATCCAATCTGAGGTATGGGAGGCGGCATAGTGTCAGAGTCAGCTCCCTCCAGACTATCGATCGAGGCTTCCTTGTCATCAATCGAGGCTTCCTTGTCATCGGAAAATTGCGGGGGAGACGATTCCGGTGCGGGCTCGATGTCTCGGGCTTCTGGTATACCTCGATTGTAGTTGGTCCGTTCCGAATAAAAATCTTCCGGCTGGACTTCAATGTTCACTTCCACAGCCTGCACGACGGTCCCTTCGCGGAACTCCATAAGGGAGAGATCTACACTCTTGGCAAATTCTGCAGATTGGGGACAGAAGCTGAGTGCGAGTGGGCTGTGCAGGACGTTGTTGGCTTCCGGAAAGAGACTGTACTGGAGCTGCGCACCGAAGAAGCAGACCGATGATCTGCAGGAATAAAGAAAACCAGGGCTCAGATTGGCGCGTGTGCAGGATGAGCGGGTTCCAGCGAGAAAGGCCGACGAGCAGCGCGTGGCAAAGACAGTCCACGCCTTCATAATCGAATGGGGGGTCGTCATCGAAGAATTCCTCACCCTCGCGCACTTCCTCCGCATCGATCCCCGTGTCCTGGAGGATTAAGAATGGAGGATTAAGAAGACCTCCTTGCATAGCCGGACTGCAACTGCGGCTCGCTCGGCGTTCTGGACCTCCCAAAACGTGGGAAGAACCACGAGCCCGTAGAGGAATCGGACTATCAAGACGCCGTGACTGGAATCAGTGCTAGATCGAAGATGAGACACGGCTTGGAGTCGCATGAGCCAACTGGGCGCTTACTCGGCACGACCGACGATCAATTGCTGTATCCCGCACAGTCCCGCACCTTCCGAATTACCCCCAACGAGGTCATCCAGACGACTCGTCTCCATCAACGTGGAAGTTTGTGAATGCGAGAGCGCGAGACTAGCGACGTTGGACCAATATGTCCAGTGCTTTTTCGCAGCTCCATTCCCCCATTTCCAGATCTTCAAGATATCGTCCTGACAAAAGTACGGCCCGAATGTGCGCTTCCGATTGGCGAAGAATGGTGTCCTGAGGAACAGGCGGCGGCTTCCTGGGAAGAGGGTGACGATATCCACGATACACTCGAAAGCTTGCTCATTTGTCCGAGGCAATTCCTTTCTGAGAGGTTTTAAGTTTGAATATTACGCGGAATAGGACCATATTCGCGCTTACTCGCTGGTGTATTCCAAAATCCCTTGTAAAAGCTTGATCACCTTTTCCTCATCCAAGCCCGAGGAAGGACTCTCGCGGCGGATCATTTTCAACCGATCAATCCGATCAATCCCATCTTTCAAGATCGTCTTTATCTCTTCCAGTAAAGGGTGGGGTCCCAGACGAATGATCTTCGCAGTGAGATTATTCACTTTTTCGCCAATCGCGTGGCCCGCTTGAAGAAACCAGATGTTCATTGAGCGGCCTATATAGCCTACGACCTGAGACTGGGCGGCTGAGCGATCTGTTGCTATTATCAGTGCCTGAGATTGAGGAATGTAGGTGGTTGTCTGCATCGTGCAGAATCGGTGGGTTGGGAGAATGGTTCGAGGAGAGAACAAGTTGCGCTGCATGCACTACAGCAGCAGTCATATAAGGCTGTAGGTATGCCCTAGACCTCGAGGGGCGTGAGAAAAATCGGAAGGCCGTGAAACCGTGGCCATGTCCATGTCTCCTTTCTCCTCATTGTAGCTGTGCATCTTACAGTACGAGTGTGGCATGGGCCACGCACCAATGCCGGAACCGGAATGCTTATGTCAACCAGTGAGATGGCGTTTTATTCAAGAGCAGCCTTTGTTCTGGAAACATCGCCGGTACGAATACATTGAGCCCGTACTAGAACGCAGCAAGTACGATTAAAGAACGTGAGGCAGACCGGTGCTGCACAGGGATCGTGAGTGCGGGAATGCGAACGGTAGAGTGGTATGAACAACAATATGGGATAAGTTAAGAAACGTAGTCAGTACTGATTTCAGGGGAGCGAATCGCAGACCTCAAGTCGGCGCATACTCAGGCGGGAGATCCAACATACTCTCGCCGATCCTGAAGCCGCTGTCCAGATGTCTGACCGGCACCGCGGTGCGCGTCGATCCAAGGGGCGAGTCGTCCACCGAGTCAGGGCTCATCGGGAAATCAGCCGGCGAGTACCGCGAGGGATGGGCGAGCACATCCCGGATGTACTCGGCCTGCTTGCGAGGGACGGGCGCTCCGTTCCGAGTGACGGGCGAGTACTCGGTGCCCGTGCGAGGTGTCCCGTTTTGGATCGCTAGCTGTGACGCCGCAGCGGGGATGCGGATGCGGAGATCTGGGTTCGAGGTGTTCGAGGGCCCAGCAGAGGGGGAGGAATTCGAGGAAGATGAAATCGAGGATTCGCCCGGCTTCGTCTGCGTGGCTGCGACACTGCGGCCCCCAACGACGGGAGAGGGCGCTGATGGCGGCAACACGGGCCGGCGGGAAGGCGAAGCGAGAGAGGAAGAGGAGTAGGACGACGTCGAAGGCGCCGGGGAGTGCAGCAAATGCTGTCGTGACGGTGACGACAAGGACGTCGGCGGAATCGGCAAAGCCCTGCCGCTGAGACTCGGGCTAGGGCTGTGCGTGTACATGTATTCAGCGTTGATGGGCTCCAAGTCGCCATCATCCGATCGACGAGGCCGCATCGGCGGTCCATCCTTCTGCTCCGGAATCAAGTCGAACGACGAGATCGTCCCAAAGTCATGCGTGTCGCGGAAGTGCCCTGCGCGTTTGCGCCGCACGTTGCGCCGGTAGATCAGGATGCAGATGAGCAGGAAGACGAGAAGCAAGACCCCGCCGATGGCAGCTGAGATCAGGACGCTCAGGTGGTCCTGCAGGAAAGTGCTTCCTCCACTCGAAGGACTTGGGCTGGGCGCATCGGGCAGGGCCGAGGGGGTGCCCGACCCGGTAGTGATGAGGAAGGGAGGCGGGGCAGCGGTTGGTGCAGAGGTACTAGGGAGTGGTGCGGAGGGAAATGCGGGCACAGAGGAGGTGCTCGACTGAAGAAGGGAACTAGTCGAGGAAGAAGTGCTGCTAGTAGAAAGCCCCACGGAGGACGTTGTCAGCACACTCGGCTGAGCATCGGCGGTCGTGGTAGTGGTGGTGGTGACCGACGACAGCGATAGGATGACTGCTTGTGTGCGTTGCTCCTGCTGCGAGGCAGTAGAGGACGCTTGCGTCACGGGCAGAGGCGACGATTGAGTGAGGGCATCAGGTGTCGTCTTCCTATAAGATTCGCTCAGTCACACCGCTGTTTCGCGAAAAAGTGGCACTCACGTAGACAGTGCATAATCAAAGATCATGATGGCAGGCTGCGTGCCACTCGTCTGCATAAGGAGCGTGTGGTCACCCGCAGGCACCGAGGCGTTTTGGTACACCAGTGTATTGTACGCAAAGTTCCCGCTCCCGTCAGACTGGTGCGCGAAGCTCCCGACCTGCACCCCATCAAGCAAGAACACGGTGTCCACACTGCTCGCCAGCCCGGACCCAGCGGCGAAGTTCGGCACGATGAAGTAGACGTACACCGCCGTGCCGGAGAACGAGATGCTGGCGGATACGGGAGTTCCCAGCGTGCTCAGGTACAGCGCAGCGCTCCACGTCTGGTCAAATGCCGCGCTCGTGTTGGGCACGTCCGCGCACCCGGCGCAGCTCGTCTGGTTGAACCAGACCGACTTCTTCCCCGCGGTCGGCACAGGAAGGTACGTCGCTGCGCTATCGTCGATGGTGATGTTCGTGGAGCCCGCGGAGACCAGTGGGAAGAGGATAAGGGACAAGATGCCGAGTAAGGCCCACATAGAGGAAAGAGCGAAGGGGGCGCTGGCAAAGCGCATCATGCGTAGAGAGTTGGCCGATGCAGCTTGCACTAAGCTTCACTGAGAGGAGCAGAGGAGGGAGGAGTGGGAGGAAGGAAGCAAAACCGACGTTGTGGGCTTGTTGGCCACATATGCCTACGGGCAGACGCCTGACAGATGAAAATTTGTTCGTCAATCCGAATCCGATGGAACGTACGAGGGAATGTAAGTCAGGCCAACCGAGTGCGATAGCAAAACTGGTCGCTCGGCCCTCAAGTGCCGATCGATGGTTATGTGGGCTCCCCTCAATTCGCCTCTACAGGACTTTCATCGGTTTCAGCGTAGGGATGTAGATAGGAGGACGAAATAATTGGGATCATGAGATAGACACTGGGCCGTGGTAACTTTGGCGCTGGACAGACAGCTCTGGCAGATGGACATGATAGTTGGGAGACGAGACTGTCACTTGAGTCACTGTCACAATCGGTGAGCCTCGACCACTGACAATCTCCGCAACATGCTGCACAGCGAAGTTGACAGCAGACATTTTCCTGCAGGGAAATAGCTACCCAATCATAGCCCCGGGTTCGTCCGTCTTCGTGCAATCGGTTACTCCTGGAAGTCTGCGTGTGAGACGAATCCACGAGCCATGTGATACTTGAGTCACGTGATGCCCGCTCCGCGGTCAGGTGATGGCAACACTGGGCGCGCGTTCACTATCATTAATGCCTGTACCACAGAGTCGAGAACTAAACAACTGTATGGAATGCAGTCAAAAAGCTGTCTCAACCTCCCCTCGGCCGTACTTTGTCGTTCCTCAACTCCAACGGCCTGGGCTTGCCATGCACTCTCTCATACACACCGCAAGCGTTGCACACGCCCTCCCCCGCTCTGTTCTTCCTCCAAAGCGATGTTCTGCGTGTCCCACAGTGGGAGCAAGATCGCGAGTCCTCCGGCAACGCGGCATCCGCTACGGTGCCCGCGGAGGAGGACTCCTCGGCGATATCGAGCTCCACGAGCCGCTGGGGCCGCCGACGCGCACGCTGGGTGAGGTAGACGCCGCAAGCGTTGCAGAGCAGAAGATGGTTCGTTGGGTCGCGGCGCCAGGCCGGTGTCGTGGTCGTCCGGCATTGCGAGCATCGCTTGGTGTGTACATCCGGGGGTGCTGGCTCGAGCGCAGATACGTGGGGTTGGAGCTCGAAGTGTGGCATTGTCTGTGGCACTTGAACGGGATAAATTCTGGGAGATTCGGGTCCGAAAGGTGTCGGATAACGAGTATCATTGCGCGTCGCAGATGTCAGCATCGTCTCGCGCGGACTGATATAAAGCTGTTGCGAGTAGTACGATGGAGGTGCAGTAGCCGTTCCTGAGCTTCCACCAGCACTCAAAATCTCTTGTGGAGAAAAGCGTGGCTTTGTCCCACCTGGAAGCAGGAGAAAGATGTCAATTCATGGCTGGAGGGGCATCGCAAGAGCAAATGAAACTGCATCACCTGCACGTGCTTGCGCCGCGGATGGATTCAGTTCCCTCGCCTGGCTTGAATTATAGTTGTGACTCATGGAAGGTGCTCTGAAAGAGTCCCCGCACTCCTTATATTGCGCGAAAAATGCTCAATACACCCTGGAGTCCGCAGCCCTCCTGGGATGATTCAACAGGGTAGAGCCAATGACACAAGATGCAGTTATCAGCACCTCGAGTTTTGCGCATGGTACTCTACAGCTGACCGTCCGGCTCAAACGCGAACTTGACTCGGACATAGATTGTCGGCGGATGTCGGAATGATGGGCGGGAGGGTCGGATCAATCCCGTGAATTTAGAGGTCTTGAGTCTTGACGCACTACGCTCCCAATTCCAGATGTTACAAATGGGTTTCTTTTCGTATCGAAATCTTTGCTGCCGAATATTAATTTGAAATTGTTCCATCAGGTACAATTGATTGGAGACGCAAAAGCCTCAAATCCTCATCAGCAGCGCATCAAACCGGAGCTACACGGCACGGCCTGTTGATCAGCGGTGGGCCCAAGAATTCCCCGACATGCGCAGCAGCTGCGGGATGTTCTGCGTGAGTTTTGCCCAACTATCACTTAGATTGAATTCAAAGGCTTGATCCTCTTCCGAGGCCTTACAGCAATATGTCTGGACCCTGATAGCGTCGATTCGGCACCGGTCGGCATCAGTGCGACAAGGATTGTTCAGATTTTACAAAAGTGCTCCTTCCAGTTGGGCTCATTTTGCAAGAGAGCTTCACCTCTAATGACTTTCAACATTCGTCCAATTATAGGATCTCTGTTTGCGAGCAAAGCGACAGCTTCTGATTCTGATTTTGTACTATTTCATTTCTGAGATGACGATACGTACTTGGATAAAATAAATGGAACAGGTACATCAGAGGGCATATTGCCCACGGACATGCGAGCAAACTTTCTGGGCTTCCTGAAGCATATCCTCAATCTCCTTGACATACGTATCTTCATCCCGCGGTGCGCTCTCAGCCAACGCATGGAGATGCGTTCGGATCACCGTCCAAGTCGGATCTATCTCAGCGCCAAAGGCAAGGAGCAGTGCGATGACATCCCGCCGCGCTGGATTGAGCGGCATCCCTCTCCACGGATTGTCGGACTCTGCCTGGCGATAATACGAGTTCCCCGGCATCGGGAGGTCGAGCGCCAACAAGAGGACCGGCCCGGCCGTGGGCCCCGGCGGAGTCCCAGCCAGCCACCCCGTGACCACATTCGCTCGGGCATTGGGGTTCGCGCCTGCGCCGAGCAGGAACGCGACAACCGCCGGGTGGCAGCCCTTGACTGCATGGGCAAGCGCGTCGCCGTAGGTGCCCCGCTGCTCGAGACTGGCTCCGCGTGCCACGAGCATCTGGGTCCTCTCCAGATCCCCGATATAAGAGGCGTAGTGGATGACTGTTTCCGTGGAGCCGTCAAAAAAGTACTTGGCGTTGATGTCCGCCCCGTGGTCCAACAGCAGACGCATCGTGTCCCAATCGTGGTTATACGCGGCGAGGAACAGCGGCGGCTCGTTCTCATAGTCATTACGAGGAAATGATGGATCCGCGCCATGCGACAGGAGAACTTGAGCGACATCGCGATGACGATTGCTCACGGCCATCTGCAGTGGAGTGTTGCCGCTGCTCGGGGGCAGAGTCAACGACACACTGTATGGCGGGGAGATAACCTTGAGCACTGTATTGACCTTCCCAGAGGCGCACGCGGCCAACAAGACCTCCTCTGCGACAGTGGGAGTAAGTCGGGCGTCGAGATCGGGCTGGAGGACTGAATTCAGCCCACGACAGCTTATCGCGAGCGATCCCAGCGATCCATCGGACAAATCGCGAGATATGAGCAGTAGGAGCTCCGTAGGCAACCCAGTCAAATATCCAGACATTCTGGGAGTGGATGGAAGGTGTGTGAAAGTGGGAGATGAGCAGCCGTTTAAATTCCAGCTTCATCCGACATTGACAGGTGGAATTGCCTTGCTTGTCAAGGCTTCTCCAGACCCTAAATTCGTGCATCAATCAGATCCCATCACTGATGAAGTCAATCAGATGACTCTGTTCCGGATTCCGATCCGATCAATCGTACCTTCGTCTTGAGTATGTCATGGTCTCATTCACTCTTCACTCTTATCTTTGTACTTATGCTCCCTGCTGTTGCTGGCATTATAGCGCGGCAAGGCAGTGTAAGTTATAGTTCCATGCACAATGATGACTCTCTTTTGCAGTGTGCACCCACCTGTGGGCTGTTTTTGTTTCTGCTTGTGTCACTCTCTAACCGCGCTGCTTCACATGCCACCACTGTGCACACAAGCACATACACCGCATGATGTTGTCTTGCCTCATCCAGTCTCTGCCGGTGGTGCCTGATATGGACAAGAGCCTGAAGAAGACGAGAGCATCTGGCGCTTAGTTACGACTGCGCTGGTATTTTACTTGTTTTATTATGTATAAATTCGATTGTATGGATTTAATCGGCAAGCAAGGCATGATGTCGGCGGAGCCGACACTTTCTAGTGGACAGCCCGACACGATGCTGACAACGAAATGATCCCATCAGATTAGATAAGGAGATTCCCTTGCTCGACAATCAATATCGCATTTGCTCTCTGAACTCATCGAATGACGATACTTAGAATGTTCCTGAATTCCGCAAAATCGGAATGATCCGATTTTCGCCTGAAATCCTGATCAGCAGCGAATCAAACCGGAGCTACACGGCCTGGCCTGTTGATCAGCGGTGGGTCCAAGAATTCCCCGACTGCGGGATGGTCTGCGTGGGTTTTGCCCAACTATCACTCAGATTGAATTCAAAAGCTTGATCCTCTTCCGAGGCCTCACAGCGATATGCCTGGAATCTGGTAGCGTTGATTCGGCACCGGTCTGTATCATGGGAGGGCGCGACCAGGATTGTTTAGATTTTACGTAGGTACTCCGTCCAGTGGGGCTCATTTTGCAAGAGAGCTTCACCTCTCATTACTTTCAACAGTAGTCCAATCATCGGATCTCTGATTGCGAGCAAAGCGACAGCTTTTGATTTTGATTTCGTAGTACTACTTCATTTAGATGACGATGGAGAAAAAACGGAACGAGTGCATCAGAGGGCGTATTGCTCACGGACATGGGAGCTAACTTTCTGTGCTTCATGAAGCATATCCTCGATCTCCTTGACATACATATCCTCATCCCGCTGCCCTGCGCTCTCGGCCAACACATGTAGGTGATTCCGGATCACCGTCCAAGTCGAATCTGTCTCTGCGCCAAAGGCAAGGAGTAGCGCGATCACATCCCGCTGGGCTGGATCGAGAGGCATCCCTCTCCACGGAGTGAAAGACACCCCTCTCCACGGATAGTCAAACTCCGACTGACAATCCCACAAGTTCCCGGGTATCGCGAGGTCGAGCGCCAGCAAGAGGACCGGCCCGGTCGTGGGTCCCGGCGGCGTTGCAGGCAGCCACCCCGTGACTAGATTCGCTCGGGCATTGGGGTTCGCGCCTGCGCCGAGCAGGAACGCGACGACCGCCGGGTGGCGGCCCTTGACTGCATGACAAAGCGCGTCGCCGTAGATCCCCTGCTGCTCGATATTAGCTCCGCATGCCACGAATATCTGGGCTTTCTCAAGATCCCCGACATTGCAGGCGGAGTGGATGAGCGTCTCGGGTAAGCCGTTGAAGAAGTATTCGGCGTTGATGTCCACCCCGTGGTCTAACAGCAGATGCATCGTGTCCCAATCTTGGTTGTACGCGGCGAGGAATGCCAGCGGCTCGTTCTGGTAGTACTCGCAACGATAATTGGGATCCGCGCCATGCGACAGGAGGATCTCAGCTACATCGCGATGGCAATGGGTCACGGCCTCCTGCAGCGGAGTGTTGACGCGGCCCGAGGGCAGAATCACCGGCAGAGTCGCCGACACATTGTATGGCGGGGAGATAACCTTGAGCACTGTATTGAACTTCCCAGAGGCGCACGCGGGCAACAAGATTTCCTTTGCGACAGTGGGAGTAAGGCGGGCGTCCAGATCGGACTGGAGGACTAAATTCAGCCCACGACAGCTTATCGCGAGCGATCCCAGCGATCCATCCGACAAATCGCGAGATATGAGCAGTAGGAGCTCCGTGGGCAACCCAGTCAAATATCCAGACATTCTGGGAGTGGATGGAAGGTGTGTGAAAGTGGGAGAATGAGCAGTCGATTATGTAACTGCTAGCTTGATGTGCTTACGACATTGACAGGCGGTCTGACTCGATGATGACGTCATACGGCTCTGATTAGATTAGATTCCCTGGCTTCACAATCAATATCGCACTTGCCTGCTGAACTCATCGAACGACGATAGACTGTTTCTTAATTTCGCAGAATTGTACCCTTGAAAATCATCCTCATTTCCAAACACCGAGATACGCTTACCGCACAGACGGCGGTTCCGAATGCAATCGGAGTTCCGCTGATGGGTAGGCATTGACCTTGGTAAGCAGCGGGTATGGTGGGGGACATCACTTCATGTCACACCGCATTTTTGCGAATTTTGACCTCAAACATGGCTAGATCTTCCACAAATGTGTAAGAGTGGGGCAAATCTGAAGTTTCAGACCGTGGGAAAATATTTCTCGGCTAACGGCCAAATCCACGATTGGAGTCGAACTTTTGATCCCTGAGGGAACACATTCGGGTGAGCGAGAATGGTATTGGCTCTGTGGTGAAGTGGCCAGAAGCAGTTCTGGAGCGGAAGGGCGCTTTTTTGCGGCAGGGCATGACTTTTTGAGTGTTAAGGGCACGTCGGGATGGCTCGGGTCACTGCCAATCACAGCCATCAATAAATTTCCTTTTTGGTCACGGCCAAATCCAAACCGAAATCTCGAACCTGAATTTTTTTTAAATCTGTCCCATGGGATATCTTGTACCTACTCATAGCTATATATTTGCATAGTTTCAATAAGTTTGAGGCTCAGCTTGGAGCTCCATTCACGGCGGGGTTTTGATCAGATCACTTGTCACGAAGTGATGTCCCCCACCATAAAGCCCGAGAGGCATTCTTCCTCTCTCCATGAAAACTGGCATCGATTCTCCACCCCCATAGGTTGCATAAAATGAGCTGCACTCGGCGCCGAAGTCGTCGTTCGATGCGCCGAATCTTCCGACGAGGAACAGATTATCCGGATCGTGCAGGAGTGTCTTTGGAATGGATGTGCGCTTCCTCTTCACACACAAAAATTCTCTTCATGATTTTATCTGCTTCGCAGCTGGCTCCGTCCGCAGCGCGTGCTCGAGACGGCAAATAAGCAGAGCCGCATGTGCCTCCGCTGCAGCATCGACTCCGTTCCTCCTCATGCTCTGGAGACGGGACCGCGCCTTTCTCCCGCTTTGCCTCCGAGCTGTAGCGTTCTTGCTCCTTATAATTTTTCGTTGGACCTTTCATGCACTGTCAGTCATCAACCGTTTCTTCGCCAGCTGGGCGAAGAGGCCGGCACATCAGATTTGAAACACGCTGCATCGAACGTCGAGTACTTGGGTCCGGAGGGCGGGTTCTGGGTTGCCGTCACGGGCGGGGATGAAGAGCGCGTTGTGGGTTGCGTCGGGCTCTTGGAGAGCTTCCCGCGACGGATAGGAGATCTTCAGTCCTCTCGCTGGACACTTCGGAGCTGCAGATTTCCGCGCAGAGATTCTACGACAAACATGGGTTCAGGATGGTCCGACGATGGATGATACAGATAGGGTTCGGGATTACAGTGGGTATGTTAGACTATGAGTACTGCAGAGCATTCGAAAGCAACAAGAAAGCATAAAATGATAGATGACCACAACCACTCCCTTCAGACCTCGGTGAAGTCGCGAAGAGTCTGGCTCGGGGCCAAGAACGCCCAAGACCTTTCAGGGAGCACGGCTAAGCGCAACTGTTTCGTCCCAGCTCCGACCTTCACGCAAGTCTGGTAGTACTTGCTCTCGTGCTCTGGAAGGAACAACGCGAGCTCAGACAATGAGCGGATGCGCAGATCCACTGCTCCGTGCGTGTAGTCCATAGCTGTGAATGTGGCGAGCGGATCGGGGCATGGCAAGCGCTTTGCGTCGGTGTGTGCGAGGAAGGCGAGAAATGCGGGAGGTGGGGTCAGTCCTTTCGTGAAAGTTAAGAGTTGGCCCAGTGAACAGGACTATGGACGTGTGACTGACCAAGCTTGCCGCAGAATAACTTATGTGTTCCCAGCTTCCAGTCTGTCTTCTGGCACAGCTCGTCGCAGTAGAACGCCTGTCGGCAGTGCGAACATCTTTTGAACTCCCGCTTTGAGAACTCTTGGCGGCACTGACAGAATGTTCGTGGTTGGCTCGAGGTCTAATACTGCATTCATCTAAGCGCACCTGGGGCCCATCGCATGTCACGATTCCCACCCGTCCGCGCGAGTCGAAATCATTCTTGAGGGCAAGACGCGCCTTGAAGAGCGGCAGCATCCGCGACCACGGTGTGATGAGTGGCCCGATTGGGAACTTGAGCTGCGTCTCCTCGAGCGCGGCAAGCGCCCGTTCGAGCTGCGAGAGAACAGAATACGACGTCAGCTGCCCCGGAAGCACGTCGCTCAGGAGTTTCATCTGGTTCGGGAAGAGCGTGTCTGCGTTCATGGAGGTTGACCCCGGAGATGCGAGAATGTCGAGATTCGTCTTAGCGATAGCAGGGAGCAGCCCCGCACGCAAGGCCTGTCGGACCCAGGATGGATTCGGCTTTGCGCATGAGAGAAGCGTGAATATCGGGCCCTGCAAAGTCAGCATCACGCCAACTCCATTGGCCACAGGCGGCGATGCCTTCCCGAGTCGATCAAGACAGAGCGAGAGTTTGACCAATTCAGCGGCGAGGCCGATGTCAAAGAGGATCTCGATCAGCACGTCCGAATACGCCACTGTGATCTCCAGAAGCGCGGTCAGCGACTGCACGGTCCAAGGCAGCATCGCGCTCTTATGCCACTCCTTCTCGCGTCGCGCAGTCCGGATGTGTCGAACGACGAACATCGCATAATCCAGAGAAGTGCCCCCGCACGCGTCGAAAATCTCGTCCTGGACGTGTGGTGCTGCGTGGTTTGAGATAAGAATAGAGCACAGCAGGAGGCCGAGATCAGCCGTGTACGGCAGAGCCCGCGAAGGATCAAACACAGCGCCGCGCCACAGATGGACCAGGTGCCGAAACAGCCCAGGTGTCTTGTGGACAATACCGAATGGCGCCGGCAGTTCAGATGAGGCGCCTGAGAGCCATCTGTCGGACACGCACAGCCGACGCAGAACAGAAAGGCCAACCTTCCGAACGTCGGTTGCCGTAAGCGACGATAGAGTCTGCCGCTTCGATGCTGCGACGTCTGCCCACTCCCCGTCTTCCATTGTCTGGTGCGCGCACACGCATTTCCAGATCCGAGGCCAGAGGCCGACCATACACGACTCTGGGATGAGCGATTTTGTGAGGAGAGTGTCGATGGATTGCAGCACGGGGTATGTCTTGAGAATGTAATCGGCTTCAGCTATCCCACCGTCTCCAGGATCCATCCCTTCAGGCGACTCGAGCAGACGATACAGAAGTGGGAGCAGGGACGCCTGGTCGCGGACTGGTAGCCTAGGGATGGCAAACATCGGGTCCAAGTATCCCGGCGAGCAGTTCAGCGCACTCTTCGCCATGATCTGCGGTCACAATTGAAGCCTGACCTTCCAACAGAGTGAGTACTAGGCGGACTTACCTGCAGACGAACGGGCAGCTTGGTGATGTTCGCCCATTGGAGGGTGCGGTCGGGCATGGTGGTCGCAGAGGGAAAGCGTCAAAAGTCATCGTCAAGACAGTTTGCGATCGAGTCCAGTCGGGAGCCTTGACCAAATGAGGCTACAATCCACCCGCGGAATGATATTGTATGTGTCTCCATTCCCGATCATCTTTCTCGGCATCTTCGGCAAACGGTAACAAGTCCCTCGACACATGTTTGCATCAGTGCGTCGCTGTGAAAAAGCTCAGAGCGCGGCAAATCATGGAGGAATGTTCAGTGCTATCTATTCCTCTGTCTGTGTCCCGTTGCTCATCCCGGACACCGGTTGGCAAGGATTGCGCTCAGGTCCTCTCGGCAGCTTGATAGCAAAGTGATCGGTAACGATCTCCATCGCACAGCCCAGGAACCACAAGGAAAAGAGTTGAGACGGCCGACGGGCTCTGGATGACTATCTGTTCAGATGTTCAAGTGTCTTGCACCGGCTCAGAAAGCCCGACTCAAGCAGTTCTCAGAAGGCTATTGAGTAACAGGGCTGACAAACTGAACAGCAGAGACAATGATTTGAGACTCATAGGGGACATTTCATTCTTCGTGAACAGTCCCAGAAGATATCTGAGGCAAACTTCGCGCCACATTCTCGACGGAGGAGATTCTATGATGGACGGCACACGTGACAACTCAGTTTCAACTTGAACAGCACGTGACACATGGATTCCAGTTCGATTGTGATTTTTTTGTTCTCTGCGGGGGGCGATATCAGGCGATATCATGGTTTAGCTTTGGCTCTTGTTCAATAATAACCCATCGACGAAAGAGACTCACATCTATACATCGGGTCTATATTTATAACACTACAAGTTTGCTGCGCGGCGGTTAGACACTTGCCCCAGCCAGTCCATACTATGTGTACATCACAACCCAGCCTTTTTTAATGAGCTTCTCCAATACTGCCCATCTGGGGTTTGGCGCACATCCGGTATGTCATAGGCCGGGCAAGGATCTTTTGCTGATGCTCAGCCTGAGATTCAAAGCTTCTTTTAAGCCGGAGACAGCAAGGCAATCTGCAGAAGTGCCCCGGCTTCCCCAGAACATGCCTTCATGTGGGTGTCGACAAAATTCACAACATTAATTCCAGTGGAGCTCGTTATGTGACAGCAGACGTCAACTCGAACATCCACGTGATGAACCACGCCTGCCCTGTTAGAATTCCTTGTTCTCATGGGGGTTCGATATGAAGTCATGGTCTGCTCAAGCTTCCGCTATCGTTCTAAACAGCCCTTCGATGATATAGGCTAAAGTTAGCATGTCAAGTTCGTCTTTACAAACGGCAAATACACAAAGGAAGTCTTCTCGAGTCCATAATCCCCTTTACCCTCGATTCCCTAGCATCTTTCTGCGATGTTATTCTCACAATGATGTTTCCCACACCAGACGCACGACTATGTTCCCCTTCTGTCGCGCATGTCATGGACCGACCCGAATCTTGTACCAACTGAGAAGCACAGGCTCATGCAAGCCCGAGACAGCGAAGGGGTTCACAGAGAAACCAAGGTCCCGGAGAAAATATATCCTTAGTGGTTGCCTCGAGAATCCAGGGTCCATCATGAGAACATGAATGACGGCTAAAAATGGAGCTTAACGGAGGGCCGATTAACCGAGACAAAAGTCCAAGCTGCTGGTTTAACGCCAGTTTGACCAGCCAGTGTGTGTTCTGTATTATGTGGACCGGGGAAGGCCGGACATCAAACTACCCACGAAGCCCTGTGCTCCACCTTAGATGACAGCAGACCATGACTTATCGAGTCTGAACGATCTAGCTTCGACTCACGATTCATCCTCGTTCCGTCCGGCCGCCACTGACACAGAACCAGGATTCGCGGCGACATGACCAACCATAGCTGACGAATGCGGATAAATGTCCTGGCAGAAGGCTGACAAAGCTGAGGCTTCCCACAGAGATTCGAGGCATAAGTAGGGATCGATATGCGGTGGTATATCCACCATGTCTCTTCTCGACCCTCCTCCTCCTCCACCGACCAAACTCGGGGTCTACCGGATTCTTTCGCCCAATGCGGGAGTCCACGTGTCTCCCCTGCAGCTTGGAGCGGGGAGCATTGGCGATCAGTGGCAGAAGATCGGCATGGGTGCGATGGATAAAGCGTCCAGTTTCAAGCTCTTGGACGCGTATTTCGATGCTGGCGGTAACTTCATCGACACGGCCAATGCATAGTCAGCCTGTTGTGGTCCAATTCGAAACTGGCTGACATTGGTTTTCGCAGTCAAGACGAGACGTCTGAAATGTTCATCGGCGAGTGGATGGAGCAGCGGGGCATCCGAGACCAGATCGTCCTTGCAACCAAGGTGCGGAGTACTGCTCCCAAGGATGTCTCGCTGTAATCTAATTTCAACTAGTTTACGATGAACTACAAAGCCCGTCGGGGCGTTGCGATCGAGGTCAACTACGCCGGGAACAGCCGCAAGTCGATGGCGATTAGTGTCGAGGACAGCCTCAAGAAGCTACGCACGTCGTACATCGATATCCTCTACGCTCACCATTGGGACTGGGACACGAGCATCCGCGAGTTGATGGATGGGCTGCACAACCTCGTCACCCAGGGCAAAGTCCTCTACCTCGGCATCTCCAATGCCCCGGCGTGGGTGGTCGCACAGGCCAACCAGTACGCGCTCGATCACGGGAAATCGCCCTTCGTCATCTACCAGGGCGCCTGGAATGTCATGGACCGGTCCTTCGAACGCGAGATCATTCCTATGGCCCGCGCACATGGTGCGTCTGGTTCTCTCTCTAGTGCCCGCAGTGTTGTCTGAGCGCAGTCCAGGCATGGCCCTGGCTCCATGGAACGTTCTCGCCCAGGGTAAATTGCGCACGGACGCCGAGGAGGAGGCGCGACGCGTCTCTGGAGAGAAAGGTCGCATGCTGCTCAGCCATGACTGGGAGCGAAACGCGCAGGAGAAGGAAATGTCTCACGCACTCGAGAAAGTAGCTGGCGAGATCGGAGCTAAGACTATCGCTTCTGGTGCGTCTTTTTCCTTGTGTGGTTCTTTTCATCCTTATGCGGGGCATGTGAACAGTCGCCATCGCCTACCTGATGCACAAAGTGCCTTACTGTTTCCCGCTCATCGGGGGCAGAAAGATCGAGCACCTCATGTCCAACATCGAGGCTCTCGAGATCTCGCTCTCTCGGGAACAAATTCAGTTCTTGGACAATGTGGTATCCTTTGACCCGGGCTTCCCTACGACCATGATCGTGCGTTTTTTGACGCGTTCTCGGGACTGGTGCTGATCTATGATGCACAGGGCGATGGCACTGCACCAACCCCTGCTTTGCTCACAGCCGGGCACTACGATCGAATGCCCCTTCAGCAGACGATTCCTCATACGAAAAAATGAGCCGGAGGCGATAAACCGGACAAGCATAGAACGTTAGTGCAAGAGAAGTAGGCCGCAGTGTAGGCATATTATATATGTGATGCAACTCTTGATTGGATCGAAGCGTGCCTTGGAAGTGCCGACACTGGGCATTCTTACTCGTGACCATCCGCGGGATGATGCCCTTCTGCTCTTTCGGGCTGCACACCCCGTGCATGATGGAGAGCTATGTAGGCTATAGCCAGGCGCAACTTGGCACAACTCTCTGCCCATTATGATCATCCCATCGCCGCCATCGACGCATCGATGACCGAACGAGTAGACGGAGAAACAGGCTAAATCCAACGAGCACACACGAAGCGGCTCGGCGAGCCGTACAGTTGAAGCAGTACGTCGCACCCACATCTTAGTGCAGAAGAATCGCACTCGGTGCACCTCCGTCATGCATTGTGACGAAGAACTCCAAGCTCAGATGAATCCTTCAGAAATAGCGGAGGTCGGAGAGTCGAAGCACAAAGAGGAGGAAGTGTCAAGAGAAGCATCAAGATCGATAGATAGCACGAATGAATTGCAACCGAAAGACAGTAGGACAACAGGCCAGTCTTCGACATAGGCAGATATGATGTAGGCACCGCACCACAGCTCCCTGCACTCTGCTTCTCCTCCCGGCGAATCATGAGCGCCAGCCAACGAAGGCGGCACCTCCCCACCAAGACGAGCCATGAGCGAGAACAGGAAGCGGATACGGAGGCCCGACGCGCGTGCGCGCCGGCCGTTACTCTTGAGGACGGGAACGCGGACAAGGAGGCGGGAGAGCTTATACCGAGTCCGAACTTTTATCTGTATGAGTGTCAGCAAGGGCTGGAGGACGAGGAGGAAAGGGGTACGGACGTCCTCGTGGTTTGTTCAAGGAAAAAAAATCTCGACGTGGGCTTTTTATAACTAAGCAGGTGCTGACAAAGCCATTACACGTGCCTATGACCACATTTCTGTGTCAATGGTCTTGTCTTGCCTCTTCGGTCCTCAGCTGCGGTGCTTTGAGAAGTGGATGTGGATTCTGCTTCTATACACCCACGTTTGAAACACGGCGAGATACCTGGCCACTGCTGCTCATGCACTCAAGACCAAAGCGATCGCCGGTATCGGGCGCCGAGAATCGAAGACCTTCTTTGGGTTGTAGCTAATTTGCTATCTCTTGTCTCTATCAGCCATGTCTACCGCCGTCCACGCCCATCCCGACTCCGCATCATACTCTCACTCCGGCTTTGCCAACAAGATTGGTTGGGGGGCCCGCCCTGCACTTCTCATCATCGACGCCTGCCTCGCATACTGGACACCCGGCTCCCCACTCGACACGACCTCCAACCCCGCCAGCGCTCGTGCCCCAGACTCAATGAAGCGGCTCCTTGACGCCGCGCGGGCGGGCGGTGTGTCCGTCGTCTGGACGCGCGTCGTCTATGATGCACACGGCGGGATGCAGGACGCGGGCATCTTCTGGCGCAAGACCAAGTCGCTTGACATTTTCCAAACGGGCGACGAGCGCGGGCTCGGCGGCTGGGTCGCTCACGCGGGTCTGGTGCCGCTGGAGGACGAGACGGTGGTGGACAAGAAGTACCCCAGCGCGTTCTTCGGGACAGACCTGGCGACGCGGCTGCATGTGCTGAACGTTGATACGCTTGTCGTGTGCGGAGTGAGCACTAGCGGGTGTGTGCGAGCGTCTGTGCTTGACGCGATGCAATATGGGTATCGCCCGATGGTAAGCGTCTACTGCTACACAGGATGAATGGGTTTGGTGCTGACCCCGGCGTAGGTCGTCGACGAGGCGTGCGGTGATCGTTCGCCTCAGATCCACAACGCCAACATGTTCGACATGAATGCCAAATACGCTGACATCGTGTCGGAGGAGGAGGCGATACAGAAGCTGGCCGCTGGATGGAGCTAGACGCAGTACCATACTGCTTCTGCTGTAGTCTTCAAGGCTTGCCAGGCCGGGGCGCTCGAGCTGGCCAGAGATGAAACCAATGGAATCGGCGTCTTGAAAGCAAGTACTGGCATGAATCGACTATCCCGTTTGTAGATTCACCGTCAATCTGCACAGAATCTCCGAGAGGCAGATGCTCGCACGCTAGAACACTGTTCTCTGCAGAAGGTGGAAGGTTACCCCCGATGACCGTGCAACTCTGGGCAGCAGTTGATCTCGGAACCAGGATTGGCGGGAAGCATCTGGGTCCATGATGGGACATTGATGTTGGGGGAGTGCAGAAGCCTTACAGAAAGAGCTTCAATGCAGAAACAGAGAGAAGAGCAGGAGAGGCAGCCCAAGCGGCAAGGGACTTTTGCTCGTTCCATATACCTCTCAATTTCCTCTTCTCTACGCTGCGACCGCATTCTTAAAGTGACCCCGACTTGCTCTGTGGCGTCAAATCCCAGAGAAACCTCGGCCGACAGACTGAGTTTGCCACCCTCAGAACAAGCGCCAGCAACGATCGATTATGCCACTTAGAGTGTTGTATATCAATTTGCATGCTTGAAACGTGCCTTTCGGAGAAGACGCTCACAAAGCCAAATCCCGTCTAGATGCGATAGAATCCATGTCGATGAGGAAGGAACGAGTTACCAAGAGTCTGTTCCCTTTGTGAGCTGTTGTCGATGCCAATGGCTCAATCAATGCGCGCGGATGAGTATCGGGGATTGACCTTTGTTACCAGCGTCGCGGCCCCGAAGCCGTGATAGTTATCCTCTGGAAACCAAGCTCGTTCACTGCGATTTCTGTCAAATCGTGAATTGTCGATGATTTGAATCAGGGCGGAAGAGGGCTTCCATTGGCATTGAGTGCAGACACCAGTCGGAGAGATACGAACTCTGAAGCGGTGGCAAATGTTGCTCAGCTCTCAAAAGTAAGTCAATTCGTCCCGTGGCGCAGAGGCTCGGACCAGATGGTTTCGCCTCTAGACTGGGAAGCTTCCCGGAAGCAGCAGCAGACACAGGGTTCGCGTACCTTGATGGACAGCTTCTTCGATGCCGCCTCTCCGAAGCGACGCAATCCATATTAACTGCTATTAACTGCCACGTGATAAGCCATCTGGTCTGTTCCTCTCCATCCCGATATCGTGGCGCCGAAAGGCACACTCATCTATGAGTCGATGTTTTGCGTTTCATCTACCTCATGATACTTCCGGAGCTGCTTCCAGATGCTGATGGCGGGGATACCCCGCCGTGCGGAATCTACGCATCACGCCAAGTCCGACTCGAAATGACTCAGACCCCGACGGCCGACCCGATGGGGCGCATTTCCACGGGATATAAGCGTGGCCGCGATCCCTTCAGTTGGCATCGTTCCTCCAGCACCACATCCGCTCTCATTCAATCGATCCCTCGCCTCGATACTAGCAAACAATTATGTTCCTAGGCTTTGAAACCCTGGCACAGTTCTTTCCCGGCTTGATCCTGTGGTGTGACCCCAAGTCGTCTGAAATGGAAGCGACGACGCAGCCATCATACGTCGTGCATGACCACACCAGAACACATGAGCTCAAGCCCTGCATGATCATCGCTGTCGACTACCAGACTCAGATAATACAAGTCGCCAGGCTCTGTGGCGTGACGGTTGGTCTCTTCCCTACTTCTCCTACGCTTCCAGTGTGAATGTGAGCCAGCCGCATGATTCACGCAAGTGGGTCTGCATAAATTCGAACCCAAAAATCACGTGGAAAGTCCCGGATGCGTGGATCTGGGTGGGCACTCCCGCAGTGATTCCGATGGTTTTGCACAAGCCTAGAGTGATGCACCGTGAGGACATCTTGGTGAAATTCTTCGCCTTGTTGCTGACTTCGGAGAAGCTCATCAGGATCCATATTACAACGGGCCGGCATTCGCTCGCGCAAATCTTCAAGGTTATTCGATGCATCGCCAGAATTATTTGGAGAATTGCGGTATATACCATAAACCATCATTCCCAAATAATTCTTGCTCAATCGCCCTCCCAGCGGCCAGCTACAAGCAGCTCTCTCCCGCCTCCTCTAATAATGTTTCGACACAGAATCCAGGTCCAGAATTTACGAGCCTCAGCTCACATCCTGTGGTAGTGCCGGCAGGGTTCACAGAGCGCAGCACAAACGCCCCGGGCTGGTGGAGAGATCCCACTACTGGCTGGTTCTGGCATGCCGAGAAAGGCTTATTTCCGCCCACAAACTAAGCTTTTCGGAGTTCACAAGTTCAATATTCTGGGGCACTTGATTTCAGTGCTTAACAGACGCGAGTATCAATTGTTATAAATATAATTTAAAATTCGGACCATCGCTCGCATTGTACTAGAGTGCAACAATCAGGTGCTGCTCAATACATAACTCAGTATCGCGTCAGAAGGTGCCAAGTGTGGCGGTGCATACATTTGTCCTCGCTCACACACTTTGACACCGCCACTCAGTCTCAAACTCTCTCCGGACCACTGTGGCGGAAGCGTCCTAGAACGAGTTCCGACACAAGGTTTTCTGGGTAGTCAATCCACGAGTGACAGGGATAAGCAATGAAATTTGACTGGTGTACCGATCGTACACCTCTATGTACTTATACTCCGATCGAACTATCTACGTAAATAATCACAACCAATGATGGGGAGTCATCAGAGTCAGGTAATCAATCAAAGAGATCAATCCGTCACATACGCCCTCCAGCTCGACGCTCGCGGCGAGCTCAAACCATCTCTTCGTCAGCCCCCGCCCCACTCCCCGCCGCCGCTCCTCCCGCGGCCAAACGATTCGCCTTCGCTTCTTCGATGCGTTGGCGGCGCTTCGCGATCATCGCTCCTCCGTTCACCCCAGTCGCGTAGTCTTCCGTCGACACGGGCATGTCCTTCTCGGCAAGGCGTCTCTCCCTCGCACGCCGGATAGCACGGTCACGTCCTATGATAGCCTCGCGGCCCTCATCGTATTCGGAGATGGTGATGGTGATCATCCCCGGGGCAACGCGGCTGGCCAGGAACTCGTCCGAGCAGAGCCCATCATGAACCGTGGGAACGTATTGTTCGGCAAACACGATCCCACCATTCTCGTCCACTGAAGCGAATGACCAGCTCTTGTTGTCGAACAGGTTGCATGACGCCCCGAGCTCGGCAATACCCACCGGGCCCCGACCATACACCGTACCATCGAAGTCGGGATCGTTAACGGCCTCGTTCCAGAGGAGGCACTGTTTGAACTGGTGGGCCGTGAGGATAGCGTCGCCGTCGACCATGTGAACGAGCAGGAAGCTGGGGGTGACCCATTCCAGGGTCCCCTTGTGCTTAGAATTAAACTCGAGGTGTTGTGGGGTAAGTGGTTCGTCCGCTTTGGTCCGGCCATCGACCACGTTGCCCACGTACGCGTTGGGAGTCTGGGAAGCAGGCATCGGTAGGCGGGTTCTCGCAGGGGAAGGAGAGATCTGGTGGGAGCACAGGTTCGCCCCCTCCTCCCTATTTGTTTCATCTTGCCCGCCCCCTATACAGGCAATCCGCGTGCTCCCGACCTGTAATTCGATCGGCGGGGCTTCCTTGATCCCCTTAAGCAATTGGGATATGTGGTTGATCCCCAGCACGTCGAAATAGTCCTGTAGAACGTTCAGCTTACTCACTTGCTGGTAGGGCATCCAAGTCAGGTCCCCCGACTTCCACTTGACCTCGAAGAGGGCTCGACGTCGACTTCCTGCGTGTCCGACGACTCGATCCACAGCCCATTCGGCGTCTGTCGCCGCGTCGGCCACATTCAATTGATTTTCCATTCGGCCGGGAAAGCGCCGGTCATCGTTAGGCACGTGTATCCTTAACAGAGACGCATGGAAGACGTCGTGCAGGCCCCTCTGGACCAGGTTAGGGGGTAAATCCACTCGGAACGATGAGTTCCCAAAGTCGCGTGTGATACGGTAAGGCCCGATGAATTTCGGAAGCAGCTTCCGGGCCAGCCCTTTCTCAAAGTGTATGTTCTTCGTGCTGAGATACACCAGGTCGCCCTCCAGGAACGGGGCCGGTATTCTCTTCCGGTTTGCCGTCCTGATGTGTTTCACCCGGGACGCTATTATAGCGTCGTGTGCGGACATTATCGCCAAGCGTCGTTGGAGCAGGAAAGCGGCGATACCTGGGAACTCCTTCGACTTGCTGGACTCCCACAGCAACGATCTCGGCATCATCCCATTATTCAGGAAGAACGGTGAGTACCCGGTGGTTTCCGACCGGGCCATGTTCATGGCGAACTCGACGGCCGGCAGGCGAGTGACCCAGTCTGTTTGTTTGTCACTCACACATTGCCTCAGGAGCTGCGTCACGGTTCTGTTAGCGCGTTCCGTCGCTCCGTCGGTCTCTGGGTGATATGCGCTCGACATCTTCAGTTCCGTCCCTACGAGCTCATGCAGCCGCTGCCAGAACGTGCTAGTGAATAACACATCTCGGTCGCTCACTATTGCGTTTGGTAAGCCATGATGCTTGTACACGTGCTCGAACATCAACTCAGCAAATTGTCGAGCAGTGTAGTTCACCCGACAAGGTATTAGGTGAACCATTCCAGTCAGCAGGCACACGACTACCGCGATGGAATTGAAGACGCTATCCCTATTTTTGGAATTAGGCAGCGGCCCCACGAAATCGACGCCGATAGCTTCCCATGGCCGCTGAGGTGTGGACAAGGGGTTGAGCAATCCATAAGGTGCGTGATTATTCGGTTTGCTCCGCTTGCATACTGAACATGATTCACAGTAAGATCGGGTGTCGTTGACCAGGTCTTTCCACCAGACATGCTCGCGCATGTAGTCTACCGTTTTCCGAGCGCCTAGATGCGCCAGAACGGAGTGCGCTTCTGATATAACCACTTCCCGGATAGATCTGGCGTTGTATTCTAGTTTGGGGATACATAGAACAATGTGATCCTTGTCCCTCATGTATACCAATCCATCTTTCACCTCAAAGTTCTTATATTCCTTTGGCTTGTCTATTATATCCTTGAAGAACTTGTCTTCCCCGAAGCGTCCCCGAATGAACTCTACCAGGTCCAGTCCGTCCTTTCCTTGGCGTATGACCGGTATCAGTGACGGATCTGTCTCATTGATCCGCGAGTTCATGACGTTCTCGAGGTCCGAGGGCCGATCAGCGGAATCAAACTCACTGGCAGGTGGCTGTAACCCGCCCTCCTGCTGGTCGCCAGTTCTCTCAGTGTTTTTCTCTTGTTCTCTATCTGGTGTCCCGCCCTCCTTCTCGTCCCGTGGGGCGAGAACCTCTTTTCTCTGTTTCGCTCTGGGCGTCGTCGCCACCTCCTGTATCCGATCCGCTGTCGGGCCCTTCAATTTGTCCAGCAGTGCCTTCGCCGCTTCAGCGTCCGCACGCGTCTTTGACCTCAGGACCCGGTCAGACGAGACCGCCATTGCTTCGAGACCGGACAAAACAGGCATGGATACGTTGTGCACGCCCAGCACGTCGTTGTCTATCACATCGTGGTAAGTGTATTCGGACCTTCCTCGTACTGTCCCAGGCGTCTCATTCGAATACATTCGAGATAGCGCGTCGGCCAACACGTTTTCTGGGCCCGGAACGTACACCACTTCAAAGTCAAAACTTGAAATCTTCTCCACCCACCGCGCCTGACGGCCCGAGAGGTTAGGCTGGCTCAGAAGGTGCGTTAATCCCTTGTGATCAGTCACCCATTGAAACCGGCATCCCTGTAGGATATCCCGGTGCCTCAGCATCGATTCTACGCCTGCCAGCATCTCGATCTCGTGCACCGGATAATTCTGCTGGGCTGAGTTCAGCTTAGCCGAGTAGAAGGCGGCCACCTTCCCGCTCTTCCAATCCGGGCCTTGGCACACCACACCTGAAACGCCCGTGGCGCAGCCATCCGTTACTAGGAAGATAGGGTCCGCGTCCGGCCCGTAATCCAGGGGCACTCTGTGGTGGTGCCTCAGGTCAGACACAATGCGTTTTATGTCCTCGAACGCGCGCTGATGCGTGTAGCCCCAGCGAAACGGAACTGTGTCCCCAGTCAAGCCATGCAGGACCCCCATGGGCACGCGTACCCGTGCCAAGTCATCCGCCAAGTAGCCTACCGAGCCCAGGAAGCCTCGAAGCAAGTCCCGGTTCGTGGGTGTCTTCCAATTCACCACAGTGTCCACTTTCTCGGAATCCATGCGGATTCCTTGGTCTGTAATCACGCGCCCCAAGACCTTCAGCTCGGCCTTCAGAAACTGGAGCTTGTTCTCGCCCAAGTATAGTTTCTCTCGTTTCAGAACGTCAATTACTAACTTAACGTGCTTCTTGTGGTCTTCCAGAGTCGCGGAGTAGATTATGATATCGTCCAGATAAACATCCATGAACCGACCGATATAGTCTGAGAAAAGATAATTCATGAGCGATTGATAGGTCGCCGGTGCGTTACAGTCTCCTTGCTGCAGGACCAAGCTCACCATATTTCCATCTGGCGTCGTCATAGTGGTCCTATCCACATGCTCCGGAACCACGCGTATCTGTTCGTACGCATCCTGGCCATCGATCAGGGATCGAAACCGGCAACGCGCCACGCGGCGTAGTATCCCGTCCATGTCTGGCAGCGGCGACGCCATCTTTCGAGTATTCGCGTTACGCTCACGGAGATCGACCACTACGCGAAGACGAGGGGGGTTGGACTTTGCTTTGGGAATCAGCAGCATCGGTACGGTGTTCCCAGCATTCGTTATCTTCCAACGCCCGGTTTTCAGGTAAATACGCCGCTTCTCATCCCACTGTGGTCTTAGGGCGTCTGGGCACCGGGACATTCGCCAAGGCATGACTTTAACCGGATCTATCAGAGGTATGGTATGATTAATAGCACGCAATGGTGGCAACTCCGTTTCAGCCGCCACTCGACACACTTCTCGAGCGTATTGTTGCAGCTCCTCTCTAGCCCGTTCCAGCTCCCCGGCTTCCACGTCCGTGGCTCCTGTGTGTAATCGTGCCGTGGCCACTCCTTCTAGCGGCGTTGGCTCTGCGCTGCCCACGCACACTCGAGACGGATTGAAACCAATACTAACGCGGTGCTGAAAGAGCCACGCGGTCCCCAAGATCAAGTCATACCCGCTGATATTTGCTACAAAGAAGGTACGGTGCCCATCTATATCTTGGTATTTTGTCCTAACCCGAGTGGTATGGTTAATCTTCGATCTCGATCCCTGGACAGCCAACTGGAGAGTAAGTGGCTCGGTCAGGTTTCTCAAAGGTAGCCTCAGCTGATCTGCCACTGTAGTCGAGATCAAGTCACCCAACGATCCCGAGTCCACCAACGCCCGAAGCGGGTGCCCGTTCACATGGACAACGATCACCAGTGGCTTAGCGACCACGGTTTCTTTCGACTTCGGGAACGAAGCTGATCTTGCGATCCCGCCCAGTTTGTCTGCCGGCACTTGCACGCCATGACATGCCAGGGCCGTGGCTAGGCCTTCTGTCGTATCCGAAATGTCACGAGCACGCCACCAGCTGTCAGGCGGTACCATGGGATACGTTAGTGCTCTGCGGTGCGCCTGATCTAACTTTTGACGTCTTCTGGCCAACAAGTTCGCCAGGTCCAGCCTCGGGTTCAGGAGCTTCTTACGCGGCACATCCACACGAGTCAGGACCCCACTGCCCCGGTCCATCTCGAAGGCGTACAACATAGGTACGTTTGAGCCATCGATCCTGTCTTCCGCGGGTTGTGGCTCGATGTTGACGAAACTCCCATATGCCACTGGGTCCAATGCCACCATCTCGTCCATGTAGAAGCTCAGCTGAATACCCAACAGGTCATCAACCGCAATTCGATGCCCCGGAGCCGTCCCTTCTGACGGTATGAGCAACCGCTCGCTCACTCGACCGGAATACCAGGCGGCGAGCTCAAAGTGCCGATTTTCCAGCATGGAACTCGGCAGGTAAGTCGACAATCTATTTACGCGGTCTCTAACATAATATCCTTCCTCGCACCAGGACGACACCACGCTGAACCGTTTACCTGTCCAGCACGGGGCGTCGGGCCTTATCCTGTCGTCACCAGGGTAGGGCTGACAGAATTCCAGCAGGCTTCTTACGCCATCGGCCATGAGGTCTCCGACCTGCCTCCCACAAGATTTCCCATGCTGGGGCTCATCGGAACACAAGTCCCACTGATCACTCCCTGGCCGCACCGTTTCCTCCGACATCTCATAACACAGATCCCCCATTGAGCCTATGGGGCTCGGCGAGAGGTCGGGCTGAAGTCCACAATCGGAGGTTGTGTTTACCCACGCTTGCCAGGAGGCGTTGTACGGATCGTCAGCTCCTTCCTCGAGCTCGTCGTCGGATTCGTTGGAGCTCTCCAGGGGAGGTAAGTCGTCGTACAGTTCACTGCTACCGTCCCAGTGATCTCTGTACCACCTGCGCAGATCGAGGTCCGGATTCAGTAAGGTCGAACGCTCCATTCGCATCCGCACATCACTATCTGTACGGCCAAACTCGAATACACCTGGCGACACTTCCTGTCCCTCGACCAATAACCTTTCCCTGTGCACATAGTCATCACCGAGAGATTCCTGTGCGTACTGTTGTAAGAGAATGAGTGTCATCGCGAAAACAGGATCGCCCAACGTACGGAAGTATCGTTCCGGGAGTATTAAGTCAGGCGCGTCGGGGTGTATGCCCTGTGCTAAATAGCATTTCTGAGCCCAATGCCAGCCCAGTTCGAAGTTGGGATCTTGCAAGTCGGCTGATTTCACCAGCTCATCGCCCTCGAGAATATCCAACGGTGTGCCGCAATCTAAGATGCAGTAGTAGTCCCCGCCCAGGACGCGGTAGACCAGGAAACGTCCCTCCGTGGGCTCGGAGCCGTCGTCGCCCGGGAACGGGGCGCATCGCTGAAGAACCAGGCTAGCGAACCGGGCAGCCAGGTCCCCAACGCCTGTCGATCCCAACCCCGTGCTTTCAGTCAACTCAACGGCCCGGTCGATTAACCCAAGCTCAGGCCGGCGTGGGCTGGTGCAGTCCGCGGGATACGGGTCCAGCGTCATGGACCGGATTCCATCGGCCAGTTCCTCCACGTCCGGATTCTCGACCAGCCCCCACGCAGTGTAATTCAGCTCATCATCATCCAGGTCCTCCGAGTCGTCCCAGCTCTCCGCATCCTCTTCTGACCCGTCGAGCCACGACCATCGCTCCAATGTCGCTCTGTCCTCCCTGAATCCCACTGGGAAAGCGCTCGAGACTTCCAGCGTGTCAAGGACTTCAGTAGTCTCGCCCAGCGAAGCTAAACGAAGGCTCACTCCGTGCGCCCCAAACCCTGGAGGTTTCCCTTTCACTTTGGACCTCATGGTAGTGAGCTTTGGGCAACTACGCGCCATATGACCGGCCTCTTCGCAATTTAGGCATACCCCTCGGGCCATGAGCTCGGCGCGCTTCTGAGGAGAAAGTCGTCGCTCCCACGGTCGGTCCACTTGGTTCTCGTGGGCTCTGGGATGGGCCGTCGTGGATCCAGGGCTGGTAGTGGGTCGTGAGGCAGGCCTGGTGGCATTCCCACGCGGCGGGATTACCGCGGCGGCGGATGCTTTTATGACTCCATTCTGTCTGCGTGAGAAGAACCTTTTCTTCTTGCCCTCTCGAGAATCGTTGCCCGAGGCGGCTGCACTGGTTCCAGCAGCGCTATTTGTTCCACCTTTCGGTTTACGCCGCTTGTCGAGGCTCAGGAATCGTTCGGCCCTCACCGCCTTTTTAACAACGTGGGTCCATTTCGACTTCTCCGGGTCCAGGCCGAATCTGAAAAGCTCTTCCTGAATGTCCGCGTCGAAGCTGTTCCAGAGCAGCGCTACCCGCTCGCGATCTTTCTTAAGTCCAATCTGCAGGAGGATGCTCTCGAGCTCGAGAACATGCTTGTTCACTGACTTTCCGTTCTGATAGCAGCGGGCCAACCGTTTACGCTGCTTCTGGCGGTAATCCAGTGAGAAGCAGTACTTCAGCAGCCGGCGCAGCATTTTCTTCAGCGTCCATTTGTGTTCGTGACCGCGAATTCTTCGATTATAGAAATCCTTTGCATCTCCATCCAGGAACGACCCGATTATCGCTACTCGGTGAGCCCTAGGTACGTTTCCTAATTCGCAGTATCTATTGGACTCATCGACAAACTGTGTATACAGATCCGCGTTCTCCGATCCGTCATAACGTGCCGGGGCGTTTGGCTTAACCAACATCCTTCCCTTCGACCGGGCCTTGGACTTCCGGGATTTCCCCTTGTGTCCCCTGGCCCTGCCCCTTCCGGCAGACGACCCCGAGGTTGAACTCGAGCGGTCCGTGCTAGACTTCGAGCCTGAGCTCGAACTATCGGTATCCGAGCCCGAGTCGCTGGACGAATCGCTAGGCGGACCGCCCCCATCTGAATCGGAGTCACTATCCGAGGAGCTCGAACTGGAATCACCATCATCCGAGGGTTGGAGACTAACCCCCCGCAGGACACTAGTTACAAACCCAGCGGATCCCTTTGTCGACTTCGAACGCCCCTTTTCTACGCTCGGCTTCGGCGACAAGGTCTTCCTTTTACCGGGTGAGGTCATCGGCTCAGTTTTCCGTGGTTTCAGCTCCCGAGCCTCAGACAGGGACGAGGTTCCTCTGTTCCGATCCCGGTCCTCAAGCTCAGCGATTCTATCCCTCATTCGGGCGAATTCCCTCAGGAACACGTCGCGGTCGGCCAGTAGGAGAGCGCCATCGGGCGGGCGATGCCCCGCCATACTTATAGCACCGGCGTCGTTCCGGTCGGGTGTCCGACTGCTCTGCCCTCTTTTGGCCACTTCAAACGTCTGGAGAGCCGCTTTTTGCTCCTCCAGCTCAGCGTCGGATAATCCGATCTCCCCCCAGTTGCCCGGGTCGGGTCCTTTGCCCTTCTCCTGCGATGGGCCGGCGACCGGTGGGGATGGTTCGCCGACATCCTCAGACCACTCGGCCGCTTCCAGGGGGTAGGCGTGATCGCTCTCGTTCCCAGAGATCCCACCAGGCGGGTCGACTTCAGTATTCGACCTTCTCGACATCTCACCAGTCGCGTCCGATCCGGTGTCTGACTCAGGAGTAGAGTCGATGTCGGACTCCCGTTTGAAGACGGGCGTCTTTCGTTCGGCAGCAATAGCCAAACTGGCGTAGCGATCGGAGATCAGACGCAGCACCTCCGGGGACATGGATTCGGCCGCCTCGTCCACTATGGAAGTAAGTTCCTCCAGACTATTCTGCGTTTCATAGTGGCCCTCGCTAATTCTATTCGTAGTGCCAGAGGCTACGCTACTGACAGACTCTCGGTGTGTGCGAGCCGTCCGCTTAGTTGCTAACGTCCAAGGTCCATCTTTGTCCTCGACGTCCTCGATCGTGGCGACCATGCGTCGACGATCGGTCTCGCCCCTGTCTGACACAGACAGGGGCGGATTCTCCGTGTGTACACGGGCTGGGCTTTCTCCCGGGTGAGGGTTACTCGCTATGTCTCCGCCGACGGTCAACGACGCATCGACGGGCTTGGGGGAAGTGGCCGGGGCCGGGGACACGACTCTAGCGTAGGTACGCTCCGGGGTCGTGGGGCGCTCCTCTGTGGCGGTTGGTTGAGGCGCAGCTAGTTCCCCTGTCTTCATGACGGCGCCGCGAGAATTGCGACGACGTAGGGTTCGGGCTGGGGTGGTTGGTATAGATTGGTTTGGTTGTTGCATGGTAGCGATGTTATGAGTTATAGGTCTTCGTCAGAGTCGGCGGTCACGGGAGATCAGTCCGCGAGGTAGCCAGAGCAGTGTGAAGAGAGGTAAAGCTTTTACTGTCAAAAATATGTGGCGGAAGCGTCCTAGAACGAGTTCCGACACAAGGTTTTCTGGGTAGTCAATCCACGAGTGACAGGGATAAGCAATGAAATTTGACTGGTGTACCGATCGTACACCTCTATGTACTTATACTCCGATCGAACTATCTACGTAAATAATCACAACCAATGATGGGGAGTCATCAGAGTCAGGTAATCAATCAAAGAGATCAATCCGTCACAACCACTTTTCGCCGATGTTGCTTCCAAACCCCGGATTGCAATGCAAGATAGATACGACTAGGGCACAGGCTCTCCATTTAATTATATTCCAAACCCCTCAACAAGTCTCGCGGCTGGAAATGGGGGTGTCCGTGTCTGTCAGCGGGATGCAGGACGGATGAGTTTCAGTCTCAGGCGGATATGAGAGTCAGGGTGTATCCGCGATCCAGGAAGGGTATATAAGGCCCTCTCATAACACTTGGTTTGTAGGACATCCACCCAACACAGGTAGAATCCCCTTCGCCGTTTACGACTCGCACGACACCTTCACGCCTTTCTTAACGACCTCTGCATCCACCCGCCAGCACTCTGCAACAAATATCACACGATGCTGTCCTCATTCACGTCGCTTATCGTCCTTGCCGCCATCGTCCAGGCTGCCCCCGCACCGAACTTCGTTCTTGACCAGAACGCCGCCGCACAGGCTACGGTCACCGTGACGGTGACCGCGACCCCACTCTGCTCTGCGATCGCAGGGGCATCGGGTCCGTTCGCGCCTGCTTCCGCCGCCGTCTCCGGTGTCGCCTCCGTCGCTGCGGGAGCCGCTGCCTCCGCTCGTCCCGTCATCTCTGGCGCCGCCGCCTTTGCAGGCGGGGCTTTCTCCTCATTGGCCCCAGTGCCCTCCGCTGCCGCGTCCGGCGCCGTTTCGGCCGTTTCGGCCGTCGTATCCTCGTTGGCTGCGGCCCCGTCTGCAGCCAATAGTGCTGCTAGCGCCGCGGTGTCGGGCACGGCTGCGGCGACCGCGAACCTTGTTGCTGCGGCGGAGACGGGTACGACGCGTTTGGTCAGCATCATCAACCTCATCCCGACAGTTCCGTTTGCAGCTGCTGGCATGACCCCGGTGCGTGTCATCTGTAGGCTGTTGTGTGCCAATGTCGTCTGACGTGCTCCGAAGGCGTTCCTGCAACAGACTCAGGCTCAGGTGCAAGCGCTCGTTGCCGCTCTCGACGCTATCGTACGTTTTCGTCGCCTGCCACCACGGTCACATCTGACTGTTCGCTTTAGGCCACGTTCCCTACTCCGCTTAACAGCGGACAAGTCGGTCAGGTGAACAGCCACCTGACCACGCTGCAGAACAATCTGGCCCGTGTGATCACGTCGGGCACTACTGTTCCGACTGCAGTCAAGTCGGCGTTGCAGCCGCTGGGTCCTGCGCTCACTGTGAGTCGTACTCTTCCAAGTCATAGTGTCGTCGTTTTTGATCCATTCCTACAGCGCGTCGCGCCTTCTCTGGGCGCTTCCACGTCCGCTACTGTGATTGTCCAATTGATCGCTGCGTGGAGCAAGTGAGAGTGTCGGCTTTATCGACTCAACTCACAACTCTGGGCATGAGTCACTAAAGGAACATTTTTTGTTGATGTAAATTACTCTGGCGTGTATCGTTTGGTCGTGTTAACGGCGAAGCAATTCAATTTCCTGTATCTTATTCTCGAAGAAGTTGGACTCGTGGTACAACAATCTTCGCATAGTCTTATCAGTCCAATATCTCGTCGGTGTTTTCGGACTCGCGCTCAGTTTGGCAGAACGTGAGTGGCCACTTGGCTCAGCTTGTTACCAGGACCGGGTCATTACCCAGAAATGACGGTCAAGGAAGTATAGAAAGGAGAGGTGTTCATAGAATTTTCCGGAAGGTGTTACAAAAGGGGCAGTTCATTTCGAGAATTCGAATTGTCTGAACTGCAGAGAATGCTCCATCTACCCAGCCATTGGCAGCCAGCCGCATGTGATTTAGTGGTACCAGCGTTGGACGCTAAACATCTCGGATTCAGCCCTCAGTGAGACCACGCTCGGATCTTGGTCAGAGCGCCCGCATTCCACAATTCGGGGAACGAAAGCCGTGATGAAAGTGGTCAGCTTCGGTCTGAAGCCGAGTCACCATGCGAGTCAATCAGACGGAGGAAGTATTTTTGGGGTGGGTCTATCAGCTGGACTTGCTGCTGGCACTTCCTTGGCTGACTTGGTGCATCGAACATCCCGGTCAACCTTTTTACTAAGCGTACCGGGTCTTGTTTCGCGTTGATTTCATCGGATTGGCTGGTGGCATCACTGCCACAGCTACACTCATTCATGTGTAGATGATCTACAAATCCAACCTCAACATGTAATGTTATCTTTGCCCTCAAAGATCGGGCGATTGTCGGATTAAGAATTGAAGCGTGCTTTCCAGTCAGTGTTCTATCTCACACTTCACCACTTATCTTATCTTATCAGAGCGGGAGTATTTTTAGACATCATGGACTGCGCATGATAGCGCATGATCAAAGGGAACCAGTCTGTCTGATCATCGATCGTTAGCTTACACAATACCTGCAAGAATCCGGATGCTCTGCAAACAGATCCTCGCTGTCATCTCCGAGGTGAAACTGTAATAGACTTCTGTTCACTGTTTCGGTGAACTCGAGGTCCCCTGAAGAAGCCCAATCTTGAGCTTGCATTGGATCGGATAACGGCAAGTGAGCTTGAGGAGCGACTCTGATACTCTGTTTGGCAGAGCGCGCGCAGGTGAGAGTCACATGGAGAGGAGGACGAGGGGCTCCCATCTGCCAGTGGGGCGTACGATTGAAAGCACTTCAAACGTTCGAATGCAGACAGATAGATGCGCCTTGTCGTGGGCGTCATTGTCAACTTCGCGTTCGCGTCCAGAATGCCGAAATGAATGATGTGATGGGAGTCAGGGCGAGTTGGTGGACCTTGGTAGACGCTCCAACCGGATCTCGGAGGCAAATCGCGAGGTACGCCTGGAGGCGCGCGCACCCATCGCATCTCGTCGCCAAGTCGTTTCCGAAAATCCCGTATGATATCGTCTCAAGCGGATTGTTAGATGATCCCAGTCTCTAGCCTAATTTGGCGCTCAGAGAGTCACATGAACCGCGCCCCAACAAAGTTTCCCCCTTTGGATCACAAGTGGAATATACGCATGGCAGGCATACAGCTCCATCGAGGAGAATTTGAGAGTTTAGGAGAGAAGGAGATCGTTCTTAAGTCTGAATTTGTCACCAGCCGTTTGTATTCAAGGTCATGCACGTGGAGTCAACTCATCAATCAATGATGGCATCGGCAAGGCCTCGCCGCAGGGCCCGCAAGGCGGAAAAATCCTCGACCGTGCCTTAAAGGCGGTGCACCCCAGGATCAAGACCTCCCACATTCTGTCCGCCCCTGCCTGCCGGTCCCTGACGAAACGGAGACACAGAAGAACATTCTGCGGTGCGCTCTGCCTGTCAGACGGCCGACGTCGACGACCGTGACTCGTTGTTTGTCATCGCTTCTCCCTTTCTGCCCTCTCTCCCTTCGACCGTCCCCGATAACGCTCTTCTCCGCTATCCACGCACATCTCGCTCACACACACGATGCCTCCCCCCGAAGAGTATGATGAGCTGGACGCCGACGGGGAAGTCGATGGCCTGGACTCGTCTGCTACCAACAGTACAGCACCCTCCCAAACGACAGCGACAGCAGCCTCTTTGGCTGCCGCAAGCGGCGTCGGCAAACGATACCGCCCTGCCCCTGCGAAAACCTTTCAGTGCCGTGGATATGGAGAGTGCAGGATGGTTTTCAGTCGGAGCGAGCACTTGGCGAGACATATACGGTGTGTTCTTCGTTACTATGCATCCAGCATTCTATCTTTCGTTATCGTTGCGTCTACTGCCCACATCTCTGCTGTTCTCTGGCGGTCCTTTCACCTTTTCTGTATTCGTTCCCTTGGGCTCTGCCACGGTGATTTACCCGAGCACAATGCCCTTTTTGGTTCTGCCTTCACCAGAGTAGATTGTGCTGCAGATTCATATCCGTCTCTATGCGACTCTGGTCGCTCTTCGCGCCCGTACTCGCCTCGGCCCTCCTACACTTCGAAATGTCTGTTGTGTGATGTTGCGGCTCTGTCTATCACTTTACCTGAGCCCGGACGCTGATGGCGCCACCCGGGCCCAATCTTACTCTCTTTTTCGATCCTGATTTCGATTGCGATCCTCAACTCTTACTCATCTTTTGATTGCAGAAAGCACACGGGTGAACGCCCCTTCACATGCCACTGCGGGAAGCAGTTCTCCCGTCTCGATAACTTGCGCCAGCACGCGCAGACGGTACACGCGGAAAATCCAAGCCGCAATGAAGCTATGATGCGTGACTTGGCCAGCGTGCATGCCACGATGACCGCTGGGAACGGGAACTTGGCAACGACGAATGCCGCGTCCCCTAGCGCCGAAGAAACGGGTGCCAGCACCACAGCGACGGTCAAGCGGACTGCAAGTAAAAAGCGCCCGAACACCAAGGCTGGAGGGGTCAAGGTCAAGAAGGAGTCCGTGGAAATGCTCCCCAGCCAGCGACCGGGCACCTCGACCGGGTATGAGGGCGCAGCTGCTTCGTATCCAGACACTTCCGGCATGGATGTCGACGGAGAAGGCGAAGATGATGAAGATGAAAGAAGAGAAGAAGTTGACGTAGTGCGTTTCTTCTTTTGTCACCGACGTCGCCGTGCTAAAGAGATGGTGGCAGAAACCACATGTCCGGAGTACACAAACCCAAGCAACAATCCCCCGCCGCGCACCTCATCAGCCCTCCCCGCCATCAGAGTTGGGGAGGGCGCGTTCGTTTCGGTCCTCGCAGTTTCGAGCCAACTCCGGCGGATTTCGGCCGAGCTCAGCCAGCGCCAGCTCTGCCGCCATCGCCCCCGGAGGGTCCTTTCGTGATCCTCTCCCCGCTCAATCATCATTCGGAGTTGGGAGAGATCGAGAGTCATTTCGAAGGTGCGTGTACTAAGCTTCATGATGGCGTGCTATACTGACCGCATGACTGCTCTGCGCATTCAGCCACCCCTATGCACGGCGGTCACCACCCGAGCTCACCCCATCCCCTCCCATCACCCAGAACCGGGTCACCTCTGGGCGCCCATTTTCGTCCGCATCCACCGGGTTCGATGGTCTTCCCGGCTCAAGGCCTGGGACCGGGGGAAATGGTACACGACTTCCGCCCATCACAGCATTCCTCCCCGCTACCGGGCTTCGCCCCGGGTCCAGCTCCAGTCGACCCGGGTCCAGTTCCCAGTCCGGAGGATTATCAGCAGGAGGGATACTCCTTCCGGGTTCACTCACCTTACGGCGACCCTCGACTGGCCACGACTGGGAATGGGGCGATGCATGGGACGTCCGACCTGGGACTGCCCCCGGAAAGCTCCTCCCCTCACGTGCTGCTCCCCCAGACCTCGACGATGCATCTCCGTTCTCATTCCATGTCCCCGACCAGCCAAGTGCCGCCAGCGCCGCCGCCAATCACGGGGGCTCACGCAAACGCCCGCTCGGCGGCCCGGATGGGCCGTATGGGCCGTATCCAGACGACGACGGCGGCAAGTCCCGGCCCGCGAGTCGGCGCTTCTCCGTCATGGAGCTCTGCAACGACAACCAGCAGCGACCGCCCACACGTGAGCGGGAGCGGCCGACGACGACCAATGGGCTCATCTCACGTGCCTCGGCGCTCGTCCTCGACGATCGAGATGCGGAACACGACGCCGTCTTTGCCTGGGAGGCGGGTGAACAGCATTTCGCCCCCGCCGACGGTCCCATTGCTGGCACAGCCCCAGGGAGTCGACCGGGAAGCGTACGCGGACGACATGCGGCGGCACCAGGAGGACCAACTGCGCCTGACGCTTGGCCACGAGATGAGCGGCGGCTATCCGGAGTCCCATCACTCGCATCCCCAGGCGCATCAATTCTATCAAGGGTATATGCTGGACCAGCCGCAAGCATACCAGGACTACCACCACCCGTATCAGACGCCTGGTCTCGAGATGCGGATGGAGCAGATGCAGATGATGGAGGCAGCCGGTTCGGGATATCCCGGCTACCAGCACCCTACGGGCTATCCGCTTCCGTACGAGCAGCCTCCCGAGATGGGTCATCACCACCCGCAGGAGTACCCGCTGCCCCCGGACGCGGGACCGCATTTGGAGGCGGTCTCCCCGGGATCGCCCTACTCACAACACGGCTTCCACCTCAGTCAACAGCCGCTTTCACCCTACCCCCACTACGGTCCGGAGACGGTTCCGTTTCACCCCGATCCCCAACATGGGTTCAGCAGCAGCACCACCGTGTACGGAGCTTCGACTATCAGCCCCCAGGACACGTTCAAGCTGTACGACGCGGATCTCCTGGAGATGAATATGAATATGACCGTCGGGTTGAGAGCGGAATGAAGGTCTGATCCTGTCTTGTAGCAATCTAATATTCTTGCCTTTACTTTAATACACCTATCTACGTACTCCAATCTACTATCTACACGCTGTGCTTGTATATACCTGCCTCCAACGTCGTTGTTTGCTGGAGTTGGTTTGGCCGATCGAATGAGGTGATCGGAAGTTTCCAGCGGGTTACACTACTCCCGATGGACGTCATTAACGCACACGGTGACCCACGCTCGCCAAAGCTTACAAAAGCTCTCGGCAGGCAGCCCTCCTCACTTCCCACTCACAGACAGACCCAATCGATATGGCTCCTACCAAGATACTCTTTACCGGCGCGACTGGTTATATCGGCGGCACCATCCTCTCGCGATTCCTCGCGGAACCCGACGCGTCGTCGCGCTTCGCTTTCACGGTCATCGTGCGCGACCCGAAAAAGGCAGAGAAGTTCAAGCAGTTCGGCGTAACGCCCGTTGTTGGGAGTCACTCTGACGAGACGTTGGTCGAGGAGCTGGCCAGCCAGGCAGAAGTGGTCATTGCCACGGCGCGTTGCTCTATTTATGCTATTCCTGCTCAGCGGTGCTGATCCGCGCTCTTTCACAGGCCGATTGCGATGATGTCGTCGCTGCGAAGGCAACCCTGGCCGGCTTGAAGAAGCGGGCTCAAGCTACAGGGACGCCGCCCATCTTCATCAACACCGTACGCGCATCCAGTCGTACACCATCGTCCGGATCCTCACCCTCCCTATTGACAGTCCGGTACGGGTGAGATCTGCGACAACGCACGCGGGCTTTTCGCGGAACCGAGCGTCTATGACGACACAAACGCGACACAGATGGCATCCATCCCGCCGGAGGCCATGCACCGCAACGTCGACAACGCTATCCTCGCCGCGGACGTGTCGCAGCCAGGGGGCTTCGTCAAGACTTACATCATCCTCCCTGGAACCGTGTGGGGCCTCGCGAAAACGCCTTTGGTGGCCGCTGGCATTCAGAACGACCACTCGATCCAGATCCCTTCGCAGATCCAGGCGGCCATAGATCGCAAGCGTGCGGGGATGGTCGGTGAGGGGAAGAACATCTGGCCCAACGTCGAGGTACATGACTGTACGTGCCTGATCTACGTTGTGTTCTTTGAGTCGCGATCTGAGCCGTGACCAGTGGCGGAATTGTTCTATATCGTCTACGACAAAGTAACCTCAGGTGCAGACATCGGCCACGGATATGAAGGATTCTTCTTCGGCGCCAGTGATGATCATACGCTTCTTGAGGTTGCACAAGAGATAGGGAAAGCTCTCGTCGCTACTGGCCGCAGTGACAACCCCGAACCAACGAGCTTCACGAAAGAGGAGCTGGACAAGTACTTCCAGGTGAGTGCAGATGTTCTCTGATAACAGAACACTGAATACTCTCTCAAGGGCTCAGAGTATCTCGGTTCCAACTCACGCTGCAAGGCGAACCATTCGTTTTCAATTGGATGGAAGCCGGCGAAGAAAACAGCGGACATGCTAGCCGACATTCCGGATGAAATTGAAAGTCTGATTAAATCCGGTCGAAGCATCCAGCTTCGCTAGATTCGCATGTATAAAAGACCTTTGCAATATGTATAACAGTCACGGTTTTGAAGTTTTGAAAATGGATAATATGTACTCAACCATGAGATCTGAACAGGAAAACGAACTTCTGCATCGAAAGCCGGATGGTTTTAGATTGTCGCGCTGGAGTGAGTCTTCCGGATATCATCCGTGCTCAGGAATCATAGAAATTCAAGTACGTTAGTGTTGTGATGCAGCATACATGTTTTTATTTCACTTCAGCATTGAGCGACCAGTCGGCGATTCCTTCGAGGGTCGAAAGGCGGAGCCGGAAGACGACCGACAAACTTAAATCAGCGTAGAATTGAACGGCTGAGCCCTTGAACGCCAACCCAAGTCGGGAAAGGACTAGCTACAACGAAGGGCAGAATTCTCGGTGCTCAGAGAGCTCGTAGCCCAGAACCATGCGTTGCGAAGAGCGGAAAATCAACTTTCGAAATCAAGGATTCGAGTCAGAGTGGGCAAGTGGTCGCTCAGGGTCGATTTCTAGAGCTGAAATTTGTTTGCTCCCCAGGCGTGCAATTTGCACCACAGATGTGACGACCATATCTCCCCTCCCATCTTGTCGTCAGCAGTTGAGGGACCTCAAGGTTATAAGATGTGGGTGTATCGACTCAAGTGGATGGAAATCGACCGTTGAGGCTAATCCTCCGCGCCGGAGACAAAACCAGTAGCACCGCCCTGACACAGAATTTTTTCAACTGTCCGTCTCACATGGATTTGACAACGCGGGTCTGATCTCCGTCGGCGATCTCCGGGTTGAAGGGCTTACAAGGGTGAAGCTCTTCTTTGAAAGAATGACACTGTTCAGGAAGCTCATTTCAAAAATTTCCGCTTGGAGGAATCTGTGCATTTCGCCGTCGGCGAGAGCACGTTCCCAAGACGAGGCACACACACAGAGCGCGTTGACTCAGGGGTGTGGCAGCCTCACTCACTGGAGACATTTCGCCGCTCCTCGCTGTAAGCTTGCCCTGAAGCCTTCACCACGAGCTTTTGATGCTCAACTTCTGTAAGGCGTCGTGCCTATCATCTGGACAGGCGTGCTGCGGCCTGGTGATAATGGATGCCCGCCTGATCGTTGCAAACAGTTGGCCCATCTGTGGATAAACACTGTCCCTCTGTCTCGAGCCCAATGAGGGGATAGAGGAAAGGGCGTTGTCTCCCTTTTAACGATCTCGATTCACGTTTCCTTTGTGAGGAGAGGTTCTGATGGAGAGGAGAACTGTGGCGTCACTCCTCATCACGAGCGATCTCGTGGCATCAATGCGCTTAAATCTTGATTGATGGGTTGCTCGCTCCTGATCTGACATGCGACGAGGGTAACAATACTCAAGTGGTCTTCAGCATCGGTGCCGCATGCCTTAGCGGGTAATTTTCATGCCAATGACTCTCCAGAAACAATATAAAATTCGACAGAACGGACGATGATCCAAGTCGGATGAACCCGTCACGTGCATCATTAGAAGTACATATGGTGGCAAAGCATGACTTCTCTTCCTCGTTACCCGTTATCTTTTTCGAATTTACGTGGGTCTTTAAGACGCGCAGAGCGACAGCATCAACGACTGCGAAGCTGCTCACGGCTGATAATTCCCATGTCCCGCCATCCGCAGCACTGGTTGTCACTTCGAATGCACATCTCCGGCTAGCTCCAGTGCACCGACGTGATCGATGCCGGCACTCTACCATGAAGCTTGTTGCGCGTCATTTACTCTGACTAAATTCCCATCCCGCGTCCGTGATGCAAGCAGAAGTTGGTAGCATGGAGGTCGAGACGCTGATTTGAGCCTGGGAAGTCATCCCTGTTACGACCTCGTCCGCGCTGCCAGGCATCGCGTATGAGAACCAGCGCATATAAAGGACCCTCTCGCTCTCTCTTCATCATTCTACTACTCAAGCATGATTTCCTCAATCGTCATCCCCATCTCTGCTGCTCTTGTTTCCACCGCTATCATCTTCATCGGGCGGATCCTCTTTCGCAACTGGACTTCGCCCCTCTGGTTCGTTGATGGCCCTTCTGCCTCGAATCCTATCTTCGGTCACTTCAGGATGGTTTCGGTGCGACTCAACCATAGTGTCTTGCGCTCTGTTTCATTACGATCTCAAAGGATATTCCCGGAATCACGAATAAGTGGCGAGAACAGTACGGTGCAACGTTCATGGCGAAAGGACTCTTCCTTGTGAGCCTAGCCATCTACTCACGGCCAGAGCTCGTTGATTTCATTTGAAAACGTAGGAGAATGAGCTTCACACCAAAGACCTCAAGGCGATATCGCATATCCTCTCTCACGGGACCCGTTATCCGAAGACGTATGCGATGACTGCTACCCTCCGACGGACCTTGGGAAAGGGTATTCTTTCGGTTGAGATGGATCCCCATCGGCGCCAGGTGAGCAACGCTCATCTTTGACTAGCACGTTTGAAGGCTCACAAATCACGCAGCGCAAGATCCTGGTACGACTTTCTCATTGATGCACTCTTTGAGGCTCAACGGGCTGATCTGCGCTACTTCACAGAACCCCGCTTTTGGTCCCCAGCAGATCCGGATGATGAACGAAGTCTTCGTCGAGAAAGGGAACATGGTGGGTTTTTGTGTTTTCGCTCCTATGCCATTCTTTGTCTTACTGAAATCCATCGAAGCTGCGGGACATGCTGATGGAAGAAATTGAGAAGGCAGGTGGGACATTCAACGTGAACCTGTCCAGTTGGTTCCGCCAAGTCACGTTAGATATCATCGGTGAAACTGGTGCGCGGGTACGCTCGGCTGTTGTACTTGACTGATTCAATTACAGGATTCAATTATCAATTCAACTCCCTCAAGTCGCATGGCAAGGACGAAGGGGAATTGAGCACCGTCTTTGGGCTCATGTTTCACAACCCCAAAGCGAATCTCAACCGCGCGGTCCAGTTCGCCCAGGTGGCTATTCCGTTCTTGCAGTCCCTGGTGCGCAATGTTTGGTCGGTTTACATCAAATTATTGACCATCGATCCCCAGCCGCTCCCGGGTTGGCGAGTGACTCGTTTCATCCAGAAGAGAATGCGGGCTATCGGGAAACAGTTGGTGGAGAAATCGAAGGCAGAGGCTGCTGCCCTTGGGGAAAAAGACTTGGGCTCAGGTCGTGACATTTTGTCGCTTCTTTTGAGGGCCAACATGTCCAGCGATATTCCTGAGGCGCAGCGGATGACCGAGGAAGAAGTGATTGCTCGTGAGAGTCCTCTGTTGCGTCTGGCGAAGATACACTCAATGTGACGTTACAGAGATCCCGACTTTCGTTCTGGCTGGACACGAGACTACCAGCACTGCCCTTGCCTGGGTTGTACACGTCTTGTCGCGGCATCAGTCTGTTCAGGACGAGCTTCGCCAGGAGCTACTAACAGTTCCCACGGAGACTCCGACGATGGACGAGCTCAGCGCTCTGCCGCTGCTCGAGAAGGTGATCAGAGAGACCATGCGCTTGCACGCTCCGGCCGTCCACACGAACCGTGTTGCAGTCCAGGATGACGTGTTACCGCTGAACAAACCGTATGTTGATCAGTACGGTGTTTCGCACGAAACTCTCCCGTGCGTTTGTCTCCTCATATAATGATGCACATCGCAAGACTGAAGATTATCTACACAGGATCCGCAAGGGACAAGTCTTCACGATCCCCATCCTGGCCATCAACACTGACAAAGAAATTTGGGGAGACGATGCACTCGAGTTCAAGTACGCTCAGTCCCTGCAGCCGTGATCGGAGTTTGACCTGCTCCCTTGCGATAGAGTCGAGCGCTGGGATAACCTCCCAGAAGCTGTCCACGGGATCCCCACAGTTTGGGCCAATCAGCTCACCTTCCTGGCCGGCCCACACAGCTGCATGGGCTTCCGTTTCACTGTCGTCGAGTACGTCTCCCTCGCCTGTCCGACTACAGATGAAAGTCGCTGACACAGAAACAGACAAAAGGCGATCTTGTTCAGCCTCTTGCGGCACTTTGTCTTTTTGCCCGGTTCGGACAACGTTGAGCCTGCTATCAGCGGGCTCTTTCAGCGCCCGATCTCGTTTGTTGCCTCCGGTCAAGTTTCTGGCAAAGTCGGCGCTGATGCCGAGAAGTCTGGGTTGATTTCCTTGGGTGGTCTGCAGGTGGTTTTGAAGCCGTACAAGGGTCAAGGCGCCCTGTAAAGTGCAGATCAACTTGGCATGGTTTGCTAGCTATATACTTACTCTCTTTTGAATTTGATACAAGTAGACGTTCTTTCACACATATTCATCTTTGGCATTTGAGAACTAGCTCTTTTATGAATACTGGAGCAGAACTAAATCCGTCGCTCATCGACCCGTGTTCTGCGCCCTCCGGTTAGTTTGCGCAAGAATCGTGTGCATGACAGGCCGCTAGTTAGATTTATGACAGGCCGCGCGTTTCCAGATATAACTTGAATGGCTTTGTATGCAGCCGTAGCGAATCCATAGAATCTTTTCGCGCCACTTTGCAGTTCACTGGATTGCGGACCCAGTGCAGACCACACGCTCCGAGTAAAGCTCACGTTGGGGATGCCTACATGCCGCCGGCTCGGGGAACTTGGCAACGGATATCACCGTATACGCTGATATACGAATCGTGGATCGACCTAGGCCAAACTTGCGCCGAGAGCCCCCGAACTTGGATGAAAATTTGACTTTGCGATGTGAGCTACAAGTCAGGGTGTTTTAGATGTTGATTTCAACGAATATCTGTGATATTAAGAAAGTTCTTGCGTTGATAATCGGTCATGATCGACGTGCCATCACTTCATGGCACTCGGAACACCAGGCAGTTCGGCCAGCCCTGTCTTGTGCTTCGATAGACTGATCTTGGTGATCTCATCGCTACAAAGAGAGACTGTGCATATATTGTTGTCTGCTTGATGCGACGTTGTTGAAAATGATCGAAATCCTCTGGATCATCGACGAATCAGCGCGGTGTGTTAAATTGAACTCCGCGCTGATGATGATCAAATGCTTCGCACGGCATCGCAAGTGATTAGTAATGAGCTCTTGGTCCCTGGACGCGGCAGCCAACCGAAGTCCACGATCTTCACCGGGAGCTAACCGGACGGTGCTTCCATCTACGTGTGACAAGTCATGGATTCTTTGCCAAAGACGTCAGAAATGTATTGTTAGAGCTCGAGCCGCTAGGCGACTCAGTCGTTTGGAATTGGGATGGGAGCCGGCGGGAAGCAGAATCATCATGATCCAACGCACACTCGTGTTTGAAGAGCTCAGATGGTTGAGTCTACAATACTTCCATGTCGCCACAATCAGCTACGCGTTGCCTTCACAAATCGACCGCTGGTTTCAAAATTCGAGTTTTTTGCATTGGCATGAGGCCAGATGACTTGCCGCACGAAAACTGGATGGGTGGAACGAGTCGGGAATATTGCGCAGCTCGTTTGCTCCACCGTCTTTACTTTGATTGGTATCATCTGTCTAGATGTACTCTATTTGAAGTGTCACGTGCATCGAGTTCCTGAGGAACTGCGCCACTTTTCTTTGCCTCGCTTTCAGCACCCTGCTTCGAGAGCGCTTGCGCGATCCTTTTAGCGCGCATTCGTCCCCAGTGATAATCGGTATATGCTTCATGACCCTTGCAGAACAAAGGTGACACTGCTCAGAAGCTTCATTCTCGTCTTTTGGTCATTTACTCTGACGAAACACCTTCCCAGTCTTCGTGATGCAATGAGAAGTTACTAGTGTGAGAGTTGAGACGCTGATGGGAAGCAAGTTGAGTAATCCTTTGTTACGACTTGGCCGGTTAAACGAACTCTATATAAGGTCGGTACTCTCAGATCGAATCCCTCACCCTCAAGCATGATCTCCGCCATCGTTGTCCCGACTGGTGCTGCTCTCCTCCTATACATCTTTCTGTACATCGGTCGCGCCCTTTACCGAGACTGGACATCGTCACTCAAGTTCATCGATGGCCCGCCGTGTGCAAACCCTGTGCTCGGACATTTCATGTTGATTTCGGTGCGACCAGGCTGTTTATCGTCTTGCTCATATCGTACTCACAGCTAACAGGATAAACCCGATACTACTATCAAATGGCGAGAGCAATACGGCGCAACTTTCATGGCGAAAGGTCTCTTCTGGGTGAGTTGTTCCAAGAAATCCAGATTCGTCGCAAAGAAATTCAACCGCTTGGTGCAGGAAAACCAGCTGAACACGAAGGACATCAAGGCAGTGACTCACATCCTCACACATGGCTCGATGTACACGAAGACATCGGCAGCAATCTCGACAGGCTTACGTCTTTTGGGCGCCGGGATCCTTTCCGTCGAGTTGGATCCGCACAGACGCCAGGTAATCAGATTACTGCAGGCACCTGTCCCGGTTCTTACTGAATCTTCCGCAGCGTCGAATTCTGGTGCGCACAATGCCCCTTTTTTGCTCTACCCTTGATGACGTTCCCTGCAGAACCCTGCATTTGGCCTGCCGCAGATCCGGGTGATGAATGAGGTGTTTGTCGAAAAGGGAAATATGGTATGTGACCTCGCAGCCACCCACGCAGTAGAAGCCTCACCAAGAGTGAAGTTGCGTGACATGCTGACAAAAGAGATTGAAGATGGAGGCGGGAGGGTCACCCTCAATCTGTCAGCATGGTTCCGTCAAGTCACGCTCGACATCATTGGACAGACTGGTGCGTATCGAAGGCTTACTTTGTCCATGTGTTGGCTCAGTCTGTCAGGCTTCGGTTATCAATTTAATTCTCTGGAATCACGCGGCAAGGACGAAGCGGAGCTCAGCACGGTCTTCGGTCTCATGTTCAACAACCCCAAAGCAAACCTCAATCGTGCTGTTCAGTTCGCTCAGGCAGCGATACCGATGCTGGAGTCCCTGGTGCGTGATTGAAAGATGAGAAATATCGAAATTCCCATCTCCTCGCTCATCAGCCACTGCCCGGTTGGAAAGTCACTCGTTTCGCCCAAACAAAGCTGCGCGCGATCGGAAAACAACTGATGGAAAAGTCAAAGGCTGAATGTGCGGTTCTTGCAGAAAAGGACTTGGGTTCAGGTCGCGATCTCTTATCGCTGCTCATAAAAGCAAACATGTCCGCTGACATTCCCGAGAGTCAACGGATGAGCGATGACGAGGTGATCGCTCGTGAGTGGTCTTTTTCCCTTGTTAACCCGGTGTTTGAATTGTCGATGCAGAAATTCCGACATTCTTGCTGGCTGGGCACGAGACAAGTAGCACCGGACTCGCCTGGGCTGCGCACGCCTTGTCGCAACATCCAGCCATTCAAGACCAGCTCCGCCGAGAACTGCTCACCCTCCCAACGGAGACTCCTACCATGGACGAACTCAACTCGCTCCCATTCCTCGATAAAGTCATCAAAGAGACAATGCGCTTATATTCGCCGGCTTTCTCGACGCAGCGTATGGCCATCCAAGATGACGTGTTGCCGCTGAGTAAGCCGTATATCGACCTTCAGGGCATTTCCCACGACACTCTACCGTTCGTCTACTATCTGCTTTGGTGACCAAAAATGGCAATGACTTACAACGCAGGATTCGTCGAGGACAGGTTCTCACGATCCCAATTCTGGAAATCAACACCGATAAGGAACTCTGGGGAGAAGACGCACTCGAATTCAAGTACGCTCCACTTGCTGCGGTGCCATCCACGGGTTGTTTTAACATCTCCCTAGACCCGATCGCTGGGACAACCTTCCTGAAGCCGTCCATTCTATCCCGAGCGTGTGGGCGCACCAGCTCACATTCATCGCTGGTCCTCATAGTTGCATTGGGTTCCGCTTCACCGTGGTCGAGTGCGTTGAACATTTCCTCTCCAAACCCAGATTGCGCTATCTGACACTCCTCATCAGGCAGAAAGCAATCGTATTTAGTCTCCTGCGGACCATCGAGCTTCTGCCGGGTTCAGAGAAGGTCGCTCCCGCCATCACGGGATTGTTCCAACGGCCAATCTCGTTCGTTCGTGGCGGAGAGGGCAAGCCTGGTTTGGTTTCCACTGGGGGTCTTCGCATCGTGATGAAGGCGTGCAAGGGTAATGCTGCTTCCTGAGATAGAAGCCCTAGATTTTCTGCTTCTCCTCTCCCGAAACAGCGTACATCGGAGTCACAGGTTTAATCGGATTTTGAATAGACAATCGCCTGATCCAGGTATTGAATTGAACGGGGAAAGCTCAACTGAAAAGCCGGAAGCAGTGACTGCATACTCCGTGGAGCTCTCTTTGTCGCCAGTATAAGTTGAAGATTGATGGAACTCTTCCCGTGATCTTTTGCTCATGGGGATCCTCTGAAACTCTAAATAAGCTGAGCGCTATTGTGGACACCACATGGAACGTGATGAGTATGGAGGCCGGGAACTATATGCTGATAAACGGAGGACGTATCACTGATACGCGATAGTTTGCCGACATAGGATCAATTTCATGATGCGCTCCATGTCATGATGCGCCTATCTGGACGGCTGAAAACGTTATACTAATAACCGATGTCTGAATCGTGGATGGCCGCTCGGCAGATATTGATCAGATGATTGACGCAATGATCAAGACCCCAGGTAGCCGACTATCGCAATATCGCAACATCGTAATATTCGAAAAGCGCAACATTCGAGATAGGATCAGCGGCCGGGTCGCCGGCGCGAGCAGGCTCGTCGCAAGTCCGGACTCCCAGGCGACATTCCAGGGCAGCGGTTCGTACGTCGTGTTCGACTGGGGAAGGAGGTGCGCGGCCTCCCTGATACAGCGCCGTCGAGGGTCAATTCACACACCCATACTGTAGCTTGGGGGGATCCTGTCGCTGACGATCAACAACGCGACGGCCCAGTCGCAGTTCTCACTGTCGTTCACCGAGTCCGCGGAGTTCATCAGCCCGCTCAAGTTGGACGACTCGTGCCAGCCCGCACGGCTGCAGAACTGGGACAGAATCCAGACGTTCCACGTGCCGCGAGCCACGGGGCTGCTGACGCAGACCGTGGGACAGCAGCGCGGCGGGTTCCGCTTCCTGACGATTGTGAGTGCGAGCGCGGACCCGCTGACGATCTCGAACATCTCGCTGGCGATCACGTTCATGCCCCACTGGGATGATCTCAGGGCGTACCCGGGCTACTTCTTTGCACCTGACCCCGGGTTCCACGACATCGACTGCCTCACGAAGATCTGGTACGCCGGTGCGTCATCGCCTGTTTGCTGGCTGATGTGGCAGAGCGTGGCGTGGGTGGGGGCTGACCGCTAGCAGGCACTATAGGGTGCAGACCAACACAATCCCTCCCCACACGGCGCGACAGGAGCCGTGCCCAGCAGGAGGTTCGTGTCGGCGTGGATCTGAATTTTGGACTCAAACTGTGCGATCACATTTGTAGGTGGCTGGTCCAACGATGCCTTGGGAGGAGCTGCCACTGGGCCTATCCTCGTCGATGGTGCAAAACGCGACAGGTGAGGAATGGTCGGTCGCGATCTGTGTGTGCAATCCCTGCTGATGACATTGGTACTGTCAGGAACATCTGGCCAGGTAACCCCTCATGCTCATGGACGCGATCTAACCCTCGGACTCATGCGACGGATCAGGCGACTGCGGCATCTCCACACACACGGAGCTCGTCGCGCTGAGCGACATGGAGCCGACCAAGAACTCGTTGATGGTGATGTTCCGCACGCAAAACCTGACGACTGGCGCGCTGCAGTACTCCGGGCCGCCGCTGAACAACCAGGGAAGCGACACGTACATCTCGTGGTCGCTCATTGGGACGCACAACTACTTCCTGTACACGGGCGACCTCGATTTCATCAAGTCTGTCTGGGCGAACTACACCAAGGCGGTTGGCTTCCTTGAGGGCCAGGTGGACTTGACCGGCCTGATGAACGTCTCGTCTGCGCTCTCGAACGACTGGGGCAGGGCCAGCGGCGCCGGACACAACTCTGCGGCAAACGCGTTGCTTTATCGCGTGAGGATTGATTTCTGTCTCTCGCATCATGTATCCGCGCTCATCAAGCTCGTAGACGCTCGTCACCACGGCGGACCTGGCGACGCATCTCGGCAATGTCTCCCTCCCCGCCACATACCTCGCCAACGCGACCAAGATCAAAACTGCGTTCAACAGCCTGCTGTGGGACGCCGCGGCGGGCCGGTTCCGCAGCAACGACCTGCCGAGGAGCATCCACCCGCAGGACGGCAACGCGCTCGCGGTCCTGTACAACCTCACGACATCGGACGCACAGAACAAGGCCGTGAGCGCCGGGCTGATGAAGTTCTGGACGCCCATCAGGCCGTGGCTTCGAGGTGCGTGTTGCGCTGGTGGTTTGTGGTTTGCGTGTCACCTGCGCGACAGATCCAAGCGCATTTTGTGGCCGGCAAGGGCGAGCGGGCAATTGATCTGATCGAGCGCGAGTGGGGGTACATGCTGGAAACCAACTTGAGTGTCAAGTCGCCGCTGCTAGAGGGCTTCTCGGCCAACGGATCGCTCGGGTGCGTGTCGTATCAATCAGCTGCGGCAAGCTGTTGGTCCTGATCTGTACGCATGGTTCTCGGATGAGGAAGACTCCCGCGAAAATGATTAGTGAATTACAGTAATTACATGCTCACTACGCTATCTCGAATATTACACTATCTTGAATGTTGCGCTTTTCGAATATTACGATGTTGCGATATTGCGATAGTCGGCTACCTGGGGTCTTGATCATTGCGTCAATCATCTGATCAATATCTGCCGAGCGGCCATCCACGATTCAGACATCGGTCATTAGTATAACGTTTTCAGCCGTCCAGATAGAGCGCATCATGACATGGAGCGCATCATGAAATTGATCCTATGTCGGCAAACTATCGCGTATCAGTGATACGTCCTCCGTTTATCAGCATATAGTTCCCGGCCTCCATAGATGAGTGACGAGCTGTCACATCACAAGGATCAGGGTGACCCTCATCTTCATAATCCGACCATTAGCCCCGTCGAGTTCACCAACGAAAAGCGTTCCTTCTATCTGACTCGTGAGACGTCCAGCAAATATGTCTCTTCTACGGCGATGCCATCCCATCTGTCCAATTCGACTTCTCGAAGCCCAGAGTGTCGCATCGCAGGACTCGGAGAAGGCCTTAGCATTCTCGCTGGCCGTCACGGCCAACGCTTAGTCTGTGAGAATGTCAGTGGCTCTCCTCGCTTTTGCTTTCATACGATTTCATTGCTGGGGCAGATCTTCCGACGCACAAGCTCAAAGCGCTTACTGACGCCCAAAGCCATGGCCAAATTCACAGACTGGAAGTGTCTGATTTGCGGCAACTTCCACGCTGCTGTCCACCCGTACAGGTATGCTGTTTCTTCTGGTTTATGTCCCTCTTAGGTGGACTAAGGACATAGTCACAAGCCTTCTTCAGTGCGCTCAGCCCGTCAAAGACTTGGTCGCTCAATCATGCACTGGCCTATTTCCTCTCCCTTCTTGCTATCGTTCTATCAACGAAGTTTGTTCTTTCGCCAAATCCGACGCATTCACTGAGGAAGCCATGCTTGCAGAAGTCCTTGGGCCATTGCTTTCATCATCACGATCGATTCAGACGACTCAATCGACATCGATCATCCGACCCTCGTCCTCCGAGCCTGCTATCCAACACGGACGGATGACTGACGCCCCTCTGTCAAAAAAACTGCGGCTTCGACACAGTGCGGCCTTTGTTCGTGAAGCTGGCCAACTGCCAGAGCCTCCGAAAGATGATGCGTCAAGCATTGAAGTGTCGCTCAAGAGGTGGATGAGAATTCAACGACATTCCAGTGCGCCAATCCTATCCGTCTAAGCCATGAGAGAGAGACTGACCCCTTCGGATCTACTCACAGCGACCGAGGCCGCTCGAGCCTGAATACCCACCGTTCCTACATGTTTTTGTCCCCATATCAAGTCGTGCGATGCGCCGCTCAATCCATCTGAAACCAGCAAGAGGTCCGAGTTTCAAGTATTTGGGGTGGAGATTTGTGACGATGCGACAACTGTGCGCCAAGGAACTCTCTGACTGAAAATCGATAGAGACGCGAATGTATGGCTCTTCGAATCCGATTTGTACGTCTATGACCTAGGCTGGGATAACCTCTCTGTTGACGATTCCACATGGCTCCTTGGGTTAGTCTTCCAGCACCACGATATGCGGCAAGCGACCTTGGCGGAGCTTGTGCGGAGAGCCAGGTCGCACCGGATCGGAGTCGGTGGGCGAGATGCGTCGGAAGCAGAATCAAGGGCCGTCGATCACCGACGCTCAAGACCTCAGATCCAACTCAGTTAATGCACATGGAGCTCGGGAGGATATCAATCCTGAAGAAGAATGTAGAGCCAGTTGGATGATCTTCGCGGGCTTCCTTGGGTCTGCCTGACCGCTAACACTACATCCCGCTCGACTCATCATGCGTGCACCCCCGTACAAATCCCGCTCAAGTCCTCCATGTGGTTTACAGTAACAACTGGTTTGGTTCGTGCGCTGAAAGAACCGATCACTCGTACGCTTCAGAGACTGGATTGCGAATCAGAAGGCTGCCCGCGTCTGGGCCATGATTACTTCTGGAAATTCCGCCGTCCTTATTCGAGGACTTGGTCAGTACTGTCGAATGTAGGGACTGGCGTCGATGCCTGATTTGAGTAAACACTGGATATCGATATAGCCTCCGTGGTATCATTACCTGCCTTTCGCATATCCCAGTCGAAAACGTAGAACCTCCATGTAGCATTCTCGAACCGTAGCGCGCGTGTGGTGAAACGCCAACAGGAGTTTGCGAAGCATGCAGGGGCAACTAAATCCCACGACAGCCGGTGCACAACAGCCGCGGCGCTATGTCCCTCCGTCTGCTCCTAAGAACCAATAAAAAATCGACCATCTGCCGCTGCAAGACGGCCCCCGATACTTTGAATGGATTTACCGGTTATTACCGAAAGTTGAGCGACTGCAAGTCATTCGCATCACGACTTCTTTCCAACAGACTCCGGCTCATCGCACTTGGAATTTCTACCGTCGCGAGGTGTTTCCTGGATTTCGGCGTGAAGCGCCGAGCAACGTTCGATACAGCGGCGGACGTCGGGCCCGCACTCAGGGTGGAGCCGCATGCATGAGGAAGCATGTACGAGATTTATGTTTCTCTAACAATTCCTTTTCGATAACATTCAGGCACAACAGCGGAGCGCGAACTTTGCCCTGCATGATGTAGAAAAAAACATCGGTCTCGATATTGAAGTCTATGGGTATTTCAAAACGATTCTGGGCTCTGCAACACGAGGACCGACCCCAGGGACCGCCTGCAGCGAGCTCAGCTTGCCCACTGCGGGGGAAGTTATCAAACATCTGGAAATTAATGATCGTGACGTACAGCATGTTGGTGCCGAGTATGCAGAGTAAATGCGAGGATCAAGAAGAATTAGGGCTTGGCCAGGTGCCGAAGACAGAGAAGACACATTGCGAAACTACAATAATCAAATCGCGCAAAGATCTGACCCGAAGTGATCGTATTCAATACCTGAACTGGGATGCGAGGCCCACACTCGGATCCTGTGACCGCCATCGCAACCGCGTAGTCCATGCGCAGTCGGTGCGTAAGCCTGATTCGAATCTCGTCGATAACATCTTCGGTAGATATTTCCAGAGGTGTGCAGGTGCAGAAGATCGGACCATGTGCATATTTGGTGAGATCGGAGCCTAGCGGCGGCGATGCGCTTCACGGCGATCTAGAACTTGAGATCAATATACAATATAACATCTGGACACTAGCCGTCCGTGACACCGGCGACACGATGAATTGGCCTGACTTGCCCTCCCCAAAAATATTCATTGGCTACCTGTGCGGCTACCTCTACAGATGAGGCAGCCGGGGTAAACAAATCCAGAGGAATTAGGGGAAATCATAGAAAATTATAATTAATCGGTGCATAAGAGATATTTAGACCTGAGGAAAAGAAAATTGAAAATACCGCGATAATTATTTTGGTGAGTTCTGCAAATGCGCCAAACCTTGTATCCGCTTCCCCTGATGACTTGAACCCCAGTAAGAGGGGTCGAGGGTGGGAACTGGGAAGATACTGGAGGTCTGAGGTGTAAAGAGAAGCAGAGGACGAGCGATCGGGTCTTCATCTGAGCTCGAATATGCAGGACGAATGTCGATGAACAAGCCAAACAAGATGCCCATGATCACGAAAACACGTACCTGGGTCTTGCGAGCAACCGACAACGAAATCACATCTGCGACAACATAAGGACTCAGGCCAGCGAGTCAAATCCGCCTTTGAGCTGCCACGAAATTGGAACGCGTGGCAGTCATGCACGGGAGTCGTGCTCGGAAAGGCTGCCCCTGCGGTACTGTTGATCCCAGATGGGGCCGCTGTCGACGCTGACAACGCTCAGAAACAATATTCTGAGTAAAATATAACCCCCGTAGTAACAGCGTAGGCAGCGCAGGATAGTGGAGCGGAGGATACAGGAGCCAAAGAGGACCTAAACAGCAGCAAAAGCGGCCGTGTCAGAAATGATGTGGTGAGCAGATGCGGGGTTCTCAGCAGCTGCAAAGGCCGCGGAGGAAGTGGTGATAAGTGGGTATAGAACACATGCATCACTATGACCTTCGCCGTTGCGGCGGAGTTCCCTTTAGGGACAAAATCTGGGGTGGGAACTGCCTGAACGATAGCGACTAGAGCAAGAAGCTACGAGAACGAGGAGACAGTCTGGGGTCATGAGATATATAGATCCTCAGGCCGTCGCTAAGTGCTCGCAGAGGGAAGTCGTGAACGGCGAGGGCAATTTTACCTGTCGAGGGTGAATTTCGGCTCTTAGGATCAGCGAGCATTTATTCTGTTCACTGATTTGGGGCACATCCTGAATCTAATCCAGGTAAAGAATTAGACGAAATGAAGCACTCTTTCCCGCCCAGAAATCGGCAGAATACAGCTGGACCAGCGAGCGGAGGCTTTGTGTTTTTGATGTTACAGCCAACTCGTGCCATGGATGGTCACGTATGATCGGAACGGTCATGGGGGGTCAATAGAGACCTATTATTCGTTCTACACGCGAGAGTAAATTTAGCTGAGGCTCCTCGATGTATTCTCGGCCACCGACCAGAAACTGAATGCATCTGAAAACAAACATCGATGAGTGGCGATGACCGGCTTTAGTACGGCCCGGAGTTCGCGTTAGCTGAGCCGCATTTCCGAGCCCTTTGCGATCATTCTTGCGCGAGCTGATTCTCCGGGAAAGCGAGCGGATTCTGTGACCCAGCGAGCTGATTCTCCAGCCCAGCTCCATCCGCAGTCGGAGAGTCCGGCCTGCCGGCTGTCGGTTCCTCGGCTACTCAGCAGATCACCGCCTAGACCATCCCCCTCGGCCGCAGGCTAAAATGCGTCCTGTCAAGCTTTAGCTTTCGTCTTCTTCGAAGGTCTGTCTGATGCTGGCCCCTGCGACTTTGATACTTGCTGAGAGTGGCCCCCAGTCACTGTCGACTGGTTTCCGTCTCGAGCGGCTATATTCACGACGAAGTAGGCCCGCCAGAGCAGATTTTGCACCACGCGCAACTTAGATTGCCCGAAATCAGATTTTTTCCCCGATTTCTTCTAATTTGTAATGAAACCAAGATTAGCTCTCTATTGCTTACAGCGCACTCATCACCCCCGGGCGCACGAACACGGTGCAAGAAAGCTATCATGTTTGATACCCGGGGCAAAGGCCTGAGAGATTTTGCGGGGATTTCTATGCTGACTGAGCAAACACTACTTCTCACCTCTATAAAATCCCCCCGATAAGTGAAGGCTATCTTTTGACTCTGATTTGGACCAAGTATTCCGAATCACTAAAGGGGATAGTGCCTGGGGGCCCGCTAAGCGTGTGCTCAGAAAGGTAATGTCCGCGCTCCGTTGAAAGGGCCGAGCTGCGACATTTGCTCGAAATGTGGGACGGACCAAATGGTCGTCCAACGTTCATGCCACAAGTTTGGGCTCGCCTGTCACCGATCTTCCCGCTTTCCCCTCAATGGGTGTCCGGACATTTTCCGCTCAAGGACCTCTGTGTGGCCATCAGCTCACCGCCATCATCCCTCATGTCACTCGGGCGGCGTTCGTTACTTCCGGTTCATGTGAAGACGTCAGGCCCAAACAACTCATCGACGGAAAACATGGAGAGTTTGGCTCTGTCCGGACTTGAAACATTGAGGGCTGCTTTCCCACTGCTATTCACCAGGGGCTACAGGTCGACCATGCTACTGAAACGCATGTGGAATATTCAACGCCAATCTGGATGCTGTGCACGTTGTTCTCGTCATTTCCCGGTATTCGGAGAAGCAGTGTGTCTTGAAATTTGCGGTCCGTAGCAATGGTCGAATATTCCGAAGTCGGATTTCGAGGCGAAGGATCATACGGACCGAAACATGTGGCGAGTCGTAAAACGATCCGTCCTGAGCGGGGAGGTAACGGAACTGCAACGGGTCCACGGAACTTGAGATCGCCCGATCCAAGAAGAATTGTCAAGGCGCCTGTTGGCCTGTAACGCCAAGGATCAACGATCCACGCGCCCTTACAATCAGATTGATGAGCTCATATTCTGAAGAAGTGCAGTGCGTTGGTTCCACACATAAATACCGGACACGGCGCGACTTGATTCTTCCTCTCACAACCCCTTCAAGATATGGATTCCTATAGCCACTTGCGCTCTATCTCTTCCCAATACATGAATCAGATGCGCCCGGAGCGCCGAGTCGGTTCGCATCTTCGTTGCATGAATGTGCTTTAACTCATTCCCTTTGCCAGATTCCCTCACCGTGTTGTCCAATTCCTACATGCCCACCAACACGTACAACCGCAACCCGTCCCCCGCACAGCCACAGCACTCTCCGGGTCCCACCCATCTTACCAGAAGGGAGTTCGATTTTTCGGGCCTCATTACGATGCAGGAACCCTTGAACGTCGCGCATCAGCGCCCTGGCACTTCATTCACGAATTGCGATTGGTCCGCAGATCCTGCCTTCTGGCCGGTCTATTCTCAGCGCGACCAGTGGTTATCGCACGGCGAACTCTCGCCAAGCTCCTCCACATCTGCTTCGCCTTCTCCATCTGCATCTCCGTCCCTCTGTCCGCCCAATCTGTATCCCGGATACTCCGGACCTGCTCCTGCGAAAACGCCCAAGACTTGCGCACACTGTGGAGTAACATCGACCCCGCTCTGGCGGCGGGAGCCCGGCACAGGTCAATCGCTGTGCAACGCATGTGGCCTGTATCTGCTGCAGCGAGGCAAGTCCCGGCCACGTGCTCTCATCGAGGCGGACATGGACACCCCGTCCGTGGACGCGCACATTCCTGACTCCGAGTATTCCGGGACGATGTGCGCCAATTGCCGAACCCGCGCGACGAGCGTTTGGAGGAAGAACGTCGGAGGTCAGGTGGTGTGTAACGCCTGCGGGGTTTACGAGAGACTCAAGGGGCGCACGCGGCCGATCCAATTGAGGCGGGACAAAGTCAAGCCGCGGACGAGGCATGTGAGGAGAACGTTCATACTGAAGTGATTGTTTGAAGATTGTAGTTTGGATACCGTCATGTAATCGCCTATCTACAGATGTACTAATGGATGGAGAATCTCCTTCTTTCTGACGTCTTATGTATTTCCTCCGTCAACGAGATGGTCGACAGCACAGGATCACGTAACTGTCTAAACGGCCCGGAGATGGGTAATGGCTGTTACCTAGCCCAAATAAACTGTCTGAACGTCTTTCTGCTTGGATCAAAGGGATGCTTATTCACTCGTCCGTTCGAGCCAGTCACTGACCAGTGGGCCGGATCCTGCTTCTGAATCGCTTCAGTAGATATCGGGCCTGGGATTTTATGCCACATAGGACGATCATGAGCACTGTTTGCAAGTCAAAATGCTGTTACCGACGAGAAAATTTCAGTGGCGATTTGAATCAAGATTCTATCATGTTGCAAGTCCCTGGTGGTTTGATTCCCGATCCACGACGGTTCTCTAATACAGGTTGTAGTTGTCGCGCGAGAAGATGCCGTGCACTCTGGAACCAGTCCTCGCGCGGATCAAAACCGAGGATGAGTCACAGATCGGAGTGCAGTCGAATGGTTCCTGGCCGAGACGATTGCATTCGTGAGAGTTCAAGCAATGAGCTAATCGGGGGTAGCGAATGAGTCTACCATGGCTCCAACGCTCCAGGCTGCGGCGGAATCGGCCGATTGCAGTCTCGTGTCCGCAGCGTCGTGTGAATCAGGATGTCATCAGCGCGAAGACACCCGTCCGCACGTATTGCTTTGCTAGCCACACATCATAGAGCTGGGATCGACCTGCAAGGATATATAGTCGATACCAAATACAGAGCGATCACGCTTCTCGGCTCCCGCGCCAATGCCCGTCATCTGTGCCAAGAGTCGGCGTCTCTTCTTTGAAGCGCAGCCAAGACGAAAAGTGTACGTACTTTCACGGTCCGGCGGGCTCCGACTGGGTCTGCGCCGGTCCCGGCGCATGCCCAGTATGTGCGCAGGGACACCGAATCGCACTCCCACAGGCGCCGCGACGGGATCGATCGAGCGCGAGCGGGCGGCCTGCTCCGTGACGGCCTGCTGCTGCAGACTGCGCGCGAAGCTGATGTTGCCGTAGCCACCACGACCGGGCGACGGCTGAGAAGGACGGAAGCGGTTTGTGTCAGCTCAGCGCGAGCGGGAGGGAGTAAACATCAGGCACGCACGATAGCTATGCGCCTCGCAATATGTGCGTCCAGCAACTCTCGTTCCCGCTCGCTGTACGCCCACTCGAGTTGATGATGTGTCGTCGTCCCGTGTGCGATGTTTCCGTACCCGCCCCGCCCCGTGGTAGACGCAGAGGAGAACGGCGCGTTGCCACGGCCACGACGTTGTGTGCGATCCCGGCCGCGAGGCCAGGGGAACTCAGGAACCGGTTCTTCAAGGGGTGGGGGTTGTGGAGAGTGTCGACAGGGTACGGGAATCGATGCGGGTGCGGGATGTGGGTGATAGTTGCCTAGGCCGCCGCGTCCTGTTGTGTACTGCAGAGACGGAGTGAGTGGGGACGACGGTTTCGTGATTGAAGGACGAATCTGACACCGTCACCATGGCCTGCGAGAGCTAAAGAGAGAAGAGACGATGAGCATTGGGGCAAAGAGGCAGAAGGGAGAGATGTAGAGGGAGGTGGTGAGACAAATTTGTGGCCGACGGCCGATAAGAAATACGGTCATCTCTTATCTCTCGTCGACTGCTTCGGACCACCACCACACAACGCTGTAGCAAAGAGATGCGCTCACCATTCTCCTCCACCAGCGTATCCGCGAGCGACTCGGTCTCCGCAGCCTCTCTACTCCTTCGTGAATTCCCCGTCGGCGAACCTTGTGCCCGGGAATGCGACGCGAAAGCAAGGGATATTCCGGAGCGCCGCGGGGTCTCGTAGAGCTGGAGTCACGGCCATTCATAGCGGGGAGCAGGATGGTGGAGAGTGTCGCAATATGAAAGTCGTGAGTCACCGATTCCGGCAGTGGTGCCACCCATAGTCGATCCGTGAGATTGAGGCTAGCCTAACTTTAGCTAAGGAGGTTCGTCACGGCCGTCAGAGATGGCGTGTGAGCACGAAGGCAACGTGTGTCCGCGTCACGTTTCAGCCCATGTGTGTCTACCGCTCGTCGCGTGGGGCCTTGGCGCATGGTCTGCTGTGCACTTCTTGCAGACAAGAGTACTCATCCTTTCCCAGCACGATTCCGGCTCTTCGTGAGGCGCCGTACGATGTCGCACTTGAATGCAAATCCTCCTGCTCGTCCGTCCTTTCTTTTGCTCGCTTGCGGCAATCATCCTCGAGGCTTTAGGCGCACGGTTCGGATCCCGCCTCAATCATATCTCCTGACGCTGCCGTCGCATCAACGACCGACCTTTGTCTGTGAGATGAAATAGAGAGGACTCCCACATGCTCCGTTCACACCCTCCCCCAAGTCTCGTCTAAAAATCCCAGTCTTACATGTGTTGCATGTTTGAACGTGCGTTACTTCTACCCACGAAAGACTGTTGCATCTGCCTTCCCATCCTTTGCACGATGTCTATAAGAGCGACGCGGGGGCTACGTGAAACAAGCTGAACCCGAACCTTCTCCAAAGCCAAGTCCCAGATGATCTCTTTCAACGCAATCTACCTCGCTAGTTTCGTCGTTCTTGCATCTGCGCAGAACATATTACTCACGAATGACGACGGTGTGGCACAAGAAGAGTGGATGATTCCGCAGATGCTGATGAGAAGTCTAGGATGGGCCGTGGCTCTGGTTCGCGCACAGAACGATGCCCTCAACGCCGCCGGTTACAACGTCGGCATTACGCCATCCGGTCTCCTGGTATTCTCCCACTCACATGCTCCCCAGGTCGTCTTGTCCTGCCCGGCGATCAATAAATCTGGCACCGGTTCGTCCACGACGACTCCGACAAAGCTCACACAGCCGTGCGAGTTCAACACGTGCCCGACTGGGTCCCCCGCGGAGGGTTTCAACGCGACGAATTCTCGCCTGAATTGGGTCAACGGCTTCCCTGGTGCGTTGATCGCATTGCGTCTGCATGTTACTCACACCGGCGGTCAGTTGATTCTGCGAAATTTGGTATCCAGACGCTGGGACCTAAGTTCTTCGGCGGCGCGAAGCCCGTCTTCGTTGTCAGCGGACCAAACGTCGGAAGTGAGTCAAATTGGGTTCTTATGTGACATGAGTCATGGATACCGTGTAGATAATCTCGGAAGCACGGTTTTGGTCTCTGGCACAGTGTGAGTGCCAGTCCAGGATTCCCTCCAACCATCACTCATCCAACCAGTGGGGCCGCCACCGAAGCCGCGAAGGAGGGAATCCCTGCCGCAGCCTTCTCTGCCGCGACGGGCGATCAGATTTCGTTCACCACGTTGACCACCTCGCCGAACTCGACAGACTCGCGCGCCGCCATCGTTTACTCCCAACTCACCACGAAAGTCCTCTCGCCTCTTTTTGCGGCGGGAGCCCCCATCCTGCCCGCCGGAATCGTCCTGAACGTCAACTACCCGACGTTCTCCGCCTCGTGCCCGACTGCCTCGGCGTTCAAGTTCGTGCTTACGCGCATTAACGCGGACAGCAGCGCGACGGATGTCCAGACGTGTGGGTCTACGCACCTGCCTACTGAATCCAGCGTCGTGGCCAAATCGGGATGTTTCGTTAGTGTCAGCGTGATGGAGGCCTCGAACAAGGGGGATGCGCCAGCCGCGACTCAGGCGATCGTTCTTAGCAAATTGACCTCCATCTTGTCCTGCTCGACCTGAGCATATACTTGTACGATTAGCTGATATAAACGGCACAGTCCATGACGTTATACAATGTGTGTGTTTCATCTTTGTCTTTGTCCGCTGTTAAAACGTAGTGGTCATATGGGGTCAATTCGAGTGTGCGACTTTTACGCTTCAAGCCCGTCGAGGCAAAGGCCACTATGTGGTTATCAGCTGGGACGTTCAGTGAGCAGGTTTGACTCTCCGGCTTGGCAGGTAGGTATGTATGCCTCAGTCTTCTGTGCATGTTGATCCGAGGACAGGCCGCATCCCGTATGGAGAGAATCCGAGCTTTGTGATTATGGGAGGAGAAAGAGAGATGCGTTAAGTATTACTACCATCGTTCCGGCTGGTTGCAAATTGCGCGGCCGCCGTCCCCCATTCTCGACGTGATGGGAGGTGGAGCAGTAGTGACATGCCGCCGTCGCCGGGCAGCTGTGACTCAAACCTTTCCCAGGTATTCTTGTGAGGTAGGCGTCGGAATCTCATCGGGCATAATCAAGAGGTACTATACATGATGGTAAGACAACACGGGCAGTTCAAGATCGTTGAAAAAATAGTATTCATGGTAGTAGACAAGAGAAAATGAACTTGAACTGCATGGAACATCAACCAATTGCACAGCGGGCCCCACTTGCCCACCGGTCCCACCCTCCCGGCAACAGCGGCATGTCACTGCTGCTCCACCTCCCATCACGTCCAGAATGGGGGACGGTGGCCTCACAATTTGCCACCAGCTATCATGGCATCTTTGTCACCAGATCATTTCCCGATATCCCGCACTCGATCGCCACTCCCACATGTCGAAGTTTGAACTAAGGCTTGTGTGATGGCTCCTTGGGAATCGCTTGTGCCGCACGTGAGGCTTCTCTCATAGAATTTGTTGCACCGTCTCGCTGCGGCAGCCTGTTATCATCACTGCCAAGCTCTGTCCGGGAGGCTTGGGGTGTTTGCATCCCCTTCGTATGAAGGGGACCACGATGCCCGAGTGCAACCTCAATATGTTGGGGTTCAAACTGTGCCCGGATAAAACTGTCCAGGCTCGATATGGCCTGCTCGCCGAATCCAGCAAAAAAAATCTCCCTTATCAGCTTAACCTGTGAACTCACTTCTGCGCAAATTGTGCTTCGGGATGAGATCGGAACGCCCCCATACACTTCTCAAAGCACCAAGAAGTAGCACGATTGATGTGTTTTACGGCGAATCTGGCCGATCATGGGGAACTTGTACCAGGTCATGTTGAGTAAGAGATTGCAACGAGACGGATGAGACATCGATTTTTTTCGCTGGTTGCTAAAGCTACAAGCGTGCAACGACATCAGCGCAGAAGATTGAGCAGCCCTCCAACAATTTGGGAAGGCCCTGAACCTTTCGACGATCATTGGTTTGACTAGGGGATCCATCCTGAACACGATTGGATCCTCAAAATTTTGAATATCGCGCATCAGCATATGATCCCCATCATGTGCAATGAAGTCTCACCTCAGTTTCAATCATGGCTACGAAAAGCCCTCGCCTCCGCTTCGGAAGCCCAACGCAGCGACGTGCTCGTCGGTGTTGTCGTTCTGGAACCACAGCAAGCGCTACACGAGATTTTTCTTAGCCGCTGGGATCTTGAGGCGCTTCAAAACAGCCTTGAGCAGTCTCGCCTCAACAAAGGTAAACGGGTCATACGCTTAACGTCAACGTTCCGGCCAGCGAGGTACAATCGGATACCACGCTATTCGCGCTTCCCCGCACTCATACGCTACATCATTCAACAATACATCTGATCTCGACGTCGAGCATGTAAATGTTCTGTAAATCCCCTGGGACCCGACTTTGGATGCCGATTTAGACACAGCACTATCGTAGGCTGACTCTTGTATGTATCACTAAACTTGAATCGCTATCATACAAGTCACCAAGCACGCTGAATGCGAGAAAGTACATGGGCAAGATACCACGCACACCACCAACTCGAACATGAATCTCCGTCGTCGTCGTACAAATCAGGATCTCATTCGTTATGAACTGCATCATACTGGGAGCCGATCGAGAACGTTTGAGATAGTGGAAGCCGGGCCCGAGTAGCCAAGTACTGTGGCAACTTGCTGGAAACGGCCGATGTCGGTTAGTAGCTATCTCACTCGGAGGAATTCGAGGCGGGCTCACACTAAGAGGACCCGAGAGCGGCTTTAATGTCGCGAGAACCGGTGTCGGGATCGACGGGCTTGCGAACAGCAGTTGCGTGAGCGAGTTCTGCAGCGTTCGCAAAGCTACGTTTATGCCCAATACCTCGTCTGGGGTAAGTGCGCGAGATGGCTGCTGATTGGTCAGAACGTGAAGCGAGAAGCAGCCAGGCACGATACGCACCAGTCCGGTCATGCTGCTCGATAGCTCCGCGACGAGAAGTAAGAGCTTGACTATGATCGTCTGCGGCAGGAGATCAGCGACCCGATTCAGAACCACGACGACAAGAAGCACGCTCACTTGAGCTCCGCCCCGGGAGTAGGCCACATTGGGCAGCACATTCATCACATTCACTAGCCGTGTGACCCCCACGCCACGTCCATTACTAAACTCCTTGTCGCCATGTCGCTCGCTGCCGCAGCGGATCCAGAGGGCACGGGACGTGAACCAGTGACCGAAGAGGCGTCTTAGAGGCGGAGTAAGAGAGGTATGCAACGGCATCGGCCGAGGCTAGGGATGCGAGCCCTTGATTCGAGGGCTCAGAGGACGTCACAGGGAGAGCGACGGTCGCTACAGCCATCGCGAGCGGAATCGATGCGGGATAAACTTCATCTTCTTGAGCAGTCGTTAGTTTGATTCACTGTCGGGGGCAATTGAAATGCGGGTGTTCAGTAAGTGTTAAGACGCGCAAGTGCGGCCGCACCGTTTATACGGCGGATAAGAGGTGTGTGTCTAAGACAGCAGGAGCGGGACATGAGCGAATAGCCGATAATGGTGAGGCCCGTGCATGTGAGCGCATGTGAGACATTTTCGTCCGGCTAAGCAAGGCAAGATTGTGGCAGGGTCAACTTTTGGGGGAGTGGAGACCAAAAGGCAAGCGGGACAAGACCTCGAAAAGCAGTCTGCTTTCCCGGTTTGACCCGAGATTCAATCACGTGATGTTTCACAAACCACTGGTGCATTGGACAAAGAAAATAAAAGTAAGCGGAGAAGGGTATTTCCGAACATGAGAAATCGGTTCCAGAAATTATATAGACTAGATGCCCTCAATGACGCATTTTTTGAATACGAACACGTCTCACGTTGCCCAGCGAGCCGAACGCTACCAGGCGCAGAATCCACAGTTGCATTGGGTGATACCGAGCGGGGGACTTGGTAGGATCCTCTGATCTAGATTTGCGCACCTCCTTAACCTTGAACTTTCTTTATGCAAACTTTCGGCAAGTATTGGCTTCTATTGACCATTCTTCGTGCATCTAATATGTCACGTGGCTCGGGTTGAAGTCCAAATTTAGGGATTCCTCTAGCGAACCGAAGTATCCAAATTAGGTTGACGTGTTCTAGATATATTTCTGCTCCTCCTTGACTCTGATTCATGAACCAGGAGGCGATCAGCAACACACAGCAACGTCAGATCCGAATCCAGACATGTCCTGAGGTAAACCGAGCTCCGACACAGTATAAAAAGGGCTGCTCCTTGAACCCAATCCAGCATCACCCAGCAGACAGCGATATCATGCAATCTTCAGCCAAACTTGAACAAACGGCACCCAGTTTCTGTCTCTACAAACTACCTCCGGGCGTCTCCAAGGTCGACTTCGATGCGCAACTCAACCAATTCATGGACACGATGGCTCAGCTCCCGGTTGTGCAGGAAAATTGGGCCACCTTTGAGCTGGTATGTACCGGTCCGAACACTCCGCTGTGGAAACCGATGTCACCTATAGATCCTCCAAAACGACAAGCTTGATGGGTGCATCACCGACTTGGGTCTCCCTGCGCCGCAGCAATGCGCAATCCTGATCACCCACGCGCACGTAAATTCATTCCGAGATTCGCCGCGAGGGAGAATCTCACTCTTCCGAACAGAGTCATGAGCACTGCGAGAAGCTCACGAGCCACCCGTCGACGCAAGACATGGTTGCCGCCGCCACCGCATCGTATGGAGGCTAGGAACGGCAAGCTGATTAGCGAGCAGTTCCATCTTTGATGGCCGCCGGAATGATGGGGTCACATGTTTTTCTCAAAATCGGTGAGTGTTCATAGTGAGGGCCTCCAATGGCGTACAACCGGTCGTTTTTTGTGAATCGTTTCTTCGGGAATGTGAGGAAACCAAGTATCGGGAGGCATCCAGTGATGATCAGAATGATCACGTGAAACAACCTTGATGAGCTCGCTGACAAATCCATTGAGATCTTTCAGTGCACGTGATAGATTGATCAAATGATCACGTGCAACAACCTTGACGAGCTCGCTGACAAATCCATTGGATCTTTCGTGCACGTGATCGATTGATTTCAGGGCTAGGGCGCATCACTGCTCGTCATCGATAAGGAGAGAACGGGCTGTCATGAGCACAGATTGAGCTACCACATGTCTGCATTATTAAAGTCCTCGGGACTCTCTTCATCTGAAAACCACGCGAACAACTCGTCATCGCCCTCAATATCATTGCCTCCCACATCCGGCTCAACGTCGTTTATCATAGCATTGAGCTGAGCCTGATGTCCGTCATCTGAACGCACCCATCAGAGTAATCTATAAGAGCACTGGACACATACCAAGTCCATTCCCGCCGTTCACGCCACCCATATAATAGACGCCATCCTCTCCACAACACCATCTCCACCACGAAGCTCCTGGAGACCAGGAAGAAGCTCGACCTCACCCTTGTACTCATCAGCAGCCTGAGTGAGTGTGTAGCCCCTTTCTCGTCCGCGCTTAGGTCCACGTCGTGAATCTGATCAAGCTCGCGGAACTTCGACAGTAGCAGGAGGTAATGTCCCAGCAGCTCTCCCGGTCAACAGAGGTGAGCCAATGTTGGAATAAAAACCGGAGATGAGGATGTTGAAGTCAGGTGGAACCAATTCGAAGATCTGAAGGGTGGGCGGCGCATACAATTTACGTACCATTGAAATGCAGCCGGATCAACTTTGATCTGCGACAGGTTAGACTCAGCACCAGCTCAAACATTGTAAAGTGTTACCTTGAAATCTAGAATAGCATAGTCTTCGGGATACTCGAACATGTGCATTGGAACACCGTTAGGTAGAATCTTGTTGCGATCGTGGCGTTTGCGAGTGTTGTTGATGCGGTGCTGATATGCGTCGAGTTCGGCCTGAAGCCAGGAATGACCCCAGCGAAAGACGAGGCTGAATGGATAGAATAAGTGTTTTGGAAGCGCTCATGGAACACGTACGCTTCAAGGAGAATATGGGGATCATACCAACCTTCATGAATTCCAACATCGAGCAAATCTCAAAACCAGGCGTAAAACGCCGGCGCATCTGACTCCACGTAATCTCTGATGTAACGTTCTTTTTCTCCCGCATCCATCGGTGCTGAGCTTGCCTCGAAGGTTGGGATCTTGATGGTGGCGGATCAGAGTGTGTCCATTGGCAACGGCGGTGTTCTCGTTTCCCGGATCGCTCTGCATGACGAGGGCATGACTGTGCGCTCAAATGGATAAGAAATAAGCGCAAAAAAAGGAAACACGTACAACCGAGCCGCTCAATCACATCCAGGTAGTACTTGAGAATAAGGCGAGGGTTACTATTATTCCACCAGATATTCATCCAGTGAATGAGACCAAGGAATGGATCAATTCCAGAGTGAAGTGCAAGTCCGAATTTGTACTTCCACTTGTCGTGCTGGTCCATGGCCCACAGTCGTTTGCACCAGCAGCCCAGAACCGCTTTCGACGAAAGTGTCCGCGCCGTCGCTCACGGACCTGGTGGCCTCGTAGAGGTGGAGTACTGCATTACAACTGGCCTGAATCATGTGAATGAGTGTATTAATAAAGATAAGTTCTAAAAACACACCGTGACACCAGTATTCTCTCCTCGAACTTCAACAAGTTTACCATCTCCCGCCCACCAGCCTTGGATATGTAACGCGCAGCTTAATGATGTGTGGACGAATTGACTCGACGGTATGGCCCTGCTTTCGGGTGCGGACAAAGCCAAGCCTCTCACGTATCTTTCGAAACGTTCGAATCCTGATAAAAAGTCAGTAATGAGATCCCCATGCTTCATTGATTCAATGAATACATACCCAAGCCCGTACTCAGCCAGATTGATATGGTGTTCTTGAGGAGAGCAAGCATCTGGATATCACTCATATTCTGCCGCCAATACTTCTCGATATGAGGGCGAAGAGACTCGTCAGATGCTGTGTATAAGTGATCAGAGAGAGAGAGAGAGCCTGGCCAACAGCAGCAAGAGACGGACGAGCAGGCTTGTATTGGTTCAACTGTCGAACGGGCTCGAGTTCATTGGACATGTACCAGAGGGTGTAACAGGTACAGACTGAGAGGGAGCGATGCAAAGAGGGTGGGGGTACTTATTTCAAGACAGTATTTATATCTCATGTCTGTTACAAAGAGGGGCCGGAACTTACACCAAGCTCCTCCTACGATCCGTTGGTGATCGGATGGTCTGACTCAGGATTTGAGCATCTGACAAAGGAAATATTAAAAAGCTGAGTGAGACACATGCCTCATGGCCGCTCGTGGCAAGGAACGCAGCAAAATGGCGCGCTACGCGAGGGCGCAGGAGGTCGGGATCATGGATAAAATTATGCACGTGTCGGCACGTGCATCGTGTTTTGATCCGCCTTCAATATTGTCGCGATAGTCTCTCATCTCATTGCTTGATTGCTCAATAACTCGTAATTTCAGCCACTCAGCGGAATAGTCAGCCGGAACAGAATTGAGCCACCATGCTGCTTTAAGAGTGCTCTGTCCTGTGTCCAAAAACCCTGTCCTTCCGCCGGCTTGTCATGTCAGACTATACTCCTTCGATCAAAGCATCTTTCACGGGTGAGGGCGCCTCCCATGGTCCGATCCCATGTGACCGTGGCCCTGACTGTCGAGGAAACCAGTGGATTGCACCCACCGAGACTCGTCGCAAAGTACGGAACAAGAACCCCAACTTACCCGACCGCACTGTCTGTTGCCCATGTTACGAGTATTATTGCAACAAGTCTTCCTCGACAGTGTCTGCTCGCAATGGTGAGCTTCTTCCCTCCCTCTTTGGGATTTCTTCTGACTGAACAAAATAAAACAGGAGCCACTTCGGCTCAGCCAACACCCAGCATGCTCCAGGATGCCGCCATCATTCGACGGCAAAACATTGACGCTCGCGTGAACAGTGAGTTCAAATTCCATTTGCCATCCTGACGCGATTTATCACTCTTTCCAGATAGTGCACCAAAGGCCAACGATCAGCTCGTTGCCATTGCTCCTGGATTAATGGGTCCTCCAGCTCGCATTACTGTGCGTGGTTCATCTACTGTTTCTATATGTAGTTTCTGATGACACGGGTCATATAGGTCCGCACATCTCGCTTCCAAATATGGGCGGCTTTGCGCTCCCTCTGCCGCCACCACAGCAGCCTGTGTACTCTAGTAAGGGATATTCCGCAAACCATGCGCAGTATTCTGCCGCTCGGGCGGGATGGGCCCATGCTGCGTATGCTGGTGCTACCCCAGAGACGATTTCTCTTATCATCGGAGTGCGGTATGAGATCCTGGGCAAGCCCAAGGGCGGAACGTTTGGGGTATGCTGCCAATTTTTATTTGTGTCCACGACCGACTTTTGAATTTGTTCAATTTCAGGCCATCAGCGAGGGCGTTGTAGTAGATGCTCGTGCTACACCACGAACAATCATCCAGACTGTGTTTGACAATGTCTACGGAAAGCTCCGGGTGCAAATCCTTCGAGACACCAAGAACGGGTTTGAGTTTGACACAACCACTTCACCGTTCGTGACGTTGCCAAGTGGATCGACTTGAAGCGGATCACTGGGGATTTGTTTGATGCTCCATTTTACTATGCTTCATGTTTCAAACGGGCCGGGCAAAGGCGGAAAAGGATCGAAATATCAAGGTTTTCACATCACCTGCTCCGATCTCCGTGGCACTGGTGATTGATCTTGGTGAATGGCTTCGACTCACCGACTTTTTGGATGATATGCAGGTATGCAACGACGTCTCATTTTGCATGTTTCAGTTGAACCCAAGATTTTTACAGATCGCCGAAGCTGCAGAGTCCGGATCTGCCACTGTAGATGGGAAACAACCGGTGACTAGGAAATCCTCTCGGAAGGTATATTGGTTTTGTCAAAATCACGCGAGACTAGACTTAAGATGTAGCAGGCTTCAACTCTAAGGAGTTATCGACGCACGACTCGCAGCTCAACACGATCATCTGCCTCAACTTGCTCAGTGCAACAAAACCCTAGTCATGTTTCCTCAACGGAAGGATCCACCGCTACTTTCGATGCCGAACAAGTGGCCAGTGCAGTAACCTTGATCCGCACCAGATTTGGCTCATCCGCGCTCTCCGATCTTGCTCCTGGTAATTCATCATCGTTGATTGGCGGTCATCTTGCTGGAGCGTCATGGGGAACAAACGTGAGTTGCCCATGATTTCGAATAACCAGGCTGATCAGATTCATCAGGAACTCCGCCCTGTTACGCCACCGCAGTCTCTTTCTCGCAAGCGATCTGCACCTGAGTATCGCTCTCCGGATCACAGCGATTGAAGAAGGCGCTCAGCGAGGGAGGGTCATTGAAAAAGGCGGGAAACGCTCGTGAGTGTCACCATTTTATCCGCTATTTGTCTACTGAACCCTGCTTATAGCCTTGCACATCTCTGAGCACATCGAATTTTATCGCATCCTCCCAGTTGATCTTCATGATCTCCTCGAGAATCCGAGCTTCTTCACCTGTGATATCAAAGCAGCTGAGTTTGGTACGCTGTCCATGGTCCCCTCCGAAGAGCCTTTGGGCGTTGGCAGTTTCAAGTCGGCGCACAATGCACGGCTGAATCTCAACATCGTGTCAACGGGCAACATCTTGGGAAGTGTCCCAACCAGCATGTGGCAGCAAAGCGGATGTTCGAATTGTGGAGTGAGGACAAGGAGCGTCTAAGGCGATTTGCTCCGCAGCAGGAGTACATCCAGACCATCCGCGAGGCTAACATCCTGGTCTGGGCCGTCTCCCTCCTTGAATTTTGTTATGCGTTCATTGCAGACTTCATCAAGAAGAACGGTAAGCCTCCGGCGGACTTGAAGATGTTCAACATTCGATTTGTCGAAGCCGGGCTGGCTCTCATTCACGACTCAAGTGCAGCTGGCCACAATGTGAAGGACACTTCCTCGCTACGCCGCACATTCCTGATTGAGGAGTTGATCAAGCCAACAAGTCCGTCTTCAGCAATCGAGTTTTTGATACTATTGACACCACGAAATCAGGAGAAAATCAGGACGAGACGTTCATCAAGTTTATTCACAATAATCTTGCAGCACCGACTCCGACCATCTGCTCCGACTCCCTGAACTATGCTGTCGCCGAATTCCTCTGCTTTACTCAACATATTCAGTACGAGAAGTCTGGGGGAAACGTCTTTCTGTCCGATCTTCAGGGTGAGCTCAACTATCAGAGGATGGAATGATTTCTCATAAGTGCTTGATTTTTAGGGTCTCCGAGTCGTCTTAGTGATCCTCAGATAATGACAACTCCGTGCGTTCTCTCTTCATGCGTACCACCTGGACTGATACATGTTGACAGGGATAAAGGAGCGCATCTTCGGTGGTGGAAATATCCGGTCTGCTTTCCAGGAGTTCCCCACTCAGCATAAGTGCTCCCGATACTGCGAATTCTTCAAACTCACTCCGTTGAGCACGACATTATGAACAGCATTAGTCAATTTACGTATCACAGCTTGTTGCTCATTGATTAACTGAACCCCGCTTCTTACTTGGTTTCCTCACATTCCCGAAGAAACGATTCACAAAAACGACCGGTTGTACGCATTGGAGGCCCTCACTATGAACACTCACCGATTTTGAGAAAAACATGTGACCCCATCATTCCGGCGGCCATCAAAGATGGAACTGCTCGCTAATCAGCTTGCCGTTCCTAGCCTCCATAGCATCGGGGTTGTTTGCGGACGCATGCGTCTTCTCTGCGGATCTGCACACGACGGTGCACATACCCGAGGCCGACGCCAGGGTCCACGCGTTCGGTGTCTTCAAGACCCATCAGAGATGTCCATCCCGGAGCTCCATGCGAAGCTCGAGGAGCTCATGGATTCGATCATGGAGAACGTGCCGATCGCGAGGGCGAATCTGGTGCAGCACTCGCTGTGATTATTCCGAATGACATAAAGCTTGTTGTTTTGGTCAATCTGAGCCGGAGAGCAGTGGTTTCAGAAGACGGACGCCGTGTCACAGCACATACGTAACATCGGATTCGGCGATCCAAAGGACGATATCTTTGCCGTAATTTAGAGACTGAGGTGCGATCTGATTGGGACTCATTTAGATTTATACACTGACAGATTGTTTGCTAGACGATGGAAAAGCTCATCGAGGTGAGGTTTACTGCGAAACCTGCGGCACAGCAGCTAACTTGATGTCACAGGTGATACAAGATGAGACATTCCAGAAACCCTAATCGAAGGGCTTAAAGACTGTCCACACCTCTTGGAATGCTCGATTTTCTCAGCGGATGTTTTCCCGAAGTTGTGACGATAGGAGAATGAGTTCATTACAAAGATACGCAAACAAGATTTCATACGTAAACAGTTCAGCAAAGACGACCCGGCTTAGATTACCGGACTTGGCATTGATCTTACAGTCGTTTATCCAATTAGAGGCCGAGGCAGCCCAGGTCAGACCGAACAGAAGGATTTCAGCAGCACGACAACATCAACAATTCTGCAGAACAGAAATCAGTACAATCCGCTGCCGGCCCGGGAAATAGACACATACAGTCCTCCCACGAGAACGAGCACGCCCCCGAGGACAAGCTCGACACCAAGCAGTAACACTTTCAGCGATTGGTCCAGACTAGCGATGAGGGTCCCGAGAGTAAGCACGGTGCCCGCGCTCTTGCATCCTCGATAGTGTAGGTGATATCCTGGCAAAAGGCTCAGCAACCACGTTCCGCGCCAGAAACACCTCAAAAATGAAAGCACCTGATGATTTCCGCAAGTAAGCCTGCGCACTGGGATTTCGACCCTACGCCGGAGAGCGAAACCGTGCCGAGAGCGACTACGGCGATTTCGATTGCGGCTTCCAACTCAACGATGAGCGGGCCAACGGTGAGTCCGTGGCGTGTCCCTGGGCGCAGAGAGTGTCTGAATGCGGAGTCAGCTCGAAGGGTCCACTTTCAACATTGCGAACCGACTGATTTGGGGCAGCACGACGGCAACCGAAGCCTGGGGGTGACGATGATTCCGACGACATCGACGCCGGAGTTACGCTCCTCGACCACAGCGACCGCACCGGCCTCAGGGAGGGGAGTGGTGCTGGCAGCCACGACGCGGTGGAGACGAGGAGCAAGAGAGAAGTGAAGTGGCGAAGGGCGAACATGTTTTCTCGGACAGATGCTGCTTGGAGGCGGCTGGTGAGGAAAACTGACTCGCAGCTCACCCTTATATACCGTAGTGTTCACAATTTGTACCGTCACTCCTGCGTCATAGAGGACCAGCGACGGGGAAAGAGAAAGCATAGCGAGATGGAACATACCTGACCTGGGCTCTGCGTGATAGATCCCCTTGACAGGCGGCTGTAGACCTTTCATTCCTGTCACAATTCGTTTTGTCAAGGCGTTCAGACATCGATCTACTGTGCGTCATAGAGAGTAGATTCATAGGACGATAGGACAGTTCCGCTGAGACCTGAAAGAGATACAGAGAGCAGGCCGAGCGTATCGCAAGTTTGAAAATCGCAAGGATATGTTAGAAACAGAACCGCCGCAAAGAGGTCCGATCAGTAGTGTCTTCATCAGTGGAGCTCCACCACATGGCACGGCGACTTTTCTTCTTGCCTGTCAACATGGGAGAATCGGGGTGAGTAGAAAGTCCCCGTCATCACGCGATTCAAGGGACGAAAAAAGAAACATCAGCAGTACCCCCGATTCATGAAGAGTCCGTTCAAAACTTGACCCTTTGGCTGGATTGAAGAATGAACGGTCCGCCGATGGTCAGGACGAGCGAACACGGATACCAATCTGCAGGACCTGCCTTAAGATCCCATGATGCTGCATGGTAGCCCACGGTCCGAATCCGAATCCAATAGCAATGTCGCTTCTGACAAGATGCCCGATCCAGGCCAAGAACGAGCCTCCTCGAAAATACGTGATCAGCAAAAACCGGGACGATGAGCAAAGGGTCGCGAGACGAACGTTCGACGTTTCTCAAGCTCATCAGTACATTATGAAGAGATCAGGTCAGATGATATCACCGCTAAGCGTTTGCTCGGTTGGAAAGGTGAGAGGTAAGCTAAGACTTACTTCCAAAGCGATCGGATGATGATGTCCGCCCGTTGATTGCATGTCCCCCGCCACAGCCTGAGATCAAAATACGGCCTCGGAGGACATGCCGACTTGATTTGCGCTGATTGTGCGCTATGATCGCCGATCATGCTTTCTTGTTTCGAAAGCGACAATCTCAATGCACTGTGAGCGCTGGAGCCTGCATCTAGTGGGAGATCAGCAAGTCGTTTTCTGAGGTGAAGAACCAGTCTTTTTAAAGTTTCTGGGTGGTTTGAGAGAAGCAGAAATTCATAATAGGCCAATTCACAAGCCAATTAATTTTCCATCAGCACATACCCATGTTTAACATCAGAGACTCTCTCGGCATAATGACTAAGACCTGCGCAATCGCATCGACAGTTTCAATACAGGAAATGGGTAATAGCCCCTTCGCGCCAAGGAGTCTGAACCAATCCAGCGTGACACCGAACGTCCTCAAATAGTATCGACAGACATCTGACTTGAATAGAGTTGAAGAGTTTGGGTGCCCGTACTACTGTTACATCGGTGGGACGTGAATCCACCCTGAGCACCCCCACATTTTACCATAGAACCGGTTTGAACCACGCTCAAGCGGGACCTGAACGCAGCGGAACTCCTCAGCGGGTGGGGCCGTCCCGCAGGCCCCTTGAAAGTCACTAAGCAGGATGTGGGACTCCAGCGGATCCCAATGGTCCCGTGGTAAACCGATATGATTGATCTTGATCCAGGTAGATTCAATGGACGATTGAACCTTCGACCTTGGCGATCTCGCGGCGACCATTCTTCATCTGATTCAACTTGCACAAGCAGGCTTTTATTACGTCTGTCTACGTGCGGACATTGGCAGCAATCTTATCTCTCTTTTTTGTCGAGGGGTCTGCGTACTCACGCGGCAAATTCTGGATGCCCTGAAAAATGGTTACAGAAGTCGGACCTGTGTCACAGCACATTCGGAAATCGAAATCAAGATTGAATGGACGATATGTGCTGGGTTCTTCCGGACAGGTGAGTTCTCTGACAAAGTTAGATGCGGACTAAGAGCCTCCAGACGGCTAGGCTGCTGACTCCTCAAAATGTTGGAATTCTGAGCGGATGTATCATCAAGGTTGCGACTATGAAAAAACAAGTTATAACGGAGATTCAGAAAAACGAACAAAATT